TAAACTTATAAAGAATAAGTTTCCCTTAAGCCTATTAAGCGTCTCGCTAATAAGGGGTAGTAGATAGCGGTTCTTAACGGTAATTTCGTTTAAGCCGCGATAGTCTACGTATAGGCGAAGCGAACCGTTCTTTTTAGGGACGAAGAGGATAGGCGCATCCGCCTTACTTTCGCTTCCCTCGATCTAATTATACTCGCGTACTTCGACTAGATAGTCGTATAGCTCGTAAAGCTCTCTACCCGATTAATAGTATAAAGGCCGGAAGGGTAGCTTTTTGCCTTCTTCTAGCACGATAGAATACTTTACGTCGTCGGGGAGCGTACGCTTCGCCTTATCCGAGAGGAAGAATATATTATAAAACCTCTCGAATTCTTTCGGAATATCTACTACCTTAATCTCGCCGTAGCGGTTAAGCGTAACTATAAAGACACGTGTTCTTTTACCTTATATTTTGCGATAGAACTCCTAAGGGTCGAGGATCTTAATACGGCTCGCTAAGGCTTTACTAAAGCGCTATGTATCCGAGGCGCTATTAACTATTATACGTTATATACGTCTCTAGGGCCTGCCTAAGATAAACTTTAGCTTAGGAGTTTCGTAAGCGTAGAAGGTTAACTCTATTATACGCTTAACTCTATTTAAGTCTACGATACGCAAGCGAATAATATGCGCTCCGTAGTAGTATTCTAGTTCTCCTATAAAGGAGGAGGTAGATAGAAGGGGTACGTTACTTTTAGCTAGTAATTTATAGCGGAGTACAAATTCCCTCGATACGATATTAATATCTACCGTATTATTTAATAAGTAGTCGACCTACTACGGACTACTACTCGTCTCGACTACGCCTCGCTAATATAGCGCGCGGTATATCTCGAGTCTACCCTTATATCTCGGACTTAGAGATCGGGTTTCTTCTTTAAGACCTTTACTTTTTTCGACTCGCTAGCGGCTACCTTACTAACTAAAGACTTTTAATCTTAGTAGGTACTACTACCTAGCTATCTATAATCTAGTTAAACGTATCTAGGCTTATTATAATTATAGTAAACGATATCCTTTAAGGGTACGCCTCGCTTAGGATACGACGGCTCCTCTCGTATATATAGCTCGGACCTTAAGTCCTTACCTCTACTCTTACAACGCTATTACTTATCTTTGCCTTTCTTACGGTTATTAGGACCGTAGGCGCCTCGCTTAGTACTAGTAAGCTAGCTAGTAGCGCCCTTATCGGCAGCTTTAAGTCGTCGAGCTAGCGATACTATTTCTACTCTTATAGAGAGAACCTTATAGTTCTTTATAATGTCCTAGCGTAGCGTAGGCTTTAACTTAGTAAGGAACTAGCGAACTAATTATTCCTACGTATAATTAAGTTAACTTTCGAGCACTTCGAGCTCTAGTATAAAGGCCTTTACTAATTAGTACTCCGTCTATCGAACTCGCTTATACTCTAGCGTAACGCTAAGCTAGCGATTCGTAGGGTCTCCGACGCTATTAATAAYAAACGTCTTAAAGTCTTCCTATATATACGTAGTCGTAAGCGACTCGAGGGAGTGTTTATTATACTACGACTCCGCCGCGTCGCCTACTAGCTATATTATACTATAGAGGACGCGCTAACGGTCCTAACTATAGTCGTAGCTAGAGTTCGCGAATACTAGCTAAAGCGCACGGATAAATTTACGTGCCTCTTTAATAGAGTTACTTACGAAGGGCTTCGGGTCTTTAACCTTTAGTCGGCCGCCTCTACTACTATATATATACGGTAAGCTGCCGTCTAAAATACTTAGAGCGATCTCGCTAACTACTAGAGATACGCGAGATGCATTACGTATTAGTAGTAATAGCCTTGCTTCTTCCGCGTCTATGCGATCTCGCGTACGCCTTATAGACTAGACTTCTAGTTAGAGGTCGCAGAGATATTACTATTCGCGAAGCGTAAGCTTCTCGGCTTCGAGTCTCTATATAGTATTAGCTATAGACTCTTCTTCTAGCTTCGGGCCTACTCCGTCGCCTTTATCTACTAGCGCTTAGCTTAGTAGGATATCTTCGTCGGCGTCTTATTCGGCCTAATTCGGCGCGATAGTTAGTAGCTTAGGCGTACTCTCCTCGCGTACGTTACGACGGGGAGGTATTATAGGGTTAATAGATCGCTACCCTTAATAAGGTAGAAGAATTAGAATTATAAGGGTGTAAAAATATAGCAATATATCGACTACCTTCGATTACTCGATTAAAGATAAGACTAATTCTTATAGGTCGATAATACGTAGTACGCGAGGAAGTAGGAGTCGCTTCGCCTACGCTAAGCCGGCTTCGCAGAAGCTCTCCTATTCCTCCTTTAACGTAGCTATACGCTACGGTTAACCTTAGTCTATAACTGCTTATAAGGTAGGCTTTACCTAGCCCTTATAGTAAGGCTAACTCGATACTCGAATACCTCCGGCTCCGGCTCTAACTCGGTAGATTTATCGACGAATAACGACGTACCGCCGTTTCGTAAGGCCGCTAGCTACTCTAAGGCCGGTAGCTACTATAAGGCTACTAGCTACTATAAGGCCGGAGCTAGCCTCTTTTTCTTCTTCTTCTATTAGTCGCTAATACTAATACTAATACTATCCGTAGGCCGCTTTCGCCTCCTTAGATTACTAAAGTATTTAAGGCCCTCCTTAGCTAACCGCGTATTAAGGGTAGTAGCCTTACGCCTAAATTAGTTACGCTCTAGCCGCTTACGCTCCTTCTTTTACTACCGTACGAGCTCTAATTATCGCTCCTTAGCTTCCCTAATAATACGTAGTTACGAGGAGCGGCTATCGTGCTTATAATAGCGCTCTTAGCCGCTATCGCTATTACTACGAAAGTAGACGAAAGGCGCTACCGTATAGTAGAGCTCGCTAATTAGCATCCTTATAAGCCTTATAAGGAGTTCTACTATATCCTTATCTACCGCATCCTTATCTACCGTATTCTCCGCCGTATTCTCCTCGATAGTTTCCGCTATAACCTCTACCTCTTTTACTTTATTCCGTAGCCTTAACGCTCCGATAGCGGCTTAATACGCCCTCTATAATAATCTAGCGCGCTACGAGCGGCGGAGGTAATCTATACTAGTAGGGAGAGGGGATAAGGATAGCGGACCTATAGGTAGATAAGATAAAGGCACGTAATACGTACTAATACTAGCCTCTACGTTCGCGGATATAGCGGAAAACGATAATAACACCTTTCGAAAACGCTTAGTAATAACACGCTTCGAATATTAGACTAATACGGATAGTATTAGGTAGTTTAGGTACTATAGAGGGTGCTATAGTACTAATATTAGTATAAGGGCCCTTAGCTAGCCTAACTAACTAAAAACGAGGGGTAGCCGACGTTAGAGTTAAAGCATTCTACTAGAGACTTCTATAAGAAGAAGAACATTACCGGCCGCTAGCTAATCCTCTTTATCGTTCGTGTGGAGAATGTTACTAGCCGGTTTATTCTAATATCAGATGCGGTGTACGACACTAGGCACGACCCGGGCAGTAACCTCGCAGCTAGAGGCTCGCCCAAAGTACGCCGTTTCACGCTCGCTATCGAAGCATGCATCTCTCTCTAGTTATTCCACCGCCCCGACGAGCGCCCATTAATTGCCTCTGTGGGACTCGACAGCTTCACCAGCTCTATAGCAAATGTGGATTTATGGGCAGATTCTCTGGCTCCGGGTCTGCATCTCGAGCTGGTATTTATAATCAAATTGCACCGGGTATCCTTCGTGGAACCAAATAGGAGATTCCTAGTCCAACCTTCTACCCGACAGAGCCCTCCCCAAACCGTATAGCATGTTAAGAGCGACGATCGCGAGACGCGCTCGGCACCATAGGTTCTCATCGCCGACCTCTTTCAGACAAATTAAAGATGGAAGGATAAGGCGCTTGGGGGCAATGCTAGCAAGGGAAGGTTTGAAGGATTAACGTAGCTCGTTCCGTCTGTTGATCGACTATCTAGCAGACTCAAGTATTCATGTTGCTAACAATGACAAACATCTTATATACGCCTGACTTTGTGAAAGTGTTGTGAATATTTCCGGACAGTATGGCAAAGGCATCGCCTCGGACGAGCTGATTGAGCTGCACCACCGCGACTACTCCGAGGACATAATTGGTAAAGACAACTCTACCCACAATGTTAACCAGACCATGACTAACAAAGCGCTTAACCGTGTGTCGGGCAAAGTTGCACAGCACATGATGGAGACTGGACTGGGCTCGAAGGACACCACGTACCACACCAAGAAGTCCACTGCTCTGGATATTCAGACGTACGCGAAGCATCTGCAGAACCAGGGCCTGGCGAGGAAGCAAGATCAATCCGGTGCGAAGTCAGAGGCAGGAAGGAAGGAAGCTGGTTTGGACTAGTATAATGCGTTGTACATTGGCGGAGGAAACAACGAAGATTTGCAGGATTAACGTAGCTCGTTCTGTCCGTCGACTAGAGGTTTTTTATTATATTTTCATAAATGCATTATAGGAAATCCGTGTAGACGAATTGTCGCATAATGAATATAGGAACACCACGTCCCACTGTCATCATTTGTGCAGTGAAGGTGATGTTGCGTGTGCATCGCCGAATAGACGTTCCCGTCGTGGCGAGGCTTCTCTTTCTGGGACAGCTGCTATACCAGATGTCCTGCGGATAGCATAAGACAAAGCCTCCGATCGCGATGCTCGAGGTGAAGCATCTGAAGGATGATTGCATGGTCCTTGCAGTTGTCGTGGATGTCACAACAAGCTGACTATGTTTGTCGCTCGCCTCTGGGTTTTGACCATGTCCTATGGATTGTGGTCTCGCCATGGCTAGCATTGCATGCGATAGAGAAGAACGAGGGATCATGATTGTTCACCACGCCGCAGTTGTCGCTGGGTTATTGGTGACGCGCATCCCAGGCGCAGAACTCCTAAACGAGCATCCCTTTAGTCGATTGGAATATCCGGAGTGGATATGACTTCTCTCAAAGGATCTCAGCTTTCCGGAAGACCTACCAGAGCTTCCTGACATGCCTTCCGGACGGCATCAGCGCCTTTGACAGTCTTCCACCGTTCCAACACAGACTCCACCCTCTCCCACTCCCTCTTCGCATCCTCATTCGCCCCAGCTTCGACTTGCTTTCGAATTTGTTCCGGAGCAGCCAGCACCCACCTGACAACCTCCTGCTGCTTCTGCCTCATCACTACCTCGTCCCTCGCCTGTACATCCCCTTCCCCCAGCGATCGCTTCAAATCAGCAGTCAAACTCGCCGCTGTCTCGGCAATATGTCCAATCGCAGGGGTAAGAGTACTGGTCGTGGGAGTCATGGGATCCATCTTCTCCCTCATACTACGAATCGTGTCCGTCGCAGCAATGAGTTTGGAATAATTGTCATAGACGAGAGCTTTCTTCTCTCCATCCAATGATCGTATATCGCTGAGAAGACCCGCTTCGACGCGCAGCACGCCTTCGAGACCTTGGGTGGAGAGGAGATGCTGGACGTAGGCTTCCGGGTCGAACCCGGGTTTGTCGAGTTCGCTTTCTTGCTCGGCGTTTAGAGATGGCGATGGAAGATCATGTTGCGGATGGGTGTCGGTGGACGCTGCAGCTTTGAGATTGTAGTAGTCTCGGAGAGCTGTGCGATTGCGACGGAGGGTGGCTCGATCTACGGCGTTGGATGTCGTCGATTTGCCGGTTCCGGAGAGGACGGTGTTGTCGGTTGATGCCGAGCCGCGGCGGGAGGAAAGGGTGAAGGAAGGCCGCGGCGATGCGATGGTCGACATTGTCTGGGTATGTTATGTTATGCTATATCATGTGAAGCGATACAATACAGTACTTGCATGCAGCTTCATGTTGTGTTGATGCTTCGGGTGAGCTGCGGGCAGATCTTCACTAGCGCGGATGAGAGCTTCAGGTCGGACTCAAAATTTGCATCTCCTGCCACCACTCAACAACAACACCGAAAAATGTGAAGACGAATTCCCACCATGCCTCCGTCCACTGCAGCGGGTGGCACTCTAGCAACATCGATCCACGACGCTCTGGCCGCCAAACACATTGCCCCGACGCAGCAATGGCTTCAAAATTTGATGCCGAGCGTCAATGCAAATGTGCCGCTGGCAGCGACGCAAAAGACAGCTCTCTTCCGCCTGCTCAACACCGACTTTACCACAACCTTGCAATCTTCGGCGCAAAACTGCTTCCCAGCCGGCATCACCAATCCCGCCTCTCAAGAGCAGAAGATTCGCGGGCCAATTCCCGTGCAAGTTCTCGACATTCAAGATGTCGGACGCAGCAGCTGGAGCCAAGTGGAAGCCATCGAAATGGAAGAGCGAGGCGAGCTGCGGAAAGGCAGTGAAATCATTCGCGTCACCGAAGATGATGAAGACAACACTGATCCCAACGCGTCTGCTGCTCGAGCGGCGGCTGGTCCACACAAGCTGCTCCTGCAAGATGCCAAAGGCAATAAAGTCTACGGCTTCGAGCTGGAAGCTATTGATGGAGTTGGCCCTGCCATGTCCATCGGTGCCAAGCTCATTCTGCGCGATGTCGTGGTTGCTCGAGGTGTCATCCTCCTCATGTCGCAATGTGTGGATGTCCTTGGCGGGAAAGTCGAAGTGTGGGACAAGAAATGGAAAGAAGAGAGGAAGAAAGTGCTCAAAGAGCGAGCTGGTTGGGTTGAAGGTGCTACATGACATCCCACTTCGTACTGTAAGTCCCATCTACCTCCCTTCCTCTTCGCCCATCTTTATGATGAATCATTCGTAAACTCACAGACCTGTCCTTAAAAAACCATGTCGAGAGCACACAAACCAGCCTGATCTATTACCTCTCCTCCATACCAATTCGAAGCTTCCAGCGCATCGTTCTTCGCTGACACTTCAATAGCTTCCAGGCGCAGTTCCGTCACGCATTTCAGGATCGCTTCCTGCAGATCTCTTTGGAGGACGTGCAGTATAGCGAGGTGCGTCGAGTAAGGCAAATCTTTGAACTCCAGGCCGTCGAATTAGGAGCGAAATTGCTTCCAAGGCACCTGGTTCCAGGTTGGGTACCTGCCTTCCTTCTCATTCCATTCCATTCATCCCTGTCCATCAAGGCGCATACCCCGGCACACTATCCTCCCTCCTCGCAACTTTCTTCACTTTCCTCTCTTCAAGCCACCTCCTCACCGCACTTTTCCTTTTATCTCCTGTTCCATCACTTGCAATAGCAACCTGATAGCTCGGCGGTCCGATGGKAGCTTCATACTGTCCTCCATATTTATCATTCGACTGCATGCTGCTTACAGAGCTACATAGCGAGCCTCCGTAAACCAGCGCATTCATCCCTCCGATGCTCCCGAAAGGTAAAGTACCACCTTCACCAGGCCGAACGAATTTCTTCTCTTCTGCCCAAGCGGTGAGAGATTCGAGGCGTTCAGTACTGTTCATTTCATGAACGTATTTGTGTTGCCATGAAGGTGGCATCGAAGTGGTTGATTTGGGAGAAGACATGTTGTTCTGTACTGGCGAAAGTGAAGGATGTGAAAGTGTTGATTGAGCAACAGCAGCAACAGCAGCGAAAGCAGTATTCAGCTTTGTTCTCTCGATTGTGGCGTCGAAAATGAATGTCACTCACTTAAGCTGATATGATAGCTCGTAGCTCTCAACGACGCGTAGAGAGACATGACATGTCAGGAATGTGGGGATCGGCGTTGAAAAGGGCTGGTACCCTAAGAATCGCGGCTGAGCTTGTATGACTCTCGCAAACTTGGCCTGGTACTTGGAGTTTTAGTCCTGGGGTTTTTGTGGTGCATGTGGCAATGATGCTCAAAGGTATGACTCCTTGGGTGAGTGATGTGGGTGGGGCTTATCGAGGGATTCTGTGGAGATTTCACGTACTGAGGTGGACATGATGTACAACGGCACAAAGAAACTTCTAGGCTTCGTTGAACAACTACTATCATCACAGTCACATGCTAGACCTGTGAGCCATGAGCATCGTGACTGGCAGCGTCTGGGTCAGCGGTCGGAAACTATGAGACGGTTTGAGCAGAATTGACGATTCGTCATCGCATGCATACATACATACATTCATGGTAAAGTATGCTAAAAGTAATAGTGCAACCTACCTTACACATGCGTTTTGCGATCCACTGTCTCAAAGGTCACGCGCTCAACTTACCATCGTAAAGTAACGCCACTCAGTTAGCTTTGATGAACTCGCTGGCCCCCGAACAACTCAACTCTCAAGTCAACGTCCATCTCTATGCGATTGCCTCGGGCTATCCTGCAACTGCGCCTGCAGCTCCCTCGTCAAAATGAGGTCAGCATCGTCCATCCCACGCGTGTCATCGTCAACGGCCATGCTGTCCGCACCACCCCAAAGCTGAGGATCAACAGCCATGTAATCGCTTCCTATGCTTCCCATCGGCGCCGTAGGTGCGGGATGCTGATGTTGGAGATGCGAATGGTGCGGTGAGGCGCCAGACACCGTGTCCGGGGTGGGGTCCGATCCAGCTGTGACGGTGACTCGAGATGCGCGACCACCACTAGCAGTAGAAGCACCCGCATTGCTACGTCGACTGCTTGAAAAGCTGGACTTGTCGGCTTTTGGTGCGGCTTCTTTACAGTGCACACAATTGCGGATCGCCTGGCTGACCGTCTCTTTGATGCGAACCCAGTGGTATTTCTCTGCAATACCGGCCGTGGTCTTGTTGAYTCCACCATGAGCTACATTGTGCATGTTGCGAGCGATCTCGTACTGCTTGTGTGGATCTGAGACGACTTCCTTGCCTTTCAACATCAATTTGTCGTCTTCGCCATCACCACTCGTGTTGGTGATTAGCCGGTAGTGCGTGGCGGCAGAACGGAGGCGTGACTTCTCAGCGCGGTCTGATCCGTTGGGATAGGTTCCGTTCTTAAGGTAGAACCGTATCTTGTCGAATCTCTCCTCGCTGACGTACTCGTCTCCTTCACCGCCCAGATCGCGGCCGAAAATGATGGCGTCGATGAATTGATCCGGAGAGCTCTTCAGATTACCACAACCCTTAACTCTGCCAATCCGCTTGAACCCCAGAGCATCCCATATGCGAAGTGAGGCCACGTTGGTTTCGTAGACCAGATTGAAGACTGAGTAGGTGTAGCCCAGTTTCGGTGCCCATTCGAGGTATCCCTCACCCATGAGTCTGCCCACGCCGCGGTTCCGCGCAGCGTCCGTTACGAGAAAGCCGCCATTGCAGACATGACTGCTCCTGCCAGGATAGTTGGGTTTGATGTAGAAGCTTCCCAGACATTCCTTCGTCCAGTCCACACCCCGCTCCTCCATTTGCGTCACTTCCTCCACAGCTTGAATGTCCCCAACAATCATCACAGCACCAAAGTTGGCGAACCAGTACGGCGCGAAGGAGGACATTGGCAATGGCTCCATCATGGGATACGTGTCTCCCTTTTCAATCTCTCTGTTGAGCAGCTCGCATAGATAGGCGGCCAGGTGAGGCGGAACCTGCTGCGGTGACGAGAAAGGCACCAACGTCGCCGTCGTGACTCGATCTCGAAGCGTTACCTGGCGGGGTATGATGTCCTGCGGCAATGGCCCAAACGGTATTGGGAATGGCGGCTGCCCGGACACGCGGTATATGGCCGGCGCCGTGGGATCATCGAGCATGGCCGGCATCGTGCTGTCTGTTTACTGTTGTCAGCTGCGGAATGGGTGAGTGTAGGCACACGAAGTGCATATGAGCAAAGTTGGCAGAGCACCGCCATTCAGTCTGTGATGGCATGGTATTGCATGCCGTCTGGGGCAGAGAACGTGGTGATGCAGAGACCATGGGGTGGAGTCAATGTAGGAGGAAGAGAGAACGTACCTTGAGAACAGTCGAGACGATGCGGTGTTGTTCAGTACCAGTACTACGGCCAAAGTTCTGATCACGCGCGGGCGCGGCAAGACTCAATCACTGAATCACGCTAACCGGTTTGAGTCTTCCAGTAGGCAGGCAATCCTTCCTGGGTTTCAACAACTTGTGCAACTTCTGTCAAGGCGCCTGCAAAGTCACCGTCCACATCGACATTGGATCATCGAAGCGTGTTCTATGGGAAAGCATTCTCATGGTCGACAAATTTTCACGAGTTGATGTTGTTTGACCTGGAGACCTTGAGAGACCAGCTGAAGACTGCACGTCAAGTGCATTTACTGTACAGCCTGTGTTACATGCCAACTTTTTCAGCAAGTCGCGAGCGCTTTAGAGACATCACCGTGTCTTGGAGAGGCTCACGTAAGCCATCAACAATGATTGCATTGGTCCCATGTCGTAGGAGATACTGTCAGCTTCATGATGTCCACGTCGGATGAGGCGCACGCAATTTTCAAGGCTGCTGATTTTCTTTCCATGACGAGATCGTTGTCGCCGATGTACCAACACAGCCGACGCCTCGCAAGCATACGCAGTGTCTAGATTACACCAACCTACTCTTAGGCATACCAAATACTTCACAAGATGCCTGGCGAGCCTCATAGCATCGATGCTGCATTACCCAAACCCTAACCCTGGAACACTTTTGACTAAGAGTCAATCCCTACCCACGAATTCCAACTTGAGATCTGGATGACGGAGCCTGGAATCGGCAAGACAAGTGAACCCATTGAACCATGGCTAGACATTCATACGCGACGGGCATGGCTCCACATTGCTTTTGAAGAGCTGTTCAGCTGCTGCCACGTCGAATGATTTTCATCACTCGTATCGTTTCGTACTTTATATCGTCGGTAAACTTTGCCATATCGAATGGTGATCCTTTGGGGGAATGGTCGATCTAATTGTCTCTCGGTCGATCGCTATGCAGAAGGTCGTTGCACAGTGATGTCGTTCCAAAGCCACCACAATGTAAGCTCCATGTCAGTAGACTTGATAGTCAACTAGCCTGGCTCCTTCAGCCCCCAATGAGCCTCATTCTACTGTCATGTGATAGTACCACAGAAGGCCATGGAGGGTGTGCATGTTGTCGTCCATAGCGGGTAGCGTCAGTATGATACCCGGAAGAGCCTTTATGCCGGATCGATCTAGAATTGATGATCAGAAGCTTAGCGATGCTTTACAACCGACAGCCTATCGCTGTGTGTTGCATGGTAGGTTGGATCTACATTCGTGATCTATCCACATTCCCAAATAGGCAATAATGAAACTAAAGAACGCAGGGATTGTGCTCTGCGGGTATGAGGCTAAACGCCAGAGATTTGGTTCGTGGAATGATGACCAGACTTTTGAGCACGTGTTGAAGCTGCAGTATACCACGGGAATATCTTCTTTCTTTGCGATGCAACGGGAGAACAGACCGATAATTGCATTGGGCGTAAGTTGTGAAGGAAAGTAAAACATAGCTGACTCACAGAACTTGGTCATTCTGACGGACTCTGCTCTTGCCACGTCTGCTCCTTGCGATACGTTCTGCAGGAGTGATGTCCGTAGCATTGGACGACATGCCAAGGACACGCTGGGCAGATATCAAGCAAGACTGCCATGCCTATCACTGGGATCAATCCTCCCGCTCTGAACCCGAATTTGCGCGTGGGGAGACAGTCTGGACAGCTCGCCGTCCGAATTGGGTTCTCGGGTTAGAGTGGATACCAGAGTTGCATGCTGGTGAAAGGCACAAAGCAGAATCAGGAGCGCGGCGCGTCACCCGTATAACGAGATCGGTGCGATACCTCACAATGCTTTTGCAAGATGCTTCACCGACCAGGCACGTTGTGGCCATCATGCTCTTTGGACCTGCCGGGCAGCTGTCCGCAATTCCAGAGATCCGTAGAAGGCGAATATTTTGCCTCTCGGACAGGTCYCCATCACAATGTGTGACGTGCTCATCATCAAGCTCGATCACAGGGTTTTCAAACGCCTAGAATCCAAAGTGCAAAGCATCGTCCACATGGCTGCAAGCATTTGCGAAGAAAACGGCAAGAGGCGTTCGCATAGTCGCGTGGGTGGGATGGGATGGTTTACTGTGGTTGAATATTCGGCTCTTGCCGAGGGGAATCCGAGCGTGTCGATCACAAACGTGTTCGTGGGGAAGATCCTCATTGGCCGCCATCAACTTCACGTTTCTTCCTCGAGCACAACAATTTTGATTCAGCCCTGGCTGGCCTCCCGGATTGCAAAAGTCAACCGACAAGTGTGTGCAGGGAAAGGCCCCACTGCCACTTTGAGATGTCGCGTGGCAATGGCTGGAAACACTGCTCATGCGACGCCGCACCTCACGAGTAGTGTCAAGTTTCAAACCCCGGTGCGCATTGTGCGGAGTGCACCGGAAGCCTCAGCGAGGTATTCCATCCATACAGGTGATGAGTGGATCGTCGCTCAAAGGTCGGGATGCAGCGCCCTGCTGCAGATGTGTGCTTATGCTGGTGCAACGCCTTGTCAGAGGCGTTTCTTCTGATCGCCCGGTCGATGAAGAGGCGAGTCTCGTTAGTGACGAGCGCTCGAGACGCGGCGGAGACGCGGAAGCAGTGATCTGCYACTCATTTGATGCTTGCAGTGAGACGAGGCTGCATGGATTGACTCTACCGGGACCAACGAGTGGGCGAGATGGGTGAGATTGAAGGCCAGATCTGGCATTGTAGCCGACCACCGGAGCATATCCCTTGGCAAGGATTGCACCTGCTCTGAATGGACGCTGCGAGTGGTCAGAAATAGGTTTCCATGAGCACGTCTAGCGCCGCGCTTCGCCCACGCGCGCATTAGCAGGACGCCCAGAAGCACACGCCCTCGTCCTATGCCGCGCCGCAAAGTGATGGGAGATGGGAGATGGGGGATGCTTGTTGGTGGCATGATGTTAATAAAAGCCGGGCTCCCTTGCTGCCAATTTCACCAAGCCGTACCAAGTACTCCTCATTCCCTTGGCTCCAAGATCTCGGCCTTCTTGTCGCAACTCAAGCAACTGACAAGACCTCTACCGCCATGGCGACCCGAACAGCCGGAGGCAATTCTGCCTTCCACAACTTCCACAACGACTATGCTCACATCGCCGACCCCAACGAGCGCCGCAGACTCGCTCTCGCAGAGATTGACAAGGCTCCCTTTGGTTGGTACCATGTACGCGCCTGTCTGGTCGCTGGTATCGGTTTCTTCACCGATGCCTACGACATCTTCGCAATCGGCATCGTCACCACCATGTTGGGTGTTGTCTACTGGCAGGAGTCTGCTACTCCTGGCAAGATCTCCGTTTCCTCCGACACCGCCATCAAGGTCGCAACCTCTGGAGGCACTGTCATCGGGCAGCTCGGTTTCGGTTTCCTCGCTGATGTCGTTGGTCGCAAGAAGATGTACGGTCTTGAACTGATTATCATCATCTTCGCCACTGTCGCCCAGGCTTTGACTTCCGGCTCCGCTGCCATGTCTGTTACCGGTACCATCATCTTCTGGCGTGTTCTCATGGGAATCGGTATTGGTGGTGGTAAGTTCTCGACCCCATTCGAGCAGAATGCACACCATGCGCTAACACTCTCTAGATTACCCATTGTCTTCCGTCATTACTTCCGAATTCGCTACCACCAAGTGGAGAGGTGCCATGATGGGTGCCGTCTTTGCCATGCAAGGTCTTGGTCAATTCGGTGCTGGAATCATCGCTCTCATTGTCACTGTTGGCTTCAAGGAGTCACTGATGAGCGCCCGCGGCGCTAACGCTACTGCTGTCGTTGCTGCATGCGATGGCGTTTGTCTCATCGCTGTTGACAAGATGTGGCGCATCATCATCGGGATGGGTGCCGTACCTGGCTGCATCGCTCTCTACTTCCGTCTGACCATCCCCGAGACCCCTCGCTACACCTTCGATGTCTCTCGCGATATCGTCAAGGGTGGCTCCGACATCAAGGCCTACCTCGCTGGTACCGCCGAGGGTGTCCCAGACGAGGTTACCCGTGTCAACAACATGCGCGACTCTGCACCACAGCTTGAGGTCCCAAAGGCTTCCTGGACCGACTTCTTTGGTCACATCTCGCAGTGGAAGTATGGCAAGGTTTTGCTCGGAACTGCTGGTTCTTGGTTCCTCCTCGATGTCGCATTCTATGGTGTCGGTCTCAACAACGCTACCATCTTGACCGCTATCGGCTACGCTGGCGGTACGACCGCGTACGAGTACTTTTACAACATTGCTGTCGGCAACATGATCTTGGTCTGCGCTGGTGCCATTCCCGGTTACTGGGTCRCCGTCGCTCTCGTTGACACTGTCGGACGTAAGCCAATTCAAATGATGGGTTTCATCATTCTGACCATCATCTTTTGCATCATGGGCTTCGCATACAAGCCGATTGGAGAGAACGGTCTTCTCGCTTGCTACGTTATCGCACAGTTCTTCTTCAACTTCGGACCCAACTCGACCACCTTCATCATTCCCGGCGAGTGCTTCCCAACTCGCTACCGTTCCACCTGCCACGGTATCTCTGCCGCATCCGGTAAGGTCGGTTCTATCATCGCCCAGGCTGCTCTGGCTCCTCTCCGCACACGTGGTGCCACCAAGGAGAACGCTTCTCCATGGCTCAACCACGTTCTCCAGATCTACGCTCTTTTCATGCTTCTCGGCTGTGGTACCACTCTTCTGGTCCCAGAGACAAAGCGTCTCACTCTCGAGCAGCTCGCTGGTGAGGTGCCTGGTACTCCTCAGTACGACCCTGTCCTTGCTGGTCGTAACGCGATGCGCACCGATTCGGACCCATCAGATGAGATTTCTCGTGAGAAGGGAGATCACAATGTTTAATGAGTGAATGCATGAGTACATAGCGATATCCCCCGTTTAATGAGAAACACTCTCTCTTGACTCTGCAATTTCCTCATCTTTGAATCTCCATTACATTTGCAGAAGCCTCGTTATATCACTCGATCTTTGGCAACGCATCGAGTGATAGCCGTTCATGCGAAAATCACACTTCGGACCGAGGCATTGGAAGCGAGATGGGAAAAGATGGACAGAAAGGGCTGTCATCTTTTCCTTCCATCACTCACGCTTTTGATAAGTTCACGATGGCACAGAACTTCAGATCAGTGGCCTATAGCGTCTCTGCTGATGGTAAAGTGGCATATATAACACTCAACCGTCCCGAGCGAATGAATGCGATAGATCCACATCTCCCGAGCGAGCTCCGAGCAGCAGTGAGACTCGCCAACGCCGACAACAAAGTCCATTGCATAGTGCTAAAGGGCGCAGGGAAAGGCTTCTGCGGCGGCTATGACCTAGTCTCAAGCGCGGAACAAGCAYAGCGTGGCAAGACCGGGGGAAGTCAAGACCTGACAAACGGTTACGATCCACTACAAGACTATCAACTCATGAAAGAATGTACAGAGTGCTATGCCGAATTATTCCACAGCCACAAGCCGACTATTGCTCAAGTCCACGGTGCCGCTGTCGCAGGCGGCAGTGACATTGCTTTGAGCTGTGATTTGGTAATCATGGCTGATAATGCACGTATTGGGTATCCACCGACGCGAGTCTGGGGATGTCCAACTACCGCCATGTGGACTTATCGTGTCGGAGTGGAGAAAGCGAAGAGGCTTCTCTTCACTGGAGATCTGATCGATGGGAAGGAAGCTGAACGCATGGGACTCATCCTCAAATCTGTGCCGGAGATGGAGTTGGAGTATACGGTGCAGTTACTGGTGGATCGTATCAAGACGGTTCCGGTCAATCAATTGTGGATGCAAAAAGCAGTGGTCAATCAAACTATTCAAGGCCCGCTTGAATCTAGCCAGCAACTTTCGACAATATTCGATGGTATCACGAGAAATTCGCCAGAAGGGATCGCTTTTCAAAAGCTTTCGGCCGAGAAGGGTTTCAAGCATGCCATCTCACAGCGCGATGAGCCTGGAAGAACAGAGGAGTACCGCAAAGTGTGGAAGAGTTCGCTGTGATTAGAAGACATGCTCTGCCTATAGGGAATGTCGAATTTGGCAAGGAGCGCTGTCACGCATGGGACTGGCCTACAGCACGATATCTTGAAACATCGAAGCCCATTGAAAGTTCTGGGGAGCCTCATTTTCGTTATATACCTACGAATTCTTCGAATGTACTGCGCAAAAGCCATGCGCATCATGTATGGTACGATGCTACGACACGGCAAGATTCTAGCTCTAGGAGCGAGCAGGATCATCGAGCAGTATCAGTCTCTGCTTCTCGTCGACACGCTGTGTTCAAACTTCCTACTCGAAGCTACATTCATCCTCATCGCACTCAAGCGGGATGCCTGTTGCATTCATCGGATGGTATTTCGTCCAAGCTTACATGTCTGAGAGTCCCCGAGAAGAACATTCATCAGACCAGACGGCTTGGCACTAGCAGATCTCAAGATGCTGTGGATGAATACCAAAGGGATGTTCATCACACTGTTGTACGTCTTTGCGGATGGTTGTATTCAGTCGCCATACTGAGTAGCTGGTTCTCGAGCAGGACAAAGCAGTCGCCCAATATCATTCTAGGAATACTGTATCGAAAGCCTGAGTACTCAGAGGCGAAGACATGCCATCCACAGGCCGCAATGCATACCGGACAGAGAGCCGCACGAAGAATGTAATGCTGGCAAGATCTCGAGCGCGCCTTCAAAGGCATGTCGCAATGAACAAGTCCCGTGAAGCACCGTCGGAGCATCCGACGTCTTCTTATTATTGCCTTACCGAACCTGCTCGATCGGTACAGAAAGTACATCATGCTGCTCCTTTTAGATCTTTCTGGCCTGTCTTGGGTTCTCTTGATTTGTGCATCGCGGGAATTTTCAAGTAAGATGTCCTCGCTCTATCATTCGGTGTGAGCCACACTAAAGGATTACAGCTGTTGCTACGAGGATCGTTCGTTGGATTTGTTCGACTTCGTCGTACACGACTCCGTTTCAAGGCACGACGACACCCTGCACATTCGCTTCGTCGGCATCGGGTGACACAGAAGCCATGCCTACAGCCTGGATCAGCGGTAGTTTGAGCTCACACTCACCAGATGGAGAGATCAGAACCACGAAAATCGAAGGCTTGACCATGTCTTCTACAATCACAGCTACCCMTTTCTTCAGCACCATTGTTMTTGGTGGCAACACGGAACTGTTCCGATTGAGAAGTCTCTACCACGATTGTTCGAGGACTGACTACTTCAATCCCTGTCAGCGCCTCGCTGTCGGAACCGGCGCCGGCATACACCACCGTCGTGCTCGGTGGATCGACCAACATCTACACTATCAATGACCAAACCACAACGACGATCATCGGAAAGTCCAAGACTTCATATGCGGTGTCGTGAAGTCTGGATCAACTGTACGCAACCATCGAATGAGAAACTCGATTGGTCAACAAGCTCGCACAATCAAAGAACCGGAAGTCTAGGGTGATCAGATGGTAGCAAGTTCCATGATAATGTTATCTCCAAAACGACCATTGCGTACTATACCTCAATGCTTCGAATTCGACATGTATAATTCGGCTTTTGAGTGGTCCACTGTCAGTCGACGCCCCTATTTCGTACAATCTGTGATTATTTGCCAAGAGCCCGCTTCAACTTTCTCATGGGGTTGCTCAAGTGGTGCATTCTCCCGATCTATTGACTACTAACAACGATTCTAAGCTGCCCTGAATACCTGGCATCCATGCTCCTGTGGGGCTAAGAACGATCGAAGATGTAACAAACCCCTACCCTTCCTTTCCCGTCCAAGTTTATACTCTTGCCTACTACATGCATATTCCCTAAAGACGAAATAAGGTCCAAGCCGATTGAAGTTCCCCACCGAGGGAACTCAGGAGCTTCCCTAAAGACTACTCTTAGCAGACTCTGCATGTCTGAAGAAGTTCTTCGAATTTGGTGTTGAGCTTTTTGCGTTGCGAGACGTGAGCTGACTCTCCCTATCCACGCACTGAACAGCTAAACTCGAAGATATTAGAGAGCTATTTCATGGGGCCTTCTAGCCCTTGAGACTGGGATCGTTTCTCTCGTTCGGTTTCAAGGACAGCGTCGAGATTGGAGCTACTTCTAAGGCTGAGATGCTAGATGATGTAGCGAGCATGTTTGCTCATGTATTGAGGGCACATTCCGAAGGTTAACTAGGCATAACCATATGGGAGTAATGAAGGATAGTATCTACATCGTTAACGCGAAACTATTCGTCATCCACTATGGTCTTGAAGTAGTACATCTTGGTCTATATCAAGATCATCTGTAGGCTTGACGGGTAGAATGACAAAGATCATTCCACCACGGCCAGTTAAACACCTTCGTTCTTAAACTAGAGAGGCGTGGTGCAAGAAACGGAGTGAACGCAGACCCATGGCTTTAGCTCTGACTTGGTCTGCTAGCGGGCTACTCTAAGCCTGTTCGGGCAATTTGAGTACTCTTGGCACCGGCCCGAGCTGCGAGATTAGCCTGATCAGGTCTCCGTTGTAGCCGACTCGGCAAGCAAAATCCGAACAGGAAACTCCAGTGGCGATGAACTAGCGCGCCTGCCACGAGGTCTCTCACAGCCACAGCTACGCAGACGAATGCGTGTCAATTCTGCCGCAGCTCGCATGGAGGCTCGGGCTGGCCCTGTCAACGCTACAGACCTGGGATGAAGGGGGGACGATCCGGCTATCATCACTCTGCAATTGACTACAGCGCCAGGAACATTTCTCCTCTTGATTGCGGCCTGAGAATGCCGATAGTGTGAACCCAAACCTCATATTTACTTGGCATGTCATTCAACGATGATCATTCGTTCAAATGGAACATGGCCCCTGCCGACGGAGCACCACCCATTCTCTCTTTGAGGCTACACCAGAGCGGGAAAGGATCTGTACAACGGCGTTGCCCATTCCGCGGGCGTGCAATACATAAGCCCAAAAGTCTCGCTGTAACAAAAATGAAAGCAATTTGCTGGAGGGTTTTGCTATTAGCGTGGGAGCTTTGCTATCACATTGGACGACCTCCAATTTTGACGGCAAGCATTTTTCGACGCTGTTGTTGGAAAGCTTCGATCAGATTTCTGATCACGGCGGTGGAAGCAACAGAAGCAGCTGAAAACCATGGCTCCTCACTTTTCCGCGCAGCGCGTCTCACTAATATTTGGAGGCTTGTTCGTTTTCTTCATCACGTTTGCGTTTACATTTGTATGTCGTCTTACCGGAGACTGATCGATGGAGCAACATGACTGACCTTTTGTAAAATAGAACGACTCGTTAAGGAATCATGTTTTACCTGGCAGACCGCATACCAGCAAGTCGAAGTCCTCATCACAGCTGAATTCGGAAACGAAACTACATGTCCTACTGCCGGCTTCTCGTGGAGCGGTCGATATGTGCAAGACACTGTTGACTGGAGCGATTCTGGGATATCCCACGCCAACCCTGATCGCGTGGGGAGGGATATTCATGGAGGGTAAGTGGCCCGACGTTCTTTCAAAGAATTGAATTGACCGCATTATCAGACAACACACTTGGAGGTGGCAGCCATATTGCCAAGATATCCGGCGTTAAGGATTACTTGGATGCTATGGATCCTTCTACAGATGATGACTTGATACTTATGATGGATGCATATGGTATGGCTATTCATTATTTGTGATCCATTCGGAAGCGCTGATCTAAGTGGCCTATAGATATATGGTTACAACTACCCCCAGAGGTGCTCATCAGCCGTTACTACTCTATGAACGCAAAAGCAAACAAACGCCTCGCCACTAAATTGGGGCAAGCTTACGATAAAGAGGACATTCGCCAAACCATCATCTTCGCTGCAGGAAAGCGTTGTGCTCCAAATAAGCTGCATACGATTGCGTGCTATCCGATCCCGGATTCTCCCCTTCCCGATGATACCTACGGCTCAAACACAGACACAGTCATGGGGAGAAACAAATACACCAGTCTCAAGCAGAGATATCTCAACTCAGGGTACCATAGCCAAAAATCGTTGCATTTTGTTTTCAGAACATGAGCTGACGCTTTCCTCCCCATCCAGATACATCATTGGTCCACGGAGAGACTTGCGCAAACTTTTCCATCGTGCCGCCGAGAAGGTTGAGTCAACACCGGCACTCGATCCTTGGGACAACGGCAGCGGCGAGGCCAACAACATGTATCGTGGAAGTGATCAATCGATCTTTTCGACCATCCTTGGCGAGCAGGAATATCAACGTGAGGTCCTCCGCAGGAGGCATCTCACAAAAGAAGAACGTCTTCTTGGCAAAGAGAAACCAACGCCTCACCAAATTGAAGGCACTATCATCGCTGATCCGCTCAATCCGCCTTATACGCATGAGCCGGGTGAAAGCAAAAAGGGGAGACCAGACGAGTATGGAATTGGACTAGATTACTTTTCCGACATGGGACTCCAGACAGTGAATGCGGAGGAGGACATGGAATTTCTCCTCTACAACACGAGTATCACGGAGCAAGTGCAGCAACGACAGCATCACTTCCATGGAATCTTCGACTGCCCTAATCGCATTGGGCAGGACCTGGCGGGGGACATACTGGAAAGTCAGCCGCCTCAGACCGCACTGACGGGCTCTGGTCACTGGAATGAGCTCCCCCTCGCATCGAACTTGTGTACCGGGACAGTGCCCGTCATGATCCATCATAATGGCGATAAGAATGCGAGAGCGTGGCAGTGGCCGATGACTTGGATGCAGCCGCTCGCAAGGGAGCTAATGCGAGACATCGTATCCAAGAATCCTCCAGTCCCGGGTCTGAAGGGGATTGGTGGAGCTTATTTGCCGGGAGGAGGATATTTGGATTGGCAGACGCTGTGTCCAAGCAACTATGAGTATGAGCTATTTCGTGATGTCGAGCCGCCAGAAGAAGCACCTCCGCCAGCATAGATAGCATCTATCAAAGCTTTTAATCGCCATATACCATCCCTTCAACACAGAGGATGAGGAAGCTCAATCCAGACAGACATTGAACGAATGCTGGAATTGGCTTTGAGGGCCCCATTTCTGGGCTCGGTCAAAGAACATACCCAATGTCCTCCATAGTTTCCTTGGCCATTACGAGACGAAGCCTCGTGTCCATTCCCTGGCATACAGATCTTCAGTGCTCTATGAGTCCTCGCTGCGAGACGAGAAAACCCGAAATAGCAACTGCGAGCATGATCGTCCAAGTTGTAGCCATCTGTACGTGCTGTTAGCAAGTGAAGACTTGTGGTTCCAGGATATCATAGTCTAACCTTTGCATTCGAATCCCACCAAGGCTCAGTCGAACTCTTATAAGGGCCAACGCGAGTACCCACCCAAAGCATGATGCCCATCCCACCTATCATACAGAAAACGCTTGCAGCTAAGAACAATGGACCAATCTGCCAAACTTGTACGCGTAGTCTTCGAGGACGATATGCACCATCCTTGTCAAGGTTGGGATGCGTCATACAATCACGAAAACGCTGTAGACCATCCCGATGGGCACAAAGTCGATGCAGACTCATGGACTGCTGAGCTACAATGAGCACTGTAAAAAGTGCGAATAGTATTCCTGCGAACCAGCACGTCTTTACCGTCCAGGGCTGCGTTCGACCATTTCCGAGCACATTCGGCCAGTCACCCGTAGATGTCAAGCAGCTTGCGAGGAGGGCACCCTGCTACAGATAAGCCATACAGTTTGAAGACTGTGATTGGAATCGCAATGGCTGATGTGAATTGGAGGATCATCAATTGTTGCCGGGACTTACAACGATACCAACAAAATTGAGCTCTTCCAATTTGTGCGTCTGCCATCTCTCGGTGAGACGATCACGCTCCTCTGCATCCCGTGTGTTGATTATGATACGAATAGAGTCGTAGCTTCCATCTTCTAGCATGAGAGCCCTGCGTACTGTCCGCATTCCTAGGCCAATTTTGTGTGCCTGTGCCAAGTCAGCCTATGAATAAAAATGCCGCGGGCGAAGAAAGGGGTACCATAGACGCCAGTTCACGGTACCTGCTCGATGCCGAGCCCAGGGTCGTACGAGCGAGCAGATCCACGAAACAAGGCTGGCTGATGGGGAAAGTGTACGTGACGGTCTGTCAAACTTTTCCACGGCATCTTCGTGCGTCAGAGTGAGGATTGCCGTGCTTTACCGTTGCCGTTTGAGCTAGCCCGCCGCTGTGTGCTGGAAGTTTAAAATCCGTCCTCGGTCCTCTCGTCCCATACACCTCATTCATCGGATTGGCTTTGCCCTGTGCAGATTAGCGAAGATTGGCAGCGAGGACGGGGTGTCACTCGCGGTAGTCGTTGCGGTACGGCAACTACCATTCCGACGCACGAAGACGCTGTAGTCGGAACTGCGTAACTTAGTGAGAGCAGAAAACGCGAGACCACGCATCGACCACGTGAATTCCAAACCTTGTCGGATGTTATTCCAAACCTTGTGTGAAGAGCCTGAAATCGAACAAGTGAGGCCGCAGGTATGACATACGTCGAAACTTGACAGCACATGCGTACCTTTGTCCTTCCCGATCTAGCAGGTGAAGATCTTGATTCAGCCAGCTTTGCGTTCAACCAATCCAATGTTCTCCATGTTATTTGCAATACATTGCCCAGCTATACGTGGCAAACGGACAAGAAGGGTGGCTRCCAAGCCAGGCGAACGCTGCTTCATTCCAGCTATTCATCATTGGTTGGCTCAACAGGATACGCATGAAATCTTAGCTACTTCTAGCTAGCCCAGCCATAGCGCATGGCATACCCCTCGCTGAAAACAGGGTGTTTTGGAACTACTGTAGAAGAAAGCGATGGAGGCGTGATGCTATCTCAATTTTGCCATGCTCTCGACCAACATGACACATCCGACAGGACCATGGCAAATCTGCACCAAAGCTAGCTCGTCGTGAAAGGTATGTAGCAACGATCGAGCCGTCGATGTTCGTCGAACCTTGAGGTCCAGGAAAGCTGGCTAGGGTCACGGCCGATGTGGCAGACGCTATGATTTGCAAAGTGTGGCAGTAGACGGAGGAGACATGCTCTGGTCTACAGAATGTGTTGCCAGCGCCACCAAGTCCGCTGCGCCCCTCAATCGCATGAATTCAATCCCCGCTAAGATTTCAATGCATGATATCTGCTATATAAGAGCCTGCTCATGATACAATCTTCTTCTCCCATCAATCTTCAAGCGGAAACAGACATAACGATGCCAGATTCCAACGACCACGACAAGCTGGAGGAAGAAGACCATGCCGATATCAAGCCGCAAAGAGTGCTACACGACAGTGGCGAGACGGGTGTCCCTGATTTGAGAATTCTTCATTTCAACGATGTTTATCATCCACAGTGAGTCTCATGGATGCCAACAATCATCAACCATAATCCTGACACCAAATTCCGCACAGCGGCAGTGAAGAAGAACCAAAAGGAGGCGCGGCTCGTTTCAAGACCCTATGCGATTACTACCGCAACGACTCACAATTCCAAGACGCCCCGAAACCCTTGACGTTTTTCTCCGGAGATGCATTCAACCCCAGCAGCGAAAGCTCCGTCACGAAAGGGGGCCATATGATCCCAGTTCTCAACGAACTTGGAATCGATGCGGCTTGTGTAGGCAACCACGAATTCGACTTTGGAGCAGCGCATTTTGCTTTCTTAGCCAAGGATTGCAACTTTCCATGGCTGCTGGCCAATCTCTTCGATCCTAATTTGAGGAAGGATGGTGCCGAGCTACATCCCCTGGGTGGCTGTAAACGCACCATGATGCTGACGACTTCGAATGGAATCAAGGTTGGAATCATGGGTTTGGTGGAGAAAGAGTGGACGGAGAAGATCGACAAATCTTTGCCTACTAATGTGGAATTCCATGATATGGAGGATGTGGCGAGAATATTGGCGCCGCAGCTTCGGGATCAGGGTGCGGATATTGTTATCGCATTGACGCATGCTAGACAGCAGAGAGACCATCATTTCTGCAAGGCCATACCAGCCGGATTAATCGACATCGTTCTCGCGGGGCATGATCACTGGGTGGAGCATAGGAAGTTTGACAATGGTACCGTTCTGCTCAGATCCGGATTTGACTTCAAGAATCTCACCCATACTGAGGGATTTCGTCAAAAGGACGGAAGTTGGAAATTCAACATTGTACGAAGAAACCTGATTGGTGATATCAAGGAGGATCCCACAGTCAAGAAACACTGCGAAGACATTGTGGCCGATGTTCATCGTAAGATGCAATGCCCACTGGGCTTGACTGCCGTCCCACTGGAAGCAAGGAACGAGAATTGCCAGACACAGGAGGTCAACTATGGGAACTTCCTGGCTGATCTCATGCGAGTCTATCACGGAGCAGACTGCGCTATAGTGACCGGAGGAACATTCAAAGCAGACAAGATCTTCCACTCTGGACGACTCTTGGTCAAAGATATCGTGGACACCTTTCCGTTCGAAGACCCGGTAGTGGTTCTTAGAGTATCAGGGAAGTCCATCCGAGAAGCTCTCGAAAATGGTGTGAGCAAATACCCAGAGCCATATATCGGCTTCCCCCAAGTGTCCAACATCTTCTTCTCATTCGATCCCAAAGCGGAAGCCGGCAGCCGCATACAGACCATCAGACTTAATGGCGAGGATATGGTCGACGAGAAGCGTTACACAGTAGCAACTCGAGCACTTTTAGCTTTCGGGAGTCGTGGCTACAAGTCCTTCAGAGCGGAAAGAGTTGGCGGAGACGCCGAGGAAGTGATTGACGAGGAAAATGGCGTCCTCGTCACAGGGATGTTGCGCCAATATTTCACTTGGGTTCAGACCGCCGAGGCCTTCAAAGCGCTTTCATGCGATGGGAATGAGCTGGAATGCCATCGACAACAAGTCACGAGTCATTTGGGACGGTCTTTTGCTCGATGGCGTAATGATGAGGAGAAAGTTGAGCTGATTAAGAAGAAGGTCATATGGAAGTGGAAACGACTGGCAAAGACGCAATTCGATGTTGAACGCATGATGCGAGCTGGCGATGGCGAATTCTTTCCTGGATGGTCGAGGGGAGTGGCTCCGAGAGTTGAAGGCAGGATTACATKCTCTCAAACGAGTGCATAAGAGAACACGACTTCATTCGTATCTTAGTTGCCGCTGAGGCTCAATTCACCAAAAAAGAGCCGAATGTTTCTCTTACCCGGAATTCTTTCCCACCAGTTTTCTTATAGTATTCATCAGAGAGTATTGCGTTGTGGGACAATGGCCTCAAAGCCCAACTGTGAAAAGCAAGGCATCGATTTCTGTCCCTTTTCTTCTGCATGCTCGGGGTATCATCACACAAGACGGATCATTCCCAGCGAGAGCCCCTCCTTTTCGGTCTACGTAACATAAGGCTGATAGACCGTACCGTGGAGCAACGACTTTCGATAGAGCCGTCTATTCAAGTACTTGAGATGGAACTTCAACCCCATGGTCGCCGAAATGGCAACGACCGCACAGACCATCATGAGAATAAAAGCTAGCTGGTAGCGAGGCTGATCCGAGTCCCGGAAAAAGTACGGGGCGATGACATTACCAATCTGGCCGAGGACATTGCAAAGAGCGACGGCGACGGCACGATTCTCCGGCGTCCGCCCCATGGTGCTCGAAACCCAGGTGCTGATCAGCGGGTTCGCCGTGTACATGCCGCCAACGTACAGGAAAGATGCACCATATCGTGCACCTCCATTGAGTGTGGCCAGACAGATGACATAGCCGGTGCAGCCAACCGCGATAGGAATAGCAAAATGATAGCCACGTTCAGAGGTCCTGTCCGAGTGCCAGGCATTGATAAGCGAGCCTATAGCGGCAAAAATGTAGGGTGGACAAGTCAGCAGCAGGGTGACTACATCGCTGTATCCGAAACCCCGCACAATGTTTGGGAAGAAATTGGAGAAGCCATAGGCGGCACTGATTCCTATGTTGAGGGCGACGAGTAGGACCATTTTCCAGTCGAAAATGGCCATTTTGAGACCCGCCCATACCCCTGATTTGGCTTCCGAAGTAGAGACACGATCGGCGGCGATACGTGCTGCGGCGAGCTGGCGCATATCTTCCGTCATGGTCCACATGGCGCTACCGGTCTGCGAGTGTGGGTAGTCGGGCAGGATAAATAGAGCAATCAGAGCCAGTCCAGTACCACACACGGCCAGGACAATAAATAGCCATTTCCAACCGGCGATGCCGTATTTCTGTGGGAAGTAGGTCAGTTTTACGATCCATTTGCCATTGCTGTAGGGCGGACTGACCTGGTCGAGAGTGCCAAAGACAGCCGCAGCGATCAGCCCGGCCGTACAGAACGCCAAAGTCTGCCCTGTGTATAAGATGGCCACTCGCATGGCCATTTCTCTGCGGGTGTACCAACAACCCATCAAATAGACAGCTCCTGGGAGTAAAGGTGCTTCCACGACACCAAGGAAGAAGCGCACAAGGACTAGCCCGGTGAAATTGGTTGTACCACACATGGATGCGGAAACGCCCGACCACACAATCGCCATGAGGCAGAGGTACAGACTGGGTCGAAGATGTCCAATGATCATATTCGAAGGAATCTGACCAAGTACATAACTGTAGATTTTCTATCAGTATTTCGAGAGGAATGGCCTGAAGTTTAGAAACCTCACCCGAGAGACAAAATCATCACAGCAGTCTGGTAATGGTCCTTTTCTTCGTCCAGATTCAAGTCCACTTCGAGCGTATTAAGACGAGCCTGGGCAATACTCGCACGATCTAGATAGTTGAACAGATAAAGCGTCCACAAGCAGGGCTAGGAGGTTGATGAGTAAAAGGTAGTACTCTAAAATCGAGGTATATCCAATACAACTTACCATCAGCGTCATATCCAGGCGTCTGACCAATTTCTTCTCGAGGGTTCTCCATTCCGGTATCCCCAATGCATCGATCTGATCCTCGGGACGAGGAATGTAAGCCACTTGCTTGTCCAGGATCTCCGCGTCGACGAGTTCATCGCTCTTTGCTTTTAGGCTTTGGGCCGAAGGATCGACTGATGTCCTGCCTGGTGGTAAAGTAGCATTGTTATCCTCGACATGCTGGGGTACGACCTYTTTATCCGCCATGGAGTATAGTTACTAGCGAACGTGGTGATGTTTTGTGAGTAGACGGAGGTATATGGGCTCGCTGCTGCAGACTGTGAGCCAGGCAAGGAATTGATACTTTTATACACGACTAGCCCAAGGAACTCTGCGTGGTTACCGAGGGCACAATCTGTTGCCAAACATGAGTGCGTTCACAGATCCAAGGGCCATACCGGAGACTCTCGCGACTGTGAACCAATGGGATGTGTCACGATACCATGTTGTCCGGTCTTCCTTCCCCATATCTGTAGATGGTCTCCACAGATTCAAGGCCCAAGATATGTGAGTCCATAAAAATCGACGCTCGGCCCTCGCGTCCCCAGGTTCGCAGCCGCAAACCTCCGCATATCAAGACCATAGGAACCCACAATATTTCAGGCGATGTGGATATTCAGACCCCATCAATGATCAATGATATCCTGGGGTGGGATGGGAAAGCCTCCAAGAGTCTTGTATCCATGACGTTGCCTGTTTGGTACGAGATAATGTGGGTCCGCAGTCGGACGCTGGGCAGACCGCGTGTCTCGAATGCAGTCTTCTAAGTAGGAGGTGACGAGCAAAGAGTTGCAGGTGTCGGTGTGGAGCAGAAACAGAGACGGGTTGATGTAACCAAGCAGCCAGCCCAGCGTTTCCAGCGCCTATCTTGACGGCGCGTCCAGACACACACCTCTCGTCCGATGGCTCCCTGGATCAGCCTTCTATTGTTGACAACTCAATCTGCCGAGTGTCGTGTGTAGGCCGGAATTGACCTCTAGATCAGGAGACTCGTCCTTACAACAACACAATRTGGCCTTCCAACGCTGATTGATATACATAGCTTCCATCACCTCGGCGTGATGGTTTGCGATCTCGTCGAGTGTCGTCGGCCATGTGCCAAGGACGATGCCGCGTACACCAAGACGGATCACGGCGACGGTGACGGCGACAGCGTCGGCCAAGTTGCACGACGTCTCATCGCATTGGAGGTGTGGAGACTCACGGCAATTCGCATCCGCTACCGTAATTTCCGTGGTTTGAGCTCTTCAAAGTGAAATTGTGTCGATGAGTATTCGAAGGAGAGACCAAACTCCTGCAACGGAGGAAGTGGTGAAATAGGAAAATTTGCTGACAAACAAACCCTAATAATATAACCCTAAGGTTAAGGTCCACATTTCACGTCTTCTTTTTACACGAACGACAAGACGATCAGGAAGACACACTCGACAAGACTTCGATTCTCCACAACTCTTCCAATTGGATCAGTCATGGCGTTCAGTCCGTGAGCGTGATTGTCGTCTGATACAACGAAAGCCGGCAAGCTTCGTCGTGAACTTGCAGCTCGACTTGACCAGTCCGGCGATGTTGAAGCTTTGGGTTATTTGCATTCTACTTGGTACGGCGACGATCCAGAACTCGAAGAAAAGAGACCTAGTGCAGCCGATTGCTCACCATCTTGGACCACAAATCCGACGGAAGTGGAGAGACGACGAATTCTGTCCTCACCGTAACAGTGACAGCTATACCGAAAGAGGAGGAATGTTGCTGAATCGTCCAGTGCTCGTCAGTATAAGTGGATTAGATCGGAGCTCTCTCTCTCTCTGCGTTGAGTCGATCGATAAGCTTCGACGAAGGTACTGACTGCTACAGCACGCAGGCTTTTGCTGTTGTGTAAAAATCACAAACGTAAGTCGTTTCGAAGGAAAGCACAGCCCCGTCAAGATTGGCCATCTAATACTCACCGTGGCTCAGAGAATACACTCTGCGAGAGCTCCATACCGCAGAGCGTATATACTATTAGCTGAAAAGGGGTAGGATTGTGTGCTTCCTGGCGTCGTTTTATACGGCCGGCGCCGCCATGTGTGAAGACCATCGATGTTATGATAAGAATGCACTGCCCCTTCTCCCTTGAATCTACGCTTTCGGTGAGTACGGGGGACTGGCAGGATAGAGTGGAACCTTCGGAGAGCTCATGCCCTGTAGCTCGACCATGCCGTTTTCCGGAAAACATACCATCGGATTGGACTCGGTTCAAGCGCCAAGGGATGACGTTCAATGTACCATATCCACTCAGATAGCTGGACTTCCTGCAATGTGAGAGGAGCTGACCGTTTTCCCCAACATGTTACGTGTACAGCACTTGGCACGGCACACTTCGTAAATGCAAGGTGACGCGTCTGGATCTATAGAGCAATACATATGAACGCAGATATATTCATCAAAATTTTCAGCTTGCCACAATTGATTTCCAATCCTAACCAGACGCAAGACTTTTTTGTACATTCCAAAATGACCTTCCTCGCCAGCGCCCAAGATGTTCGCATTGAAGATGACCATGTCCTAAAAGGACAACTACAGAACGTGGAAGGCGAGTGGGAGGACGCAGAGATAGATCTCGATCAGTTCATTGCGAATGACAATGGACGATTGGCTTGGGATGGGGAGAGTGAGTAACAACACCCTTCATCATGTATCTATTAGCTGATTTTCTTATCTTGAGACTTTTCTGGGTCCGCCGAGGAAGTTTCATTCTCAATCGAAGGCGATGGAGACGTTCCAGTTTTGAGAGCTGTTCTTCACTCCGAGGATGGCGCACAGCAGTCGGATCTCAATTTGGCGGAGCGTCTTGAGAATCACAATGGTAGCTTCGTTTTTGGTATGAGTTAGCTTTTTGCCTCTTTTACATACTATTAAACTAACCGCTAGTTAGTGTGAATCGATGCATGGTCTGGTGGCATCTGATCCCTAGGGATGGTCAACTGAGTTCGAAATTGTCCCTTGGTATATAAGCAAGAAGGAAGTTTCGATGTGTAAACACAATCCACACCTATCTAGAATCATGACGCTGTTTCCACTTCAGTCGCACAAGTTATTTAATATACTGGAGCTGCAGAGGGTCAGAGGAAGCTGACGACCAACAATGAGTCTAGCATGGACACTCAATACGCAGACACGACAGAGAGTGCGACGTTAAAATCACGTCTGTGATAATTCCAGCAGATCTGATGGCATCATATAACAGCGAGTCTCGATTGAACAGACTCGCCATGACCATTCCTCCTTTCCAAGAACCCGTGAAATTAAAGATTATCGGCTGCCTTTGAAGTGAGATTACGACAATGCTCGCAAGTCGGTGGCCATAGGCACAAAAGGAAACAGGCTGACGGAGAGTCACATGTCTTCTGGAACTTGCAAAAATGACTGATAGTCCAATGTGAAAAGTGATGGATTATTGTCAGATTTGCTTTCTTTGTCTGAGGTTGATGAGGTGTCTTGCGGTGAGGACAATGGCTTGTCGTCGGAGACTGGAGAGGCCATAGATAATTATTTCACCGGAGCCGGCGTATTCTGTGGATGCGGATGCGTTCAGAAACAAGGCCGACTTGAGAGGTGTAAGAAGAAAAGGACCCTCTGCGAATTGACTTTCAAATGTACAGTTTCAAGTACTGTACATGTACATACACTGTGATGTACATCCATCCACCTCTTTGCAATCGTTGCGACGTCATATTTGCCGAGTCTATGAATGAATGAGATTAGAGACATAGCGTGGTATCGTGTGAAAGATTCACTTCGGGCCCCGGAACCAGAATTTATCCGGGACCAGGCCCCCATGTGCGGATCTGTATTTCGCCCTGTCCCAATGCACACTTCTCTACATTCTTGTGTGCACATTGCGCACGCAGATTCGGTCTGATATAGTTGCCTCTCGTCTCGTACTTTCCAAGCCGAGCTTCTGTAAGAAGATGTACTAATAGGTTCAGGTAACCCGCATTTCAAAATCTTGTCGTCAGCTTGCCAGGTGTGAACGACTAGAGGGATTGCGCAAGGTCTTTTCGTCGATGTTATCTGCTCTCCATCAGGGGTATGAACAGCAAAACTCGAAATCTTCGCATGGCTGAGCACTGGCTAGCACTTCCGACTCCTTTGCATTGTCGCATTCTAGTACCAGATAACACTCTAGTCGCGTCGGGCCTGATGCGACAAAAGGGTAGCTTAAGCGATTCGTGCTCGGCCAGCGAAAGCGATGGACTGGCTGCAAGTACAGGATAGCGTGTGCCACTCAAAACGAAGCAACAATAGCGTTACGAAGCACATATCTCGGTGTCGTGCAATTGGCTCTGCTTGAAGGATGCGAGCGAAATGTAGAACAAGCGACCTGGACTCTAGTAATCGGAAAGAACGGTGCGTTATTAACGGTCGTTATTTACGTAAAGCACCGTTCTGCGTAATTTATAATCCGGTACGCTAAGGTGCGATATTGCTATATACGTAGCGTACGTAAAGGGCGTAAGGGGCTTAATATTACCTCCGGACGCTAGCTAGATAGTTAAAGGCGCTTAGTTAGAAAAACTAAAGGAGTTCTTAGGCCTATAATTAGCTAGTTAATTTTCGTTAATAGTGTGTTTTTTAGCTAATTAAGAACCGTACGAGTCGTTTACGTAAGTAAGAGATATATATAGGCGTTCTAAAAGATGCTTCTTTTACCTTACTAAGCTATCCTTACTATATTATCTAAGTCTACTATTTTACGCTCTAGCTCTTTAACTATACTAAGCTAATAAAGGGCGTAAACTACAACATATAATAACACTAAATAAAGTTATATATCGTATATTGCTTAGACGAGGGGAAATAATTTGCTATACCTCGCCGAGTAAATAGACAGGACTATAGGCTCTTAATATAGTCCTTGCTTATAGGCTAAAAGGCGATCGATTAACGTAGACACTTAGTAGTAGCGTAAAAAAGAGTAAAGAAGATTCGATAGTCTATATAAAGTTCGAATAGAAGCTGCTTTTTATAGGCCCTATGTCTATACTAAGCTACTCCGCGGAGGTGTTAAGCGTCTAAGCTATTAGTAGTAAAAGCATAAGTACTATTAAAGAGCGCTCTTATAGTAAGACGGTCGATTTTGTCCTTCTTAGAGGTTAGTATAATATGCCTTTTAATAGTATTATCTATTATTGTTTATCTATTCGTACGAGCTCGTTCGAGAGTAGTCTTCTCTATATAGGCCTAATAGCTATTAAGGTAGGCTAACTACCGTGCTTTGCTATACTTTTGTTTAATATTATAGTACCTATATTAGGCCTATACTGTTTCTTCGCCGGCTATCTTAACGAACTTAAAGTAGCGCGTAAGGTCGTTAGCGATAGGGCGTATAGTAGATAGGTAGATAGTAGATAAAAGATAAAAGGTCGAAGATATAGTAGTAGGTAGATAGATAAAATTAAAGATAGCTAGCTTTAGCAACTCTAGCCTCCGCGTATATTATACTAATGTTCGATACGCGAAGTCTCTCGTATTCCTTTACTAAATTATGTTTTTAGACGCGTATATTAAAGCGCTAAAACGGCGCTTAAATATAATCTAAAAATTATGTAGTTTAGTTAAGTATTATAGAAGTTATTATAATACGAACAAATCTTTAGGATAGTTGCTAGAGGATCTTAATATCTTATACTTTAAGCTACACCTTAATCATTTAGGCTATAATAACTTCTATAGTTCTAAACGGATTTTTATTATTGTTTTCCCGTTAGATAGTAGTAAAGTATCTCTATATAACGGGAAAACAATAATATAAACAAGTAGTAGTTAGTAGAAGCTATTTAAGGGAAACATAATTTATCTCTACCCTAACCCTTACCCTTAGGCTTGCCCTTAGAACTTTAGAAGTTTCGGACCTATCCGAACCTATCCGAACCTATCCGAATATTAGTAAAGGAGCGAGGGTTAAAATTAGATAAAAGTTACTCTTAGAACGCCTACGTATTTATCTAAATGTCCGGATTAGGCTTAATTACTAGGCTTCTAATTAGTACTAGCTAAGCCGAAGAGCCTCCGGACTACCCCTCTATCCGTATCTTTAGCCTTAATTTATAAAGACGAATAGCTAGTAGAATAAATAATTAAGGGTTTTAAATAGAAAGAAAGTTATCCTTAGAACGGCCTACGTATTTATATAAACGTCTAGATTAGAGATCTCTAGCCGGCCGTACCGGTATTCTACCGTATACCGGTAATAAGGTAATTTACTACCTTACGCTAATACTAGTTTACTAATACTTTATCTACTAACTACATACTTAATACTACTACTATATAGCTCTTATACACCGTAAACGAACCGGTATTAAATAACAGTTACGTATATACTAAATTTAGCGGCCTACGGCGCTTTTTAGCCTCTAGTAGTGCTTATAGTAGGCTAGCGGTTAATTACGACCGGATAACGTACGAACATACTAAAAAAGTAGTAACGAACGGTCGTAACCTTTACGTGCGTTATTCACGTTAGTTACGCCTTTTTGCCGGTTACTACTAGACTTATCCTAGAACTTCTACCAACCCCGCTTAGCTGGGAGATTAGCATAGTTCTAAGCCACGTTCGCTAAGCTCTGCCACATGTAGTAAGGTGCACTTGTCGTACCACATTAACCCTCTTCCTCTTCGCGATTTTTATATAGTCAGTACTTCGCTGTAGCAGATCTTGCTACTACCTTCAAACGACCCATGCGATTGCTAGTGTCTCAAGCCTAACGATAAAATTAAGATAGAAAACCCCTGGATCATCTCAAAAGTCAAGACTGTACGCATCATGGCAACTGACAATGCAACCGATCTTGACAAGCTATGTGTGTCTGCATTCGACAGCGAGTATCTCGACGACAAAACACTTGCCATGTCGCAGCATCAGGAAGCAATCAATGGATTAAAGCAGCTTCAGAAATCGTCTGATGACAAGCAGCGCAAGAAAGCAGCGAAGAAACAAGTCAAATTCCACACTGCTAGGCTCCAATTGCTTCAGGAGTTGGGGAATGGAAGCATATTGAAGGTTCTCCCTACAGCCAAGTCTGCCCAGCAAGAATTGCTTGTCGGTAGTACTGCTCTCTCTATGGTGAAGAAATGCTCTTTCGATGCTAATCGCCCGCTCATTCACTAATGTACACAGGATCAATGGCGCATCAAACTCTATCAAGAAGCGTATACAGCGGACCCAAACGCACAAATCCCTGCCGATGCGATTCATCTCTTCACAAAGCCCATTCCCCCATACTCACCAACGGTTCCCCTGACTCCCCCTTCAGTCTTCGAAATTCACTATAGCAGCGAGATGAATGGCCTCAACGGCGGCAATTTCTTCTACGTCAAAGCCAAGGACCCCACGACCCATCAAACCTTCTACGTCTTGAAGTTACTGAAGCAGCGAGGGATGCAAATGACAGAAGCGCGACTATACCGAGCAGCAGGATTCACATCAAACGGAGCGTCTCTCGTGACAATTTCTCAAATAGACACGCGCCAGCTCGGCGGTTGTAGTCCATCCAGTATTGGCCGTAATCTGACTCTCGACAATAGTTTCGGTGCTGTCGAAGAGAAAATGGACCGCCAAATGAAACCGCATTGGAATCCACGACGCTTTACTTACGGCGGGAGGAATTTCGTTTGGAAACGCCGTGAGGGCTCCTTGGCAGGCGTGGGACCACAGGATCTATATGAGACTACGAGGGTGTGGCCGGACCCATCCAGCAAGACTGGCAAGTTTCTGGATGATGTCTTGCCGGATTGTTATTCTTGGGGGGAGATGAAGGCGAGGATTACCAAGTTATGCATCATCAATATCAGAGGGGGGATCGATCAGGCTTTTATGGAGTACATTCTCGCCAGTCAGTTGACTAAACTGATTGTTGAGCTGCATGGGCATGATTGAAGAAGTGTTTGATAAGAGATCGAGTAGAAGCATTGGCTGAGCTACGTATTGGTGCTATGTAGGTCTGGATACGAGAAGTTCTATGTAGCCTCATTTTAGATTCATGCTGCGCTGCAAACTGCGTGTCCAGGGTGATATCCTTCCCTCTGCTCCTACCCATGTCTTTACTGGAATTTTGTCCATCCATCTCGAGACAATTTTTATTGTCTACGTGAACATAATTCCTCCATCTATGACAAGGCTCTGTCCTGTCATGTACTCGCTCTCATCGCGAGCCAGAAACGCCACGTGGATGGCTGGAGATCAATCTAGATGTGGATTCTGTCTAAGTGGCCAAAATATCTCCCGCGATATTAATGGCTTCCGCAGTCGCATCCACCCACTCAGCCGCCAGCGTGTAATTACCGTCAAAGGTTATTGCCTCTGTGATACCGGGAAACGTGACTGGAGCATAGCCTGTATCGCGACCTACAAAGTAAAGAGCGAGACGGTCAGCAACTTTTCTGATCAAGATATGCACCGTCTCAACCAACATACCWGGAGCAAATACCGCATGGCGGAAGAATTGACGACCGGGTAGTCCAGGAGTAGCGATAAAGCCACGATGGAAATCCTTGTACTTTTTGTTCTGCACGGCGATCAAATCCAAGTCGTGTTCTGCGACCGCTTGTGCTGTCAATGTCTCCGCTTCCAAAGCGTGGACCCGGAAATTATCAATGGCTTCGCTGAGGGCGGTCGTATCGAGCTCTTCTCCACCTTCTTTGATGATTTCTTGCAGCTCCTCGTAGTATGCATCCATCTGAGTAGCAAAGTTGGAGACGTTGAACGGGACAACCTCTTCGCTCGCAAGAGTATAAGTCAAGAGCGCCACGTACTGAGACATGGCAGCGTGAACATGGAAGCCTGGATCACCGAATCGCGCCATCCATTCGTAGGTATCGTAGTTGCTGTGGTACATGAAGACGGGATCTGTTGGGCCGCCACCTGAACCAACGTCGAACTGTAATGTCTGTCAGTGGGATTCCAAAGAAAATATTGTGAGCAAGAGTTAAACATGCCGAAGAGATTCCCTTGTGCAGGAAAGCAGTGTAGTCACTTCCGCTACCCAGAACCCCGGGTACTCCCTCACTTGCATTGTACCAGGCATCGTACATGGTACCGTTGGTGCCCGGCCATTGCACCTTTTTCATGGTATCGATACCGATCTGGTGCAATTCAGGAGTGGCCGAAAAGTCTGGAATTGGTCCATTGCAGGCCGTATCAAGATTGATATAGGTGACAGCAGTGTCACTTAACCATGGGAGAAATTCTTCCACCCATTCTGTCGAGCCGACTAATCCATACTCTTCAGCATCCCACGAAGCGAGAACAATGTTTCGCTTTGGTTTCCATCCGGTTTCCATTAAAGCACCCAAAGCTTTGGCAACTTCATTCACAGACGCCGAACCGCTAATGGGGTCACCAGCTCCTCCAATCATCCAGGCATCTCGATGATTTCCGAGGATGATGGTTTCGGTGGGATCGGTGCCGTTGATGATCCCAATGGCATTCCAGATATCGGTATATGTCTCGTTCATCAGGTTGGACAGTCCGAGTGTGACACCGGGGGCAGGGCCAGTGAAGTAGCCAACATCATGGTCGCCGACCCAGTTGGTGCGATTCACCTCTTCTCCAGAAGATCCAAAGCCTTCAAGAGCAGCAAGTAATGGACCAGCGTTGGCGTAGCTGATGGGCAGGGAAGGAATAGCTGGAGTAACATCATCTCTGGCAGCTCTCTCTACTCCCGGCTTCGAAGGGTAGCCAGGGGTGGTTGGATCTCCGGGACGAATGGACAGGAAAAGGACGGAGCCACGCTGAACGTACGTGGGGTTTCTCGCCGGGCCGTCCGGATATGCCTCGTATCCATTCTCAACTTTGATTTCGCCGTCATCTGCGAGATCGTTGAAGAGAACACAGCCAATCATGCCATACGCCTGAGCGTTCTGAACTTTGATTCCGCGAAAGGGCCCGCCATAGCGAGAAACAGCAATCTTACCCTCGAGTTCGATGCCCAGTTCCTTTAGGCGTTCGAAGTCGGCAATTTGTCCTCGGCCGACATAGACGTACTCGGCTTCAGCCGTGCCGCTTGCAGAATAGGCGTGGAAGGTCGGAACGCGATTCGGGAATCCAGTGACGGGGTCCTCCTCGAGAATATCCTCCTCCAGGACTGGCGAGTAGGTGCTGCCATTGGTCCAGGTAGCGTTCAAGCTGTTGTCAAGTGGGTAGTTCAAAAAGACATTGTACACGTCTAGCCGACTGTTGAATCCAAATTCACTCCAGCGATCCGCAGTCCACTGAGCCTGGCTTTGATTGGTGCCGGCGAGATGAAGCCCCTGGGTGTAGTAGTAAGAGAAGTTGGCAATGCTGTCGTTGCTGATGGTTTTCAGGATCAAGTCCTCGTTGATTGTGAGGTCGGAGGATATGGATTGTCCTTTGATTTCAAATGAAGATGGTAGTGCCACAGCTCTCTCGCCGAGCAGGGCTGCGAGGAACAAGCTGAAAATCATTTTTCGCGTCGAGGGTGGAAATAGACCTTGCAGCTGGGAATGCTTCGTCTATTGTAATACGTTTATCCGCAGCGACAGATTTGACACTGTCCAACATGTCATTCAAGTCTACCAAGCCCGACGTGCATGTCAAGCTGGCTAGGCGGTGCGGAGTCATTGTGTAACCTTTTCGATGAAGTGAAGCGTTCTGGGCGCCCAGAGATACGCTACCCTCCGCGAATCTCCCGTGCCAATAATGATGCAAGGGCTGACCAATGCCGTACAGCTTCTTGGCACATCGGTATTCATAAGCGGGGACTACTGGTCCTCCCAAAGAAGGAGTCCCAATCACACATCTCTCGGCTGCGACGACAATGCGAGCCCTCGCCGAGATCATTCCGTACGATGTCGCAGGCGGGGATGTTCGCTGTATGCAATTCTCCTCCTTTTTTGACGGCTAACATAACATGGGATTAATCGATGTGCAAACTTTTTGTTGCTGTTGTGGAGTATTTGACCCTCGTAGGCGTACTTGATATGTGGAATGACGGCCATGGATACTGTTGCGTGGAATAAGAGGCACATTGCTACTGTGAATGCCGAACCGGTATGTCAGCCTCCTTTTGAAGTGATTGGTGATGAAGTGATTGATTTTATTAAGAACTAAAGAGCTAAGTGGTAGTTGCCAGTGGATATATACAAGGAGGATTAGTTAGTAGCTTGACTAGCCACCGTACTTTTAACACTCCCCTACGTTAGCTGTTTCCTTATTGTCCTGTTTAACTATTACTTCTTCAATTTGTCTTTTAGAATCGATTCTAATTCGACGAATGATTTCCACCTTAGGCTATTAAGCCCTAGTTCATTATCACTATGTTTGTATAGTTAATCCTTCATCTAGCTTATAGTATGTACCTATCTTATCGTGTAGCTAATATAGTAGTTCTCCTCGAATTCAAACTTTAGAAGTTAATTGTCCGAGGCTGTATAGTCTAGTAAGTTGTCCACGAAATCGTCGCGAATGTTTCCGAGGAAGACCTTCTAGAGGGAGACTTTGTCTCGAATAGCCTTATAGTACTTAAGGATTAGTCTAAGTCCATCTAGTTTTATAGTGCTAGCGTTACTAAGATTAGCATTATAGTCGTAGATAAAAAGGTAGAAGCCTCCGTTTAGGCCTTTAACTAGGGCTAGGGCCCAAGCGTACTACGGAGTTCGCTAGTAGTTCTTATTCCTAACCTAGTTAACAGCTGGTGTCTTTATGTAGGCTACTCTAGTAAGTATGTCGTGTTATCCGTTGTTTCGAGTCTTTATAGCTACCTAGAAGTTGCTAAATAGATCTACAAAAGCAACGTCCTCGAAGTCGGTAGTCTAGTTTAGCCGTTTAGTATGTTTAAGGAAGGAAACTAGTTTAGGGTGGATGTAGATCCGGTCGATGCCGTATTTCCTTTCTAAGTGTTTGTTAAAGCCCTAGAGCATCTCCGCTATCTTACGGGTGTCCTTAAGGGTCTCGGTAGCGTAGAAATAGTCTCTATAGACTCGTATTATAGTGTCTTCCGAAAGGAGTGTAAGTTTAATATTAGTAAAATCTTCTAGTTAGAGTGGTCGCCTTTCTAGGCGAGATCTTAGCTGTCTTCTAATTAGGGCAGCTAGGTGATTTAGTAGTTCTTCTAGATGTAGCAGAGCTAAGTTCTCGGTAGTATATCCTAGTTTAGACGGATCCGCGTCCGTAAGTCGGTGTCTACCGTTATTAAAGCGTTCGTAGTATAGATTTATGTTAGTAGTATTAGGCCCTAAGGCGTTTTATAGATGCTCGGATGTCGGTAAAAGGAAGTTCGTTCGATGTAGAGAGTAGTAAATTCTTATGGTTTAGCGCTAAGCTCAGCGATAGTAGATAACTTAGCGGCCATTTTTTTTAGTAGTAAGTTGCTCTAGTCGGCGTTATTCTTCGTAAGGTCTAGTAAACTTATCTCGAGTTTTTAATGGCTTGTTGTTATTTAGTCTCTCTCCCCCCGTAAGGTGTTAAAAAGTTAGTAGTACTATCGGCGTCGTTGCTGTCGATGTCTTAGCGAGAACTCTACTAGGGGTAAGCTCCCCCTAAGCCTAGGGGGAAAAACTAAGCTGTTGCCGCTTTACTCGCCGTTACTAKGGCAATCCCTTTTTGTTTTCTTTACTCGGTTAACTAAGTTTCTTAAGCTAGTAGGGTGTAGGCACATAGGATAGTAGTATTAGGCCTAGGGCGGCTCGGAAAGTGTAGAACTCTTTATTAGGGAGCGGTTTAGTTAGTCTATCGGCGACCATCTTTTCGGTAGGGACCTAGTCGAGTTCGACTTCTCCGTCTTAGACCTTTTCTAGAATAAAGTGTATGTCGACATCGAAGTGTTTTAACCGTACGTAGAAGGTAGGGTTTTTTGTAAGTGCTATAGCGCCTTGGTTATCGTAGTAGATAATTGTGGCCTATAGTCCGCCTATGCCGTTAGCGCCCTCTCCTTCCGGTAAGAGCTAGTCGAACAGTAATCGTAACTAGAGTGCTTCTTTTGCTACCTATGTGTAACCTTAGTATTCGGATTCGACAGTTAATAGTAATACTCGTAGCTGTCGTTTTAACGACCAGCTAATAGCTCCGCTACCGGTGCTAAAGACGTATCTAGACGTTAATCGTCTAGTTTCTTCGTCTCCTACCTAGTCTACGTTAGTCTATCCGGAGGGGGCACGTAACTCCCCTTAGTAAACGAGTTTAAAATCGATTATAGTACGGAGGTATTACATAATCCTTTCGACGAGTTTCTAGTATGTGTTCGTTAGGTTAGCACTAAATCGACTAACGACAGAGACGGCATAGGCGATGTTAGGCCGTGTTCCTAATATCGCGTACATTAGTAACCCTACTACCGATTAATATCGTTTTCGTAGGTCGTCCGGGGCTATGTACCCTTCTAGTATAGGCTCGATCTTCCGTAACGAGTCCATTAGCGTTGTTGCTATCTTACTTTCCTAAAGGCCGYAGTCGCGTAGGAACTTCTTAATGTATGCTTGTTAACCGAGGAAGATCTTTCGCGCCTTACGGTCTCTTCGGACGGTTATACCTAGGTAGTAGGCGCATAGTCCGAGGTCTATTATATCAAACCTTAAGGACAGCTTATCTTTGACGTCCTTAATCTCCGATTTGGATGGTCTAACGATTAACAGGTCGTTAACGTAGACTATAATAAAGCATTTTTCTTTAAAGAATACGCTAATGTCTACGTTAAGTAGTCTAAATCCGAGTTCGTCTCTAAGGAAGCCAGTTAATGTGTTATACTAGGTGCGTAGCGATTGTTTAAGTCCGTAGAGTGCGCGATCTAGCTTATAGACGAGGTTATCGTCTTTAATAAAATCGTGGGGTTATTCCACGAAGACTTGTTCTTTAATCTTCCCGTAAAGGAAGGTAGTCTTAACGTCCATCTGTTCGATTTCTAGGTTAAGAGCTACGGCTATAGCGAAGATAGCTTTATAGCTTATTAGTTTAACTACGGCGGCAAAGGTTTCGGTATAGTTAGAACCGGCTACTTAGGCGAATCCCTTTACTACCTATCGAGCCTTATACTTAAGGATCTCGCCGTTAGGTCCGCGCTTTAATTTAAAAACCTATCGTCCTAGTAGGACTTTCTTTCCGAGTGTAGAGACTTCGGATTTTCTTTTRTACCTCTAGGTTTTGTTCTTTCGAAGGGATTTGACCTCGTCGCTTATAGCGTCTTTCTAGCATAACTACATCGTGTCGGATTAGGCCTCTCGTAACGTTCGCGGTTCGAAGGGTTCATCCTCGGTAGCCGYAAGTRTAAGAAAGTTRTACATTAGAGCAGCTTAGATTAGAGGATAGTAACCGAGTGTTTTAGTAAGAGGAGTCGTTATAGCGGCAAGTTRCYATTCCTCGCCTAGGAAGCGCGTGTTAGGTAGGCGGTTTCGATGTAGTCGTAAGAGTCCTTCTAGTATAGCTCCTCGTTACTAAGTTTAAGCGGGTTGTTAATTCCTAGGGTCTAGTAGTGTTRCCCCTTAATTGTTAGGTAGCGGTGTTRCCCCTTAATTTTTAGGTAGTAGCGTTGTTACCCCCCTTACCCCTTAATTAGGGTTGTCTATTAGACCTRGYRGCGGTGTTGCCCCCCTCGACCCTTRTCCGGAGTRAGTTRTAGGCTTATCGTTATCGTCGCTAAGTTCGATAACTCTCTTATCGATCGGACCCCCTTCTTCCCCTAAGTAAGGGGTAGATCTGTCGTAAGTCTTACGCCGCTTTAGTACTAGGGCTTCGTCGTCTTCGTTATCGGAGCTTTCGATACGCTTAAAACGCTTRCGTTTTTCGATAATAGCGACGTTAAACACCTACTTCGGTTCTTTCTAGCTAGGGGCGATTACGCGGTAGTATACGTTGCCCTTAAAGCTAAGAAGTTTCCCTTCCTAAGCTCGGTCTTAATATTTCTTTCTATCCTTGCCGGTTTTAAGGCTTAATACGGTAGAGCCGAGCTTACGAATRTAGGYAAYATCTAGTTTCTCGCCGGTRAACATTTCGTGTRGCGTTATCTTAAGCTTRTTAAGCTTTCGGGCCGGACATCTGTTACGTATATAGGCGGAGCCGTATCGGACAACTTCTAGCTACTATTTRAGGTCGAGGCYAGCGCTCCGTAAAGTCGGTTCTAACTTCTCGAGGATAGTCCGGTTAGCCCGTTCGGCGACGCCGTTAGCTTCACTTTRTTTAGTAGCCGTRTACTTAAGCTCGATCCCTCTACTAAGGYAGAATTCCCTAAAGAGGTTAGTAACGAACTCGTTTCCTTAGTTAACCCTTAGTCGGCGATAACGGGTTGTTTCTGTCTCGTGTCGTTATAGATACTAGCTAACGATGCCTAGGAYATCTCTAACGTCCTTATACGGGAAGYAGTTAACGTGTGTGCTAAAGTTATCGACGATCGTRAGCTAGTAGCGCATTCCGTACACTCCTACTCCCCTAGGTCCGTACTTAGAGTCTATATAGAGGTACTTAAGTTTACGGGTAGCGGGGTRGAGTTTCCCCTTATAGGGCTTCGTACACATCCGGCCTTAAAYATAGTCTTCGTAGATGTGTCGACCTTCTAGTTCGCCGGCATACATACCGGTAACYATCTTTTTAAGCTRTTTTAGGCCGCTTTCGCCTAGGTGGCCTATRCGGTCGTACTATAGTAATAACTAAGATAATCCGGAGGTTTCGTARGCTRCTATAATAAGCTCGTCCTTTAGTGTCGGGATTGCTATAGTATCGAGGGCGAGGAGTCCGTCTTCGAAGTRGGTTAGTAGGGTAACACTACCTTTCGTRAAGGTAATGTTCCCGGAGGAGTTTATTCTAAGGTCGTAGGTGCTTTTAAGCAGGTCGAAAGAAAGGAGGTTAAYACCGGCGTCTAGCGCGTATCTTAYATTRTTAATACGAACCTAGTGAAGTCTRCTATTTACTCGGGCGGGGATACGAATAGTCCCTATACCGATTAGCTTAAYAGCGCTATCGCCGATTCCTCGAGAGGTGTRACCGTAGAGTTCGTAGTACTCGATAAAGAAGTCCTTTCGTCCGATAAGGTGGCCGGTAGCGCTAGAGTCGACGACCTAGACGTCGTAGAGGTTTCGGCTATAGTTTAAGGTGTACGCTAGTTCGGTTRTAGGCGCATCGTTATAGAAGAGGAAGCGTTAGTAGAGGTTCTTATTACTACGTTGTTTCTTRTTATCGCTATAGAGCTCGGTGTCCTTAGTAGGGTRTTCCGAGTCGTTRGATTTRCGCTTTCTTAAGTTAAGTACTAATTGGCTAAGTGCGGATTTCTTCTAATATTCGGGTGCCTTATCGGGGTTAAGYATAAAACACTCTCCGTTATAAGGTCTTTTATAATAAGGGTAGAGTRGTRTGTCTTTCTTTAGCTTCTAACGGCTAGCGTCGCGCTTATCGCGTAAGTTGTTGTCTTTCCTAGGTTCGCGGGACTTAGATAATAAGCCGGCGTATAGGTTTRTGTCGCCGGTTAGGTTGTCCTAGTTCGAGAAATCCTCGGCTRCCGATATTACTATAGTAAGYRTAACGGCTTCTACCGTTATCCTTCCGTTTACTRTTRTTAGYAYAAGGACTCGCTCGAGATTAAATRTCGTAATAAAGGGCCGAAAGGAGTTAGGAAGTCTAGTTATAAATTTCTAGACGGCGTRGGGTTCTAGTATCGCGAGGCTTAAATCTATCTCTACAAACTTRTTCTATAGGCGGCGAACCTYRGATCCGAACTTGCTAACGCCGCCTCCTATGCTTTCTATAGTAAGTAAGTTCTAGTGTRCGGAGATCCTAGCGAACTCGCCGGTTCCGCCTTTCTTAAACTCCTTTTTAAGGGYAGCGAGTACATCGAGGGGATTRTTATRTTACTAGACGGTAGTCCTAGCATTATAGGAGYAGCGGTCTTCGATAAAGGCTATTGCTTTAGCTTGCTTCTCGTAGAACTCTCGTTAGTAGTTAATCYAAGCTTCTCCTTCGTAGGGGAGGATTATAGGTTRCGTCGGTACGGTGTACTTTAGGACCGCGTTRTATCTAGTAGAGATTAGAGAGTATCTTATCTTATCGTACTAGATAGTCYATCCTTCCTTRTCCTCGAGGACAGGTACGGAGATGCTTAGCGGCTTTAAGTCGGTCGAYATAGTCGTACGATTAGGAAGCTTTTTAGTAGTTCGGAGAGTAGTCGAATTAATCTTAGTTTATATATAGGTAGGTCGTAGCCGGCTACTAGTRGATTAGAGGCTRCTCGTAAGAAAYAGAGGTGTTGTTCGTCTCGGTTAGGATCGACTCGYATAYATAGTGCGGGTRGAGTTAGTAGTACGAGACCGTAGATRTCCTAAGTAAAGTTAGGAGTRCCTAGACGGTCTAAACGTACGGCTCTCGGGGACGGTAAGCGAAACTTRTTATAAGGAGTCGCCGGAGGATAGTAGTCGTCGTCCTTATGTTCTAAGGTAGCRGCGGTTAAGGTCTCCTAAGAGGCGTGTTTTAGTATAGGGAGTTRTCCTACTTTAACTACCGAGGATATCGTGTTCGTAATRTTTAGAAAGGCTACCGCGTTTAGGAGCCTTTCGGCTRTCGATAGCTRTATCCGTTTACGTAGGTTATATCGTCGGCGAGAGATAGGACTCGGAGGTCTAATATATGTCCGTAGAAGGGATAGAAGGTCGGAGGCGCGTTATRCGGCTAGTTCGTTCTAGAGTTGTCTAATAGCCTAGTTAAGACGAGCTTCTATCGCCTTATCTTTATTACTCTTCCCTCTTCTAGTAGGCATGTTAGCGTAGTATAATGTCGTAGCTAGATGTTGTTGTTGTTATGTTGTTAGCGTTGCTAGTTTTACGCTCCTAGCCTCTTCCGACGTTATACGAGTTAACCGAGGTAGCGGGGAAATTAGTTCCGACGACACCTTGTCGTTTTTCACTCTATCTTATAGTAGGGAGATTATACGGATGTATAGCCATCTCTTTTGCTTCGTGTTTCGACCGTAAGGAGGTATATAGCGTATTGCGGAAGCAGCTTAGTTAGTCGAGATGTAAAGAGGTAGTTAGTGTGATTTCCCTATAGTTGGGTTTTGCTGTAAGGCACGAACCCGGGCTCATAACCTATTAAAGTGATTAGTAATGAAGTGATTGATTTTTTAAGAACTGAAGAGCTAAGTGGCAGTTGCCAGTGGATATATACAAGGAGGATTAGTCAGTAGCTTGACCAGCCACCGTACTTTCAACATCAACAAGCCATTCATCTTCAGCATCGGCTAGAGATCTCAAATTCTCCATAGCTATGGCAAATAACAACCATTGCCAGCCCTTGAGTACGGAAGCTGTCGATTCCACGAAATCAGAGGCGGAGATGGCCCCGTTTTCCTGCCTCACATGTTGGATGTGAGAACCTGGTCCTTGAAATGAGCATGGTATTCCGTCCCTCGACCCTTCCCCGACAGCTCTGACCCAGACCGCTCACATCGAGTCATTGAACTCACCGTGATTTGTGTCTTCCTCCAGGATTCGGAAGCGTGAAGAAGAGAAGCGATCCAAGAAGGTTTCTCATCGCATGCGATGAGCGGACAGGATAGCAAGATATCTGTCCTCAAAATGGCTCTAGAATCCTGTCATGATCATCTCCCGCACAGCTCCGGCTCCAGGATTTGTGGTTCAGAGCATCCAAGTCGTCGCTTGGTTCCACCCGGAATGTGTTGCAGAATGATACGAGAATGATACGATGCTACAACACGGCTGGTGAAGCTCCGGAATGCAGGTAATGTACCAACCCATGCACCAGAGATTGTCTCAAGCTAGAACTTTGGATTGGTAGAGAAGCAGTGCTCCAAATTCTGCTCGTATTTCCAGTCATCGGGGAGCTGGTCCAGCTAGACGGAGCGGCAGAAGAGAAGCGTGGCGAGATGGTGGAAGGTATCCACAGGATCTTATGGTGTGGCGTGGCGATGAGCCGAGTATGTTCGTCCAAGACCTGTACTCTCAAAGGACAACTAAAGTCAAGGGCAGATTCAAGGCAAGTACAGATAATGTCCATGTCAATTCAGATAGACGATTCCTCGCACCTTCTATGAGAATGACTGATGCATTGCAATCGTTACGATCTCCACGATTTAGGTGGAAAGCAGACGGCTGGTTCGTTCCAAGGCCGGCGCCTTGAGTTCAAGCCTACAGGACGTTGTTATTTGACTCAGCGGAATAGCGATTCGCAAGTCAAGGTTGCTGCCATCCGAATGATTGCCGTGCGGTGCGATGAGGCCGAAATGCCTCTCAGCCTTTTGCAGCAATCACGACGATTGGAGCGTGACGTTTCGGTTCGCTTTTGGTAAGATTCCGGGCTGCTCGATGGACCGCTCGGCTTATGCCACTCCGCAAAGGATGCTCGAAAGAATCCAGGAGGATGCCAGATGTGCGAAGGATGTGAGAATGCTCATTGTCGCAAGGATGTGAGAAGGATGTGACATCACAGTTTGAATCTTTCACATCGCCTGCCAGACTTGGCATAGTTTCCCCATTGGTATCCACTCTCACTCTTACTTGCCCACTTCATTGGGTACGTTCGCGAATCCAACGCTCCTGCTTACCCCTTGACAAGCTCCTTCAGCACCAAATCTGAAGCTTGCGTGAACGTTGCCTGTTGGTGTGCGAGTATCGGAAAGGCAGAACGACCGGAAGGATTGCGTCCACTCCGTGCAAGCTTCGTAAGTCTCCCGGCCTGTGAGATCATCGAGCAATGTACATATGCCTTATTTACCATCCTGTTTCGAACACTAACTACTTGTGCGTCTTTCCATCAATTCACGGTCACCACTACAACAATGTTGACAAAGCTTGCAACACTCCTTGCTGGCGCTGTAGCTATCCTTGCAGCGCCAGCTACCTCGCATCCAGATCTATCTCATGATACATACATCACAGACCAAGGAATATCGCATACCGTCGTGACGGATCAATCCACCAACGCGAAGTTGGACTATGTTCACAACAGCGGTATCTGCGAGACGACCCCCGGTGTCAACCAGTATAGCGGGTATCTGGACGTTGGCGATGGAAATCAGATGTTCTTCTGGTATTTCGAAGCCCGTAACAATCCTTCAAAAGCACCACTGGCGACTTGGTTCAACGGAGGACCTGGCTGCTCATCCATGATCGGTCTCTTTCAAGAAAATGGTCCCTGCCAATTCTACAATGGGTCATCCAAGCCAAGTCTCAACAAATATTCGTTCAATACATATGCGAATATGCTTTACGTGGATCAACCTATTGGTATGTATTGACATCGTGACGGTGTATCTAATCAATGAATGTTACTGAATCATTCATCACTATCAGGCACTGGCTTCTCATACAATCCAAAGGGCTCGCCAAATATCACAGGTACTGCTGCTGCCGCTCCTTACGTTTGGACTTTCCTTCAAACGTTCTACAAGAACTTCCCCCAATACGAGTCTCGTGATTTTGGAATCTTCACGGAGTCATACGGCGGCCATTACGGACCGGAATTCGCTAGCTATATCGAAAGTCAGAATGCCAGGATTGCAAGTGGTAGCATCAAGGGAGATAACATTAATCTTGWCGCCCTGGGTATCAACAACGGATGGTATGACCCCATCATCCAGTATCAGGCCTACATCGATTACGCATACAACAACTCCTACAGGTAGATTTCATCTGTGCCTCTTTTGATCATTCTCATTCTGACAAACAAACAGGCAGCTCATCAACGCTACCCAGCGTGACACTATCAACGCCGACATGAAGAATCGCTGCAAACCTGCCTTGGAGAAATGTACTTCCCTAACAAGCACCTCTCAGACTAACGATTGTGTCAACTCAGAGAGCACTTGTGTGATWTACGTCGAGAACGAGATCCTGTATTCAGGCGACTATGACTACTATGACGTGAGAGAGCCCAGTAATGTAAGTTCATAGGCAGCCACAATTTCCAAGTCTTGAAGGTGTGCTAACTCATCTGCTGCCCACTTAGGACCCTTACCCGCCACAGCAATTCTCCACCTACCTTAACCAAACCTCCATCAGAAACAAAATCGGAGCAAAAGTCCCCTTCTCGTCATGCGGGGGCATAATCAACGATGTCAGCAGCAATTTCGAGACTTTTGGTGATGATAGCCGAAGTACACTGAGCACTTTGCTCGGAGACGTCAAATCAGGAATTCAAGTGTTGATGTGGGCAGGAGATGCAGACTTTCTCTGCAACTACATGGGTGTGTTTGCTGCTCTTCCGTTTATATGCGAGGTCGCAAACTAATAGTGGATAGGAAACTATAATGTTGCTCAGGCAGTTGGTCCGCCGGGATTCAAGGGGAAAGCTCTGTCGAATTACACCGTCAATGGGAAAGCCGCAGGTCTTTTCAAGACAAAGGGCAACTTCTCTTGGTTGCAGGTGTTTGGTGCTGGGCACGAGGTTCCGTATTATACCCCTGAAGTCGCTTTGCAGGTTTTCAGGCAGACTATGAGTAGGAAGGCGATTACTGGTACTTGAGGTTGGGCTTCAGTGGATAGCAGAGACAAATTGGATTCTTGAGGGGAGATCAAATTGCAGAATAAATCCACGATATGCGAGAGCTTCGAATGTCTGACAGCTGACCCTCAGTAGAATATTCACATCACATCTGTTTACTTGGAGAGTTTCCGCAAAATGTCGCGATCGCGATCGTATTGCTACGGTCATGAGATCCAACGATGTAGATAGTGATCTATGACACCAAGCGTGATCGATCACTCGATACTATCAGCAACCCATCCACTTACAAAAGCGCCAAAGTTGAACTGACTGACGAGATCAAATTCAAGATCATGGCAACCTACCACGATGTAGGTCAATCGTCAGGCTTCGAGCCCTACGACATGAATCCACAACAACCAGCAGTCACCAGCACAACTTCTCACACCAAAAATCACAAGACAATCCCACCAGAGCTCATCACTTTCTTCCGCATTTTTCAACACGATACCCTCATCGCGATGGAATCAGCACCACTTCAAAGCCCAGACTTGCCTCCAGGTCCCGAGAAGTCAGCCATGCAGGCAATGGAAACGAAAGTCCAATCTCTGATGCAAGAGACGTATGATGTTGCAACATACGCTCTTGACCATCCTGAAGCAGATCTTCAAGAAGTTGTGGAAAGGTTCGAGAAGGCTCGAGATGGATTGAGGAAGTATCAGAAATGTATGGAGGATGCGCAGCGAGATGCGCTGGAAGATGATGGGAGTGATGGGGAAGAAGAGGATCCGATTTCTCCTGAGGCTATGCGGAAATTACAGGGAGTTGTGAAGGATATGAGGAAGTCTCGCTTGCCAAGTTATGAGGATCCGGAGAAGCAGCTCAAGGTTGATAATCTTATGGAGGAGATGCTCTCTGCGACTGATACGTTGGACGAAGCTGCAACTTACGCTTTGGAAAACGGAGAAATTGATCGTGAAGGCGCGTTGAAGAAGCTGCGAGATGCTTATCGCAAACAGATCGAATTCCAGAGTATGTTCAACAGAGTCAGAGATGAAGTGGACCCCGATATGGTCAGTAACGCCGAACGAATGGCAGCAATTGATCAATACACGAGAGATCATGATGCCTTACTGGCACAAATCCACGAGAGCTTCGATACCATGCTGCAGGATTGCCCACCGAACGAAACTGGGACCGATGATCCGGAAACTTTACAGTTGAATTCTTCCAAAGACGATCTACGAGCCTTCGTTGCAGAGTACAAAGAAGACGCACTCTATGCCATGGAACACCAGGGTCCAGAAGGAGAAGAGTCTCGCGAGAAGCTAGCTGGGATGCCAGAGAATTTCCAACATCTTGTAGAYCGAATGCAGGATTATAGAAATTCTATGCCATCGGGGACTCTTCTTGGGTTTATTCGGTACCGGCTAAGCCATTTGAGTTGGGCGAAGACGAAAGATTGGGCTTGGGCGAGGAATAAGAGTTTGCTTTTCGTGGCACTCAGCTTGTTCGTGAGGGCGTACCGGGAGGGGTGTTGGACGGACTTGGCTAATGGCCTTACTGTGGTGATGAATTCTTGATTCATTTGTGAGAGAGTTGCTGTAACTTTGATTCGTGGTTGTTTTTGTTGATATATCATCTATTTTGAATGAAGGCTTGTGTCTCGTCCTCTTTTGTATATCACTCTACTAACATGTCTGGGGTTGTGGAAACCTTAACTCATTTCAGTTGCGAGTGGGAGTCTCTTCATTACTTGAGGAGCCAATCTGCTATTAAAGAGGGCTCTAGAAAATCCAAAACAGACAGCTCTGCGGGAAGCGAGGCTCAGATATCATGTAAGGATTGCCTCAAAAAGTGCCTTCTCGGTGAACAATCCTCATGTCGACCGCTCTGAGAATCGAAGTCTTTCCGTGGGCACTTATGGGTTTTTATCATCTTGTTCTCAGAGGCTGTCACAAGCCCTGGTGAGAGGACAGCCCAGTCAACACATGATTGTGTTGCTACTAGTCACTTCAAGCAGGGTATTGCATGATCACAGCAGTGAGAACGCTCATGGTAAGCATTCCCACCACCTGACTTACCGAATGATCACAACAGCCACGTCGATACTTTTGTTCTGAGATCTCCTACAAGTAACACCACTTCCATTCCCAAACCATCCATCAGCTCTGAAAACTTCTGGTCACATATCATCAGCACCACCACTGTCCAATCACAAATCACCGACTCAATCAACAGCAACCACAAGGTCCTCCTTGCCACCCGACCAACATCACCTCCCCAGACCAACCATGTCTTCCACAGACTCCCAACAGAATCCCGCTCCTCAAGTCCCCCCGAGAGCCGACACACGCAGCCATCGCTCCAACGCTCCATCTCCATCGTCAGAATCACCAACAACCATCCGTGACTTTCTTACAGGGCCCGAAATCCACATCAACGACTCTCCGGCACCGATCCCAACAGTCGAAGATGACGAGCCTCCATCTGAGTTCTACGATAATCCCCGTGTCCAAGACCGCGTGATTCGGAACAGAGCACGTCTTAATCTGATCAACGGCGGCGGACCAGCAGCTGGAATCGTAACGCCAGTCGGTTCTGCTGCGGCTTCTCACCCTCTTCCTGTCAATCGCAATCTATGGGCACCACCAGTAGTTCGATCTCCCAATGAACACCCACATCTGTGGACCCCGCCAACTGCCAATGTCGGAGAGACCTCAAACAGTGAACCGCATACCGCACCACTACGCTACTCCGAATTCCACTTCCGGCCCAGTAGATTAAGCAGATCAGAATCACTTCCTACATACCCCACTGAGAACGCTGGCGCATCCTCAAGTGCTCGRGCCGTACCGATCACACAACAGGATCGCGATATGTCTGAGCGCCTGCGCCGTGGCTTGGAACAATATCCATTCCGTGCTCGTCGACCCCACACCTTTTCACAAAGAGACTCCAGTGATGAATTAGGGTTTCATCCCTCTGCTGGCCCATACGCAACACACCCCCGAGATCGTTTCACATACCGTCAGTCTCAAGGTCGTCGTCGTCAACATCGCGGCTCACGCCCACTGCCAACACATTCGGAAGGTCAAAAGGCTGGCAATGACTGGGACTCGTCATCGGTAGTCGGTGGGGCCGAGCATCTTGGTGATAGCGAGCACATGCAAGGTTTTGAAATGGGCTTCGAGAAGGGAAAAGAAGTTGGCATGAGACGCGGCAGTTTGTCGTACAAGGTCAAATGTTACTTTGAGTTGTCTAATATGCGGATGGTGATTATGGGCTTGGCGTTTGTGGCGTATGGGTTGCAGTGTGGGAAGTGGGCGGATGCGATGCTTTATATTTTGCTTGGGTGGAATACCTTGGCCACTGCTTGAGGGAGCTTATGGGGTCTTGGATGCGATTGGGATGTTCTTCTTGATAGAGCGTGGAGATTTCTTGGACGCGCGATGGTTAGCGTATATGTAGATCTTACACTCTTTTATCAAATGATGGCGAAATGTGCAGTACTTTGATGGAAAATTGCTCAATTCTGCGTCGTCATTCGATGATTCTGGAAAGAGAAGTGTAGTGCAACACGAAGAAGCTATACAGCTAGTGCGTTTCTCCCGGTCACTCCCAATTTTCACGCGCTTCAATTCGCTTCTCCCCTGGGATTTGATGATTGCTGACGTAGATCTATCATTTGAGCATTCCTATAGGTACTCGGTGGTGATGCACGCGGTTCAGAGGACAGTCTCTCGTTATTCGCAGTATCCTCTGATTGTGGTCGGATGGCTCAGAAGTGATGTTGACGTCAAGCCTCTGATCATGAGCGAGAATGATCCATTATCGATTCTCATGAATTGATAGTGTATATCGTAATATGGGGATGAGATGGAGTGGATGAGGGAAGACAGAGGTGGAGTCGATGTTTTCCCCATACAATTTAAGCTTTTATAGAACCCTGCATCATCATCATCCCTCGCCCTCCCACTCGCAATCTCTCTTCCAAGACCCACGCCGACTCTACAACAACTCTCCGGCAACACGTGCCCAACATGACAGACTCTCCCGAAAAGGCAGACACGCCCCAGAAAGACCTCGCGCAGCTAGAAAAAGAGCAAGAAAAAGAAGACGCCGCCTTCCTCGCCAACCTCACCCGCGACTCCAAAGAATTCGACAAGGACAGCGAAATCGAGCGCATCCGCGCCGCTTTCCGCGTAAATGCCTACGACGTCCTCGACTTGYAACCCGGAGTTCCCGATGAAGATATCCGCAAGACATATCGCAAGAAATCCCTCCTGATCCATCCCGACAAAACCAGTAATCCTCACGCGCAAGATGCATTCGACCGCTTGGCCAAAGCCTATCAAATGCTGCAGGATGAGAAACAGCGGGCAGTACTGGATGAAGCGATTGCGGATGCTCGAATGCTGGTCATGAGAGATTTGGGATTGGGCAAGGAGGATGAGCGGGTCAAGGATCCGGATACGGTGTTTATGGGAAAATGGAAGGAGAAGACCAAGTGGGTGTTGGCGGATATGGAGGCGCGAAGGCAAAGGCAGATGAAGGCGCAGATGCAGGATGAGGGTAGAAAGCAGAAGCAGGAGGATGCGGAGTTGGCGGAGAGGAAGCGGAAGAGGGAACATGAGCAGGATTGGGAGAAGACGAGGGATCAGAGGATTGGGAGCTGGAGGGAGTTTTCCAAGAAGACGGAGGATAAGAAAGAGGGCAAGGGGAAGAAGAAGAAGATGAAGACGTTGGGTTGAAGTGGGATGTGTGTGGTTTGATGGATCTTGATTTTAGCGAGGCGTTGGGGAGTCGGCTGTGGAGTGATTTTCTCGTCCAAACGAGAGCACGAGGTCGATGTATGGAATGAGAGGTGTGTATTATGGCATCTTCAGGTCAGCACCATCTCATCCAATCCGGCAAGTCCGCCATGTAACACAGGTACAGGTGCAGGGAGAGATAAAGAGGCAGGTCAGGGCTGCATATGTCGACATACACCCTGCCCTGCTTTTTTAGAGGACCGCGAGGAGAGACAGCCATCTTYAAAGTCATGAAGCAAAAAACCTTCACCTGTCATCACAGACGGTTCTGTGCTGGGAGAGCCACAAAACCATGCTGCCTGCGGCACTCCTACAGCTGTGGCAGGGCAGAATAGACTGCAGCGAGACTTCCAAGGTGACTAGAAGGTGACGGAGAGCAGAGCTTTGCGTGTGCATACCTAGCGAAGCACGGGAGAATTTGCTCGTATCTAGCTAGTCTCGACCTTGGCTCCCAGCGAGTTCGTTGCTGCGCAATGCCGTTCCAAATCCTGCGTCGGCACTGACATGTTGTGCAGAACTGATGATCCAACATTCAAGCTCCTCCCACAGCCACCGTCCAAATCCGAGATCTAGGCCTACTTCTCACGCACATGTCTCGGACGGCGTTTGGATGCAGCCAGACCTTGAAGAAGTGGAGCTATACTGCTCTGCTCTGCTTCGTCTCCGCATACTTCTGGCGAAGATCAGCCGCTAGATTGGGAATTGCCGCATCGCGTGCCGATCGTCAACACATCAAATTGCCGGCCGCGACAGACGCTCTGCGGTGTTATGGAACGACATGTTSAATCCAGTTCAGCCATCACGTCGTTCCGCTGCGAGGCAGTTGGTTGCCTTGTCAGCGATCCTCACCTCATCGACCTGCCAAGAACAGTTTGAAGCCGGCTCGGCTATTAAACACGGCAGGAACGGTATTTTCCCAATCAGGCAATAAACAGTCGACCCTGCGTCCTGCGCTACCAATAGTGCGAGTCCACAGGGCCTTCGACCCGGGCTGGGAGCGGGGAAACGTGTACTTCTCCAGATGTCAAGTTTGTCAATCCTCCCAGAGTCGGTTTCAACGGCATTCTGCTCCGTCCAAGCCTTATATTATTATTGCATCACGTCATGCCTGAGACCTCTTCCAGGTCGCCAGGTGGCGTTGTTTGGGTAGGTATCTCGAGATATGGCGCTTACAAGTTCAACACGATGAGATGTGATTTCGTGAGATCCGGTATCCTACTCCCCATTCTCGATGTCGACCAGGGTGCGGATGAATTACAGCAAACATGCGTGGATACGACTKAGCCATCCCCAGATATTGCCACACCCTCTGGTCTGCGCAGTGACGAAACTACATCTACCAACAGGTCGGAACAWTCGACTCTCGAGCTAGTGCTGCACGCCAGGACTGCCTAGTTCGCCATCGGCCAGAAATTTTAGAAGCAAATATATAGTGAGCACTAATTGAAGATCGACGTAGGGAGAGGTGAGGGGTCTACATTTAAGTGCAGACTTCCCCATCACCGATCGCCTACAGCACGCACCCAACCAACCTACCCCCGATGTTTGCTCTCACCCTCTCTCTCGCCGGATTGGCCTCTGGTCAACTCCTTGGCSGCCTGGTACCCAGCGGCAAAGCCCCCATCGTCAAAACTTCATACGCCAGCTTCGAGGGCAAGAATGACCTCGTCACCAGCACAAGCAACTACCTAGGAATTCCCTATGCTCACGCTCCTCGATTCGATCACGCTCGATTGTTCAACGATAAACTCGAGGGCGTACAGCAAGCGACGGAGTATGGTGATGTCTGTCCGCAACATCTTCTCGCTCCATCGATTGTCGCTCCGGATATTGGACCTGCTGGCGAGGCTCTCTCTTTCGTCGAGGCTCTTCCACTCGCACAGGATGCTTACCAACAGTCTGAGGACTGTCTGTCGATCAATGTTCAACGACCACAGGATCAGAATTTGACGGATCTTCCTGTTTTGCTTTGGATTCATGGAGGTGGATTCGAGGTTGGTGCAAGTGCTGCGTTGGGTGTTGATGGGACGGTATGTTGAGGTCCGAGATCGATTGAAGGTTACACTCACTGACATGGACTGCAGACCGCTCTCCCAGGTGTCTTCTACCAAGGTGCAAACATCGTCAAGAGATCCGTCGAGGACGGCAAGCCCATTTTATTCACGTCGATCAACTACCGTCTCCACCACTTCGGATTCACCGCATCTAGGGAGTTTGAGCGTGCCGGTCTGTTGAACCTCGGTCTTGAAGATCAGCGTGTTGCTATGCGATGGATTCAAAAGAACATTAGAGCTTTCGGAGGTGATCCCAGCAAAGTCACCATCATGGGAGAGAGTGCAGGTTCCTGGTCTGTAACGGGCCACCTCGTCGCCAACAACGGCAACAACGAAGGCCTCTTCCGCGCCGCTGTTGGTATCTCAGGAGGACCCCTCGCCGTCGACGGCCCCGAACGCCAACAAGGAATCTTCGACGACATGGTCCAATACGTCGGCTGCAGCGGTGCATCCGACAAAATCGCCTGCTTACGCCAGGCTCCATATGCCAAAATCTTCGAGCACGCCAATACCATCAACAACTTCTTCGGCTTCCGCAGTCTCGCCTCAGCCTGGACTCTCCGTCCCGACGGCAAGTTCCTCACCGAAAGCCCCGACAAACTCGTCGCCGCAGGCAAAATCGCCAACGTCCCAATCCTCTACGGAGACATGGAGAATGAAGGAACCCTCTTCTCTCTCATCAACCCCATCAACCTCACCACCACGGAACTAGTCAAGGATTACTTCAAAACCTACTGGTGGCCCAAAGTCAGCGAGCAACAACTCGATCGCTTGATGGAACTCTACCCAACTGAAATCGACAATTTCCCCGCCTCGCCTTTCCCACAATATGAGCGTCTCTCAGCTTTGATAGGAGATTACAGTTTCGAAGCCCAGCGCCGCTCTCTCCTCGCCAAAGTCCGCGCTCCGAAATGGAACTACCACACGAAATTCACCGTACCTCTCTCCTCTGTCGGAGACTCCCTCGTTGGGAAACTTCTGGCAAGACTCGGTGCTACGAATATCCCTTACTTGGGATCTTTCCATGCTTCGGATGTGTTTTTCTATTTCTTTGGGACGATTCCCGATACTGTTAGTAATAATAGTCGGCATCTTATGGGTAGTTTGGTGCATTTTGTACATGATTTGAATCCTAATCATGAGGAGATTAGACATTGGCCGCAGTGGGATAGTGAGAGGTTGAGGACGATGCATTTCCAGGAGGAGGGGTTGGAGATTATTACGGATGATTATCGGAAGGAGGGGATGGATTATATTAATCAGATMAAGGATGATATTCGAATTTAGGTGGGGGGGGGTGATGTGAGGGAGTGGAGGGAGAAATGAACATGTAATGAGTTATGTCTGGGGTGCTGTTAATGGAATATGATCTTTTGCATTGAGATCCCACATCTTCAATATCATTCTGTCAATGTCTAATGTAGCGCCGTACCCTGTGTGAGGTAACTTCCAGAGTATCCATAAACAATATGCTCCTATTCGCCTACCTTCTCCTCCGCGATTAGCATCCGGCTTCCAAATCTCCTTACAATACGCCTCACATCCATATTCCTCGATAAAAAGCACAGTTTCACGCCCCTAACTACCAATACTTGCTCTTCTTCTAATGGAAGCGTGATGAGCACTCAAGGATACCCTTCTAGGGAAACGCCGATGCGAGTTTCTTCTTGTGTGTGCCTACGGGGTTTAGATCGACGAGTTTCTTCGTGGAGTCAATGTWGCTTCAACTTTCTAAACTTGGAAATTCTGGTTTCGTGCTTTGCTTGCTTGATCTAGATGATATAACTTTGAGATGTGAGAGGGTTGAGTACTGGGGAGGGAGGCGGTGTGGAGGGGAAAGATATAACTGACTAGTCGTGAATATCGTAACACAAGAGAAGACATCCGGGTCATAGAAGCTAAGATTCGGGAGAAATATGTGAAGCGAGATGTGAGATATGAGTTGATCTCCTTCTTTCTCTATTCCACCGCCCGTATTCCCCTTTTCCCTCTCCTTCTCCACTAAAGCTCGCTTGGTTCTCTATCTGGATAATGCAGATGGCTTTACGCGAAGCATTCTCCTTGTTGAGGTTGCTGCTGATGTACCTTGTAAGAAGTAATGGAGGATACCTCTCGTGTTTGCTGGCAAGCCAACGAGATAATTCTCGACCTCGCAGGACATGCTAGTAGCTCGAGAGCAATGAACAGTCCCTTTGGTTACTTCAACATCCGATGCTGCGCTTTTGATCCATCTTTGATATTCAGGGAGTGCTCCAAATTAGGGAGAAGAGCTCTCAATGTCTGGAGATGAGGCAAGAGATGGGGAGCAATAAGTCGGCGACTTTRCTTACTTTGCCATCGAGAAGCGCGTGACTGACTTGCTATACCGTAGAGGATGGTACTAGGCCCTTGGAATGTAGTATTTTATTTCATCAGGAGCAAGAAGTAGTCAGGTGGGTTGGGTCGTCAGGAGCGTGAGGTAAAGGTCGCTCATCGATACCTCAAGATGCACCAGATGAATTCTCGATGCTCTCTCTCCGTCGATGATACGATAAGCAACAGAGAGTGGTGGAGGTATAGAACTGACGTTTGTTGATTGCTTTGCCTGCCATGACCTACCATACATATCATCCCCCTGGAATCCCTTGGGCGTGTTTGAATGGGAGAGGTCAGCAAGACATTCGTCATGACCATGCTTCCTCACCCATACTTCCCTACTCATCGCAGCCGTAACCTTCTAGATCTGCGACGAAGGAATGAGACGCCCACCAGACGAGACGAGACGAAGACCATTGCCGTGGGTGGATGAGGACGGCAAGAGGAAAAGAGGAAGTCGTCGAATGTCTCCGGGTGGGGTCCATGCTAGCGCCAAACTCAAACCTCGGTCTAATCCCCATCAGTCCTAGCGTATTGCTGCATTTCCAAAAAGATGTCACCCAAACTTTTGCATGTGAAGCCCAACTTTTCCGCGCCTTCGCATCTTCCCAAATCCCCGCGCAACATTGCTGCAACCCCACGATGCCGACCCAACTCACAGGGCGCACGAAGCCCACGAAACTCAAAAAGGCGATCCGCGGTGGTCAAAAACGCAAACGCGACGACGTCGATGTGGAAAGTCTGGAATCGGCGGTCCGCGAGCTCGACCTTTCAACGCAATACACCAACTTCACCGATCTGCCCCTCTCAGAACCCACCAAGGCAGGATTGAAAGCATCGGCCTTTGCCACCCTGACCGACATCCAAGCCAAAGCGATTCCGCTGGCGTTGAAAGGAAAAGACATTTTGGGCGCGGCGAAGACGGGAAGTGGGAAGACTCTGGCGTTTTTGATCCCCGTCTTGGAGAATTTATACCGCACACAATGTGTCGGGGGAGATGCGGGACTGGGGGCGTTGATTATTGCTCCGACGAGGGAATTGGCCATTCAGATTTTCGAAGTGTTGCGGAAATTGGGGAAGAAGGGACATTTGTTCGCGGCGGGTCTGGTGACGGGAGGTCCTAATCTCAAGGCCGAACAAGAGGCGTTGAGTCGGATGAATATCGTCGTCGGTACTCCCGGAAGGTTGTTGCAGCATTTGTCCCAAACTGCGGCGTTTAATGTGGATAATCTGCAGATGTTGGTCTTGGATGAGGCCGATCGCATTCTGGACATGGGATTTCAACGCGATGTGGATGCTATTTTGGATTATCTGCCCAAAACCCGCCAGACGATGCTCTTCAGTGCCACTCAGACGAAGAAAGTGGGCGATTTGGCGAGATTATCCCTCCATGAACCCGAATACGTCTCCGTGCATGAAGCAGCCGCATCGTCGACTCCCAAGTCTCTGCAGCAAAACTACGTCATCACTCCCTTGCAAGACAAACTCGACACCCTTTGGTCCTTCATCCAATCCGCCAAGAAATCCAAACTCCTCATCTTCCTCTCCTCCGGAAAACAGGTCCGTTTCGTCTACGAATCCTTCCGACACATGCAGCCCGGAATTCCCCTCCTCCATCTGCACGGCCGACAAAAACAAACCGCCCGTCTGGAAATCACACAGAAATTCTCCACTTCCAAAAACAGCTGTCTCTTCGCCACCGACGTCGTGGCTCGCGGGTTGGATTTCCCCGCCGTGGATTGGGTCGTGCAGGTCGATTGTCCCGAAGACCCAGAAACATATATCCACCGGGTGGGTCGTACGGCACGTTACGAACGAGACGGTCGCGCCGTCCTCTTCCTCGACCCGAGTGAAGAGGAAGGAATGCTCCAAGCGCTGGAAAGGAAGAAAGTTCCGATTGAGAAGATCAATGTCAAAGCGAAGAAACAGACGAGTATCAAGCCGCAATTGCAGAGCATGTGTTTTAAGGATCCGGCGTTGAAGTATTTGGGTCAGAAATGTTTTGCCAGTTATGTGCGCAGTCTGCATATTCAAAAGGATAAGACTATCTTTCGCATTGAAAAATATCCCTTGGAAGAGTTTGCGGCGAGTCTGGGACTTCCCGGTGCGCCGAGGATTAAATTCTTGAAAGCGGATCAGGATGCTGTCAAAGCGAAGAAGAACGCTAGTCGACAGGCCATGCTTTCGGATTCGGAGGATGAGGGAGAGGAGGAGGAGGAGGGAGAGAAGAGTAAGAAGAAGGAAGTCAGGACGAAATACGACCGCATGTTTGAACGACAGAATCAGGATATCCTCGCGGATCATTACTCCAAGATGATAGCCGCAGATGACGAACAAGACGTGGATCGGAATAAATTCGACGGAGAACAATCCGCCGACGACGATCTCTTCGATGTGAAACGTCGCATCCCAGCGGGCGGGGACTCAGATTCCGACAATGAACTCCCTGCCGCCAGGACCATGGACGGAGAAATCGCCAAAGCAGTCACCATTGACGGCGCCAAGAACCCTCTAGTATTGGACTCCAAACGCAGGGAAAAATTACTGAAGAGTAAGAAGAAGTTGTTGAAATTCAAGGACAAGGGACATAAACTCGTCTTTGACGACGAAGGGAACGCGAGAGAAATCTACGAATTGGAAGATCTCGCCGACTTTGAAGCTCGAGGGGATGCGCAGGCTCAGCGGGCTAAATTTGTGGCTGAGGAGGAGGAGAGGGTTCGGGAGGCGGATGTGGAGGATAAAGCTGCTGCCAAGGAGAAGCGGAGGGCGAAGAAGGAGAAGAGGAAGGCGAGGGAGAGGGAGGAAATTGGTATGGATGAAGAGAGTGATGGTGATGATGGGGTTACGTTCCATGGAGGTGGGGAGGATGCTTTGGCGAATTTCTTGGCTGATGCGAGGGAGGGGAGTGAGGGGAGTGAGGAGAGTGGGGAGGAGGAGGATCAACAGCCCAAGGCGAAGAGGGCGAAGAAGTGGTTTGAGGAGAAGGGGAAGAGGAAGGATTTGGGTGGTGGTGAGGAGAGGGAGATTGAGACTTTGGGGGATTTGGAGGCTGAGGCTGCGAGGTTATTGGGTTGATGTGATTTTTGATGGAGAGTAAGCTGGATGATTGGCTGGCTGCTGTGTTAGTGCTAGGTGTGTAGTAAGTACTATTACCAACCTAGTCTGTTAATTTTCAAGATTGCATATGTTGACCGAGTTTGCAATTCTCAGCTTACATTACTATTTGAKAATTTGTAGAGACTTGCATGAATTGGATGTATAAGTGATTATTTAGAGTGAAGAGCTACTCAAGTACAGCCACCTCATCTTACCACTACGCCGGTGGTAGGTGCTTCTTCCTAGTCTACTCTGTTCGGCTCGTTCTTCACTTCCTCTCTACTGTCTCGAGCGAGCCTGGTGTGGAGATTTCAAAAAGCTAGAGAAGGTAGCTTGGTGTTGTGCCACGAGAGGGTTCTGTTCTGTGCTGTGCTGTCTTGCCGGCGATTCTTGAGACTTGGAGGGAGCAAAGTATGGCGCTTTACTGGAAGCTACATGGAGTTGGGCTTTTCCTTTTGAATGTATTTTTGGGCGGGTTGATGCAGCAAGAAATTGAAAAATCTGGTCATCTACGAAGCTACAAGGAAGACTTATGATAAGGTTAGGGCAGCGAGGCTGTGGGCTTGAGAAGCGAATAGCTTCGGCTGAGTATTATAGGTATGAGAATGTCAGAGGCAAGGAAACATGTTGTCAATCGATGGGACGTCCATCTCGTTGGTTTGTATTCCATGCCAACAGCATGTGCTATCTCATACGTAGCGCAACACCCCGTGGTATCGCGTTCATTGTATCGATCAATCCGACCGKCGAGTTTGGGAAAGAGAGATGTTTTGAGCCGATCCGTCACTCGACTGCAGTCTCAWTCGCGCTCATTTCCGAAGTCTCGTCGCATTGTCTTTCGGAGTCTCGTCTTCACTCTCTATACCCGACGCAGGGCTTTAGAGGCTAGTCAAACGAGACTCGTCCTTGAATGTTTGTATCTTGGCYGCGAGAGCATCGCACAAGGTATCTAGCAACTTGTAATCCGAWAGCGTCTCAATTTCGCCGCTCGAGTAGCTCTGAGGATGGCAGCAGCTGGAATATGCTCGCCTGATGAGATATCTTTCAGGCGCTGCTGAACCATTTCCTTCGCTAGTCCACTTGGCGGCCGCCTGGATGATGTCGTGTATACCGCCTGTGGATCCTTCCACCGCGGCTTGCATCTCATCCATGGAGTGTGGTCCCCTACTCTGGGTAGCGAGGGTACTGCAAGAACCTTCGATGATACGGTAGTTTGCTTCGWTAGCTGCAGTGGCGAAAATCTTGCGCAGCATGGATTCTGGGGCCGTAGTCTGGAAGGCGAGCTTCATGACTGCCCAGGGGAAAGGTCCAGAGTGTGTCCCGTCCTCGTCATGGTGCGGGACTTTGGGCACGTCGAGCCAGTAGAGAAGATGCAAAGCAGCGCTGTTCTGAAACCCCGGCATCAGGTACTGGTCTCCCGCCACCCAGCACTTCACCATCAGCGCCTGCATGACTTGACAATCCGCATCGTTCTTGTGAGCGGCCACAGGCATCTCCTTGTTATGGATCCAGAACAGCAGTAGCTTCCAGACCTGTCTTTCATCTTCCGGAAACCTCAAGACTCCGATGTTGTGATCTCCACCCAAATGCTCGTTTTTGATCGCTTTGATGAAGTACTCGGATGCCTGTTCGAGCGTAGTCTGTCGGACATACCAGGGCTCGTCAGATGTCCCAACGAAGATCKTGATGAAGCGCTCTGGGATTTGTTGCAGTATTCTGGAAGATGTCAGGTTGGGCGCGCACAAAAGTGGAAGGTGCGCATTGTACTTTGACAGCTCATCTGCTCCGGTCTCAACATCAGCGATGGTCGCTTCCATCGCCATGTCGTCGTCCTCCATTTTCAACTCGACTTCTCCGGCCATGATTCCGGGTTGCGAAGACTCGATGGATGTTGAAGTGAGGCGCGTTTGCAAAATCGAAACACTTCCATCCACTTCGACGGGAGGGCGCTACGGGACTGCCGAGCAGGCGCACGGACCCTCAATCACATGAAAATCAGCTGCTTGCCTTCGATTCGACTCTCGGGATAACGGGGCGCCGAATCTGGGATACCCGATCGTACACTTTCTGGGAATGAACTACCTTACTTCGATCATCGTATCGTCTTGAAGCGATGCTGCCTAGTTCCCCCGAGGTTCCGCTACCTCCTTCTCAGGACCTTGGATTGCCGCCCGTCGCTGATTAATCGGAGTTCGGCTTCCTTGGCTTACTCTAGAAAGACCTTCGCATAACATATACAAAGGGTAGGTACCCCCCAAGTAGGTAGGGTAGCTACGCTACCAAGGGTAGGAATAACATGCACGGAAGGAATGAATACAAGAGCGTCTGAGAAAGAGGCAGAGGTTTCGAAGCTTCTAACATTGAACCGCAACGCAGTGATTCCTTGGCAGTATGATCTACTCACCAGCCGTCCTGTCGCAACGACGATGCTTTTCGGAAGGTTGAGATCGTATCAGATCTTTCCTCACAGATAGAGTCCACGCATCTGATGACTCCGCCACATCGCCTTGGTCAAATCTCTCCCAAGAACAGAACACAGCGCTGTGCATTAGCAGGAAACCATGGTGCTGCAAGGAGATGCGAGAACCGGGAAGGTTCAGAGCGTAAGCTCTAATTCCTTGCTGGAATGAGTGATGTGTGTATAGTGGTCGGTTGCAAAAATTAATCAAGCAATGCCCTTCTCATTCTCAACAAACGCAGCTCTATTCCTCCTCCCACGATAGACGATTCGCATCCTTGAGCAATTTGATCCCAAAACATCTTCCAAAACAAACTACATTCCCTACTCAGCATCATCGTCAACGACCTCCTCATCCTCCTCATCATCCTTATTCCCGGCCGCCCGCTTCACAACTCGGATCTCAATTTTCTCATTTTTGACCTGATCCTCCGTCTTCATGGTCTGAAAGAATTGAAACAACAGCTTMTTGAAGTCTTGCAATGGGATCCTCTCATGCACAAAGATGACGATACGCAATCCGGTGTTCTTGAACGTATAGTGAATGCGAGATCGATCTTCAGCGTGAGCGTCGTAGTAACTGAGGATACGTCTCCAGTTGGTCTGGTTGGCGTTGAGAGGTTTGTAGTCGAGATGGTCTTCCACTATTTTTTTAAGTAATTGGGTTAGTTATTTCGCTGGGATGCTCTGCACGACGTGGGACGTACTGTTTACTCTTCAGCCTTTCGATGCAGAGAATGTTTGGAGATGGAATTGGATGGGACTGGATATACGACAGTCGATGAGTGTCTGACTTCGACGTCATACATACTCAACGTGACGATGTCCTAAGATCCTTCGCCAAGAAGTTGCAGCCTGATTTAGTAAAATGTTGGTGTGGTTGTCTGAAAAAACCCTAGCGTGAATCCTTTGTGGGACGCTAATTTCATCCTCTAGGAAGTTAGCCATGTAGGGCAGACTGACCCGAACGTTATGTTAGATGTTACAAAGGATTTCCATAGTCATACTAGGGCTTGTATGCTTTGAAACTCTGTTCCTCGTAATCTTGATGTCAGTCTAACAAGGATTTTGTTCCTTTCGGCAAATTTTTCAATGTTGGTTCCTGCTGCGGCTGACACTAAGCCTTGAAATCGAAAACGTCATACTATGCGGCGAAGCATCTTTAGCGTAGATTCTTCTTTCGAGGTAGTTAGTAGATCGATGCTGCTTAATTTGGTACGGCGTTGTTTGGCCATACGGCGTTGTTTGGCTGAGTCCTAAAGTTATGGGATCGATCCCACTCCTTCAGCGGAGTCGATACCACAAGTTCCGTTGCAAATCCTACACGACTTGGAGGGCCCATCAAGATCGCACTGCTAGACAGAAAATTTGCCTTCCGTCTCCGATGATGGCGGTGTTTCATCTGTTTGCTTACAGCCCTACAGAGATGTCGTATGGTCAGCATACATCGAGTTCCTTCCCCTCGCCCGAGCATAGATAAAGCCACTGATTCCTTCCGCATGTGTGGAGATCACATCGACCCTACAGTCAAGCACCTCGTATTCAAAGTGTTCCTTGCATCTTCATTGTGGATCCGCAGAGGCTGATTTGGCTCCGCTCATCGCCGCCTCAAATCGACGTGCCAAGCGACTACGAGTAGCATTGACGACCCGCCAAGATTGTTCGAAGGATGGAATGAGGTATTGCCAACATGAGGATTCACCCCATGTTCGAAATTGTAAGCGAGACGGGTCTTCAATGCCAGTAGATCGCTGATTCACAATGGTGGACTTCGACACTCATTGACATATAAATGCAGCCGTCCACTGCACCTGTCTCAACTCATCATCACATCAAACAAGCCAACAACAACAACAAGCAGCAGCAATCAAATCACTCACCTCCTCTCTCTCACATCCACCATGCAGTTCACCATCGCAACCATCGCCATCGCGGCCTTTGCTCTCAACGCCGCTGCATGGGAGTTTTCCTTTTCGGACACTCCAGGTTGTCTCTTCACTGGTGACACCGTTGCTTCGGGTATGTGTAGCTCATGGAGGAGATTACAAGCTTCCACCCTCGTTTCTGACCATTTCTCGCAGGCAACGGTAACCAGGCTTGCACAGCCGTCACGGCGGGTGACGATGATGACCATGTCGACATTACTGGCTTGGGAAACTGCATCATTAGCTTCTACGAGGACGCAGGATGCTCGCTTGCTCTTGACTACGATGCTTTCGATGAAGGTATGTTGAAAGGAGGGAGCCTCCTATGGCTTTTGCTGTTCTTCCAACAGCGGATATCATACGTGGGCGGTACTGATGATTCTTCCAGATGACTGTGAGGAGTTCGAAGGCTACAGGCCAGCGGCTTTCGATGTTACTCAGTGCTAGAGTAGCATCAGCTCAGGGACAGCATTTCAACTGCTGTCAGAGAGGGAGAGTTGAGAGAGACGGTGGGATTTAGGAGGAGGAGAGAGAATCTAGGGGGATGTGAAGTGAACGCGCTTGACTTGGCCGCTGTGATAGTCTAGGCAATGCATCAATCTTGTCACACACTTCTCCTTTTTGTTGAAAAAAAAGAGCCCTGTTGGAAGTTCAGATCCCGTTTCCTTTCGTGAGCGTGGTCAATACCCTGAGAGAGCCCATGCAGGTTCATAGCTTCTGCAACACGTTCTCGTCAAAGTTTGCCATTGCCTCCTGGATTAAGGCCGGTGGAATTGAAGGTCGCTCGCTCTCCTTGACATGAATCGACGACAACGCTCACGATGCGGTAGCTCAAAGCATGAAAGCAAGCAGCTTTACGGAGATTGAGACGTCTTACCGGATAGAGTATTCGTTATTGTGTTGGCGTCGCCGCAGAAAGCAGGGCGGAGGGAAAGAATGAAGTCTTGTCAACCTCTCAAGCTCTGCAGTGCCGATGTCGCTCAGTCGGCGCCGATGTCGTCCGCCGTCCTTTTCCATGGGATGTTCTTCATCTCACCTTTGCCATTACATCAAGGGGAAACATCTCAAATATGTGTATCTTGATTCATGTTCCACAAGGTGGGGGATTGAAAGCCCCGGGGCGGAAAGTCGTTGCCGACGGTTTCAATGGCGTGACACTGCCGATCCTTCCTGATCCTTCAACAGCCTTTCTCCTACTTTTATCATCTCACCATTGAAGAACATCAACCTACCTAATCCTCAAGGACGAGATGCTGCTCGGCGTTCCAACTAGTTTCGTTGCGATATTCTTGCAGGGTACTGTGGCGACTTTCATCCCGCCGTTCACAGGAGATGCGCTTGCACGCTACACCATYAGCGCTTCCGGAATCAACGCAACTTTCATGCCGTATGGCGCAAGGCTCACCAATTTGTTTGTCGATGACAGACATGGAATTGCTCAGGATGTCGTTATGGGCTACGATGAAGGCGAAATATATGTCCGCGACACCGCCACCAGACATTCTTACATGGGAGCCATTGTTGGTAGATATGCCAATCGAATCCGGAACGGCACATTCACTCTCGACGACGAGACTTACTACATTCCGAGGAACAGCGCAAACAAGAGCACCCTACATGGTGGGAACATTGGCTTTGACCAAAGGAACTGGACTTTGATCTCACACTCTTCATCTTCTCTTACCTTCGCATTTTACGACGAAGCGTTTGAGGGCTTCCCCGGTGATGTCGTAAACTTTGCCACATACACTGTATCTGATGGCCCTCGTCTCACCACTCGTCTGGTGTCCATTCCACTCGACCATACCACACCCATTATGCTGAGCAATCACATTTACTGGAGTCTGGGCGGCTTCGTCAATCAAGCAGCACAGAATGTTTACTCTAGCACTCTGCACATGCCTTACAGCTCTCGGTATGTCCAGGTAGCCATTGATCAAGTCCCGAATGGTACAATAGGCTCTGTGCATGGCACATACCTCGACTATACCTCGCCGGCTGTCATTGGCTCCAAAATTCTCACTGGTCCTAAAGACAGCTRCAGCTTGAATTGCACAGGATACAACAACGCCATGATCATCGACCGTCCACGCTCTTCTGGGTTGGAAAACATCGATCTTGTTGTGCTAAGCATGTCTAGTCCGGAATCCGGGATCAAAATGGACGTTCGCACGAACCAGCAGAATCTGGAGATCTTCAGCTGTAACTTCTTCAACGGCAGCATACCACTCAAGTCCAGCCAAGTGCACGAAGGTGTCGAAAGCTCGTACGACCGTCATGGCTGCATAGTAGTAGAACCGCAAGGTTGGGTGGATGCGATCAATTGGCCTCAATGGGGACAAGAAGAGTATCAGATCTATGGGACTGACACTCCGCCAGCTGTTAATTTGGCGCACTACGATTTCAGTGTTATTACAACAGAATCTAGCGCAAGAGAGGAGTTGTGATTAGCTTTCCCCCCAGAAGATCGCCCGCGATGCGGCATGCTCGCCTGGTGGTACTCACGTGCTACCGCGTGGTATATGATCATCCACCATCCGAGGGAACCCCATGTCATCTGTAGCTCACTGCCTGCAACCCACCTCAGAGGCAGACAAAATTAGCGACATGGACCTTGCCGAGGCGGCGATGCTTTGGCTGAAGTCGGAGTTCGGCATGCCACACGGGAAGGCGTTGATCCTTTTGTGATCCAGGCAGGCAGCTATTGGTTCCTTCAATGTCCTGCAATCTTTTGCACTCCCCGTACAGTGACTTTGATTCGCCTAGGAGATATGCACAGGCAGCATCGGGCAAGGCGGGAAGCCATTCGCTCCTACAGTATCTCATCACACCGGGATGGCTCCTCGTTGATCCGAGCAGACACTTCGCGGACTGTTCCATCGCCGTGTCGATCTACACAAAGAGGCACATGGCATCGGAAAACTCTATTGACGAGGCTATGCTGTACAGATCTACGATGCGTCAGATATGGAATCCTTCGGAATGGCTGAATGTGAGGTACAAAAAGCGAAATGCCCCAAAAGATAACTATCACTCGAATGCTTCCTATCCACTCGACAAACAGCCAACATGAAACTTTCAATGCTTATAAGTCAACTGACAGCCTTTGCTGCAGCTGCCTCCGCAACATACAGTCCACATCCTTACGATGCCGTCTTTCGGAAAAGACAAGCGGAATCAACAAACGCAACTGCAGAAGTAGATCTCGGCTATGGCATCTATAGAGGTACTTTCAATTCGACATCTGGTCTAAACATCTTTCGCGGGTAGGTGTCAAACATCTTGGAGCAAGGGAGGTACTGATCATGTTCTAGCATTCGCTATGCTGCCGCGCCTATTGGTGAACTGCGATGGCAATTGCCGCAGCCTCCCTCGGTCAATCGTAGCATAGTCATCGATGCGAGTGATAATGCGGACATCTGCCCTCAATCAGAACGCTCCGGAGATATACCAACTCCGGCAACGCAGACTGAGTCTGAAGATTGCCTCTTTCTCAATGTCTTTGCTGCCAAGAATGCCACCGACCTGCCAGTCATGGTATGGATTCATGGAGGCGGGTATGGTCTGGGGTCGGCCTCTCAGGAGATGAGTGAAATCATCACTACGAATCACAAAGGTTTCGTAGGAGTTGCAATCCAATACCGACTCGGTGCGTTTGGATTCTTGAGCTCCGACGAAGTTCACAGATTTGGTACTACAAACGCAGGGCTACGAGACCAACATTTGGCTTTGMAATGGGTACAGAAGTACATTCATCTGGTGAGTGTGATTTCGCTGGCTATTACAAGGCAATTCTGACGGGTCCAGTTTGGCGGCGATCCTACAAGAGTAACGATTGCTGGGATCTCGGCTGGCGCCGCTTCTGTCATGCTGCAGACCATGTCCTTTGGCGGCACCATCGGAGACTCCCTGATGAGTGGCTCTATAGCTGCAAGCCCATACTTGCCCACGCAATACAGCTATGCGGACTGGCAGCCTTCGCAGTTCTACTATGCCTTCGCTACCGCAGCTGGATGTTTTAATGGATTGGCAGCCAAGAATCTCCACCAATCGTCCATTTTCCGATGTCTCCAGAAACAGGATTCAAAGGTCTTGATGGATGCGAGCTACAAAATCTCCACTAGCGGTATATATGGCAGCTATGTGTTTTCCCCCGTCACGGATGGTGAGTTCGTGACGGACACGCCAAGCCGGCAGCTCCTACGGAAGGAGGTGAATGGCCATCGAATGCTGAGCGGCAACAACGCAAACGAAGGACCGCTCTTCGTTCCTCAGAACATCACCAGCGATGAAGACCTAACGAACTGGGTCGAGACTACCTTTCCGCTCCTCACATCCGACGACATCGCCAAGCTATTAGCGTACTACCCTTCGGATTCCAGTCCCGACGCTATCAAATTTGCAACAACTGGTATCAACAGCCCGACCGCAGTCAATCAGTCAAGTTTAGCGGTTGGCAACCAACAGCGAGCGAACAACATCTACGCTGAATCCGTCTTTGTATGTCCTTCGTATTGGGTCACAGAAGCCTTCACAGGGAATGGTCGTCAAGCATACAAGTACCAAGTCTCGGCCCTTCCAGCACTCCATGGCTTGGATCAGTACGCCTATTTCAACGAACCTAGAGATGCGAGCCAAGGCGAGGCTTTTAGCGAGGAGCTCTCAAAGATATGGGGAAGCTTCGTTATGAATGACAAACCCAGTGCTGCCGGGCTTGAAAATTGGCCATTGTGGGATTCACGCAACACTTTGATGGCAAATTGTGAGTGCTTTCCAAAATCAAAGCTGAAAAGACGGACTAACCTTTTTCCATCGCAGTGAATCAAACTGGTGGCGTTCTGGTCAACAGCTCTGTGCAAGATGGCATTGAATTGCAGTCTTACAATGAGATTCTCAATACTACTTTCTATGTTGGAAATGATAGAGAACCGTCGTTCAGCATTGTCGATGCTCGTACTTGGGAAGGCGGTCGTGGCGTACGATGTGATTTCTGGAGATCCATTGGAGGTGTGGTACCAGAGTAGTTCTGCTGGTCATTGTGTAGCGTTGGATCATACTGGCTAGGATTTACACGAGACGGCAGCTAGATCTCCTGCGTTGTTTTTAGAACATGGCAAAGTCCCCTCACGGGCCTTCGTCCTTAGCTGGAACGGAGGAGTAGGAAGACTAGCTCCACCATGCGAAGRTACTATCACGGCGTCTCGCATCAGATGCCACTCTTGACGGCCAAATCAGCCTTTTTGGTATTTCTGCAAGCATTGACATACTTTGAGAAAGAAGCATACAACAAGGCTAGCCTTCTCGTGCCTACCGGCCGTCATCTCAGAGTCCGGACTCGATGCCAGCCATCTCGAGTGACATTTCACCAGCGATGCTCAGCGTTCTTCGTGGATATACCAGATTCGTCATTTGTAAGCTATGTACATATGTACATGTAGTCGCAGATTTATGAAAATCGGGACACCTCCTATCACATACGGGCCACCGAACCCGACGCCGACTCCGACTCCGAGCTCTTGCCGGAATGCCAAGTCGCATATGATTGGCCACTCTTGACGCCGCTAAGCAGAGCTCGGATCCTACGTACCTTTCACACGTCTCCTCTCCACAGACCGACTTGTTGCTTGAACTTGCTTCTTCACATTAAACGTCAGCTTCCATCGGTTTTTTCATGGACCTATGTTCTGCCATGCCGTACATACATCCGAATCACGGCACGWATCCATCAAGACGCGTGGCATGTTATCGGCATCTTTACCATCATCACATACAATCTGTGAATGGCCACCTTAGGCGTTCCATCAACACAAGTTTCGTGAGTCACTTGCAAGGATGCTGTCGATGTTGGCGCCACCATACGGGGGCTAGACTACTCCTTATCCAATACCAGGTAACATGAAATCGCGGATGCCTGTTCCCAAGTGCTTGGACCCTGTACAAGTTTAACAACCGAGATATACACCTTCGCGTCTTCCAACAATTCCCATCACTTCCAGTCCGCCTTTCTTTTCCTCTTACCCCAAAAACCCCAAGAACATCCCCCAGAAAAACAATACAAACCATGACCACCCCAACTAAAACCCTCGCCTTCTTCGGCGCGACAGGCGGCTGCGCAGGCTACACGCTCGCCAACGCCCTCAAAGCCGGCTACACCTGCACAGCACTGGCCCGCACGCCCGAAAAACTCACAAAATCCCTCGAAGCAAAAAACGTTCCCGCAGAAACAATCTCCGCACACCTCACCATAATCTCCGGCAACGCGTACGAAGCCACCGACGTCCGCAACACAATAGCACCCAACAACAACCCCGTAGACATCATCATCAGCGGCATCGGTGGAAGCCCCGTCATGCAGAAATCGCTCAAGAAACCCGTCATTCTGGACCAACCGACCATTTGCCAGGATGTCGGAAAAGTCATCCTGCAAGTCGCACGGGACCTTCCTGCTTCTGAGAAGAAACCGCTATTTGTAAACTTCTCCACGACGGGAATTCCCAACCCGGGCAAACCTTGGGATGTCCCGACGTGGTTTACGTGGTTGTATAAGTATGCTTTGGTGGATCCGCATGAGGATAAGAAGGTTTTGCAGGAAGCTATTGCGGCTGATATCAATACTCCTGGGACGGGGATTGGGGGGTATATTAATGTCAAGTGCAGTTTGTTGGTCGATGGGGAGGGGAAAGGGTTGGATAAGGTGAGGGTCGGAGTGGAGGATAAGCCGGCGGTTGGGTATACGATTCAGAGGGCGGATGTGGGGAAGTTTACGTTTGAGAGGATTGTGAATGCGGAGCCTGAGGCTGAGTGGGTGAATAACTCCATTACGATTACTTATTGAGATGGGAGGGGGTTTGAGTGTTTTGTTTTGATAGATTATGGATGCGGTAATGGGATGGAGATTGGGAAAGAGTCGTGGCTGAAAATGTCCATGGCAGCTGGGCGACGTATGAGATGATACCTATAGAATTCTGTTCGATATTTTACGAGTGAGCCGTCCCATCTTATCTTGTTCTTGATCACCTTCTGACTTGGAATTCACGACTGATTGGATGCGTCGCATGTCATTCAATCAAGTGATGTGATCCAGACGTGGTTAAATTGAAGGTTGCCGCTCTACTCGCAGATGTTTGACTTCCATAAGTCTGCTTCATATTATGCTTATAACCTTGGCTATCTGTTCGCGATTGTCGTCGTCGATTCAATCCAAGGACGGCCGGACTTTTCGCGTTAATCATGCCCTGGACGTCTTTCAACACCGTATTCTCAACAATCTACACAAGAACCACGACACGCAGGGCGGCCGCTCAGACTTTTATCTCGAATGTCCGGCGGAGTTTTCGCAGTCACAGCGCAGTAGCATTCTGTTTTGAGAGGTTCATAGTAACGTGGCTGTGTTTGCGTCTCATTCATACCCGTCTTAGGTGCATCTCCCAATTAATACAGCCGTCGTCATTATTCATTGCCAACAACTCCGCAGGTTGTGATGAGTCTGACCAGGCCCAAGGCTTCAGCCCTTTCCTGCACGCCAATGATGTCGACTTTTAACATTCAAAGTACCCCAGGATAAGCACATCAGTACGTGCCTTGGAGATGGCAGCCTTCCTTCTTGACTTGAAGCATCATGTTGCGACCACGAGACCAGTAGAGCTGTCGTACAGGCTGATTGCCATCGCCGGCGAAGCCATCCACGAAATCTTTGAAGGTTTCGATGTCCCGACTCGCAAACGCGGTCGTAAAAAACAGAAAGGAGGCGGTCCTGTATCCGAACTCACGTCAGTGCAATGTGCTTCCAATGAACGATGCGGCAGGTCTACCAATTGCCAGAGCTCAATGACTTCATCCAACCCTCTTCCTTGACCAAGAAATCTGTCGMGTTCTTGATATGACCAATGTCATCTTTTGTGATGAATCCACAACGCTCATGATCGCGGTTCTTGTCACTTTCTATCCTTTTCCGTTCCTCTCCAATATTTACTCTGTCGACCCCAACGCAGGCTTCCTCGCCGTTGCACAAGGGTATACACGAGTAGCAAACATCGCGGAGTACGAGAAATCTGCATACATCCGGGGTACGACGGAGGCTTTGTTTTATCTTGAAGTTGCCTTCGTCGGAGATGATCTTAAGTCCTGGCTCCTCGGGGCAAGCACTGGACATGGAGAAGAGTCCTGCCAAGAAGAGTTGGAGAGCGCCGATGTGAATGTTGAAAAACATGTTTCGCCGTGATGGAAAATACTCGTGCTTGTTGATGTCTGAATTGCCGACGTAGACCGTCGTTGAAGATGATGTGGAGGATGGTGTGAAGATGGATTGACAGCATGAGAGTCGGGATGTTACTTGGAAGTGACGCCCCAGTCGTTTGAGGAAGGCATGCCCATTTGAAAGTGGTTGAGCATGCACGAACACTGCATTTATCTCCAATACGCACTGGGGTTCAGCCAGTATATCTGCGGATTCGCCACGATAAATTTCATAATCGCCACAGAGTATACCCATTCCAGGGTGATCATGTCAACGTTAGGATTTTCCATTGCAATCCGCCAGTCTCTCTGCTGTTCGTTGTACGACGCTGTTGTGTCGGCTTCCTGATAATACATAAAGTTCGTAGCCGCATAAAGACGAAGCGTAGAGGGTATCCTTGAGATTCACGTTCCCGCACAAATCTGGCGGCTGTCTCATCCTGGCCCAGGTGGCTCGTTGCCATGGCCTCTTGAACTACCTAAGGGGACTACACCTGTGGCCTGGATTCAAGACGTTGAAGACGCTTCATATTAAACGAAACATGTTGTTCTTTACACTCCGCTTCATGGCAGAGGCCTTGCCGTCCTCGTACTCGACACCAGATTCGCCACCATCGCCGGAGATGCCAGCGAGCTTCTGCATGAGTTCGGCATCTTTCTCTGCCATTGTCTTGGTGGATTTCTCAGTTGCGGCGACTTTTTCCGCTTCGAGGACGACTGGATCAGCGTCTTTCCTTGCGGCTGTGTCATCACTTTGTGATGCTGTTGGAGAAGGTTTCGTGGCAAGTTTTCGGACCTGAACAGCTGATGTTCGCGGCAGTCTTTGTGTTACTCTTTGCATTCTGTAGGGCTTTAATGTCGTTGATAAGCCTATTGACGGATATTTCATGTGATGTCTTGTGTGTGTGATGTGGACTTGAAGATGAAGATACGTTGATTTGTGATTTCTGCATGACTCGCGCGATCGGATCCTTGAGGCCACGCATGACTCAGCAACGACTTCTTCATCTGCACTTTCACGATTCGCGTCTTCACCTCGACCATCCCCAAACATCACCACACACATCCACCCATCATGCCGGTCGTCAAGGGAGGAGTCTGGACGAACATTGAGGATGAAATTCTCAAGGCGGCCGTGTCCAAATATGGACTCAACCAGTGGGCGCGGGTGTCTTCGCTGCTGGCGCGCAAGACGGCCAAGCAGTGCAAAGCGCGATGGGCCGAATGGCTAGATCCTGGCATTCGGAAGATTGAATGGAGCCGCGAGGAAGACGAGAAGTTGCTACATCTGGCCAAGTTAATGCCGACGCAATGGCGCACCATCGCCCCGATTGTCGGACGCACCGCGACCCAGTGCCTGGAACGATATCAGAAACTACTAGACGAAGCCGAGCAGCGGGAGAGTGCCGAGTTTGGTTTGGCGGGTCCAGAAGGTGGAGAGTCTCAGGCTCCATCGGCGGATGATGTGAGGAAACTGCGGCCTGGCGAGCTGGACCCGGACCCGGAGAGTAAACCTGCTCGTCCGGATACCGTCGACATGGATGAGGATGAAAAGGAGATGCTGAGCGAGGCTCGTGCACGTCTTGCCARCACACAGGGAAAGAAGGCGAAGCGCAAAGCTCGTGAGAGGCAGTTGGAGGAGAGCAGGCGCCTGGCCGTATTGCAGAAGCGGAGAGAGTTGAAGAGTGCTGGCATCAACATCAAAGTCACAACCAAGAAAAAGGGACAGATGGACTACAACGCAGACATTCCTTTTGAAAGGGCTCCTGCCCCGGGCTTTTACGACACAATCGACGAAAAGGCGGCAAATGAGCACGAACGGGAAATGTTCGATCCACGGAAGCAGCAATTGGCCAACAAACGAAAGGGAGATGGGCAGGATGACGGTGCGCAAGAGAGTAAGCGGAGGAAGAATGACAAGGATGGAGGAGCCAGTGCTTTTGCCGCTGCTGCAAAGGCCGGCCAAGCGCAACGGATTCGCGAGGCCGAACAGAGCAGCAAGCGACGCGGTTTGGTTCTTCCAGCTCCCCAGGTCAGCGAGGGTGAAATGGAGGATATTGTYAAGATGGGCATGTCTGGGCAAAGAGCACACACTCTGGCATCGAGTGCGGAGAATGATGCGACGAGAGGACTGCTCGCCAACTACTCCAACACTGTTGGTGCCACTCCCATCCGAACACCTCGTGCCCCACAAGAAGAGGATCGTATTGCGAATGAGCTTCGGGATGCCCGCGCAAGGACCGAGACCCAGTCTGTACTTTTGGGTGGTGAAAACACTCCCATGGCGGAGAGCGGTTCTACAACTGGCTACAATGGTGTCGCTCCCTCGAAGCAGACCTACGCGACCCCCAATCCCATGGCTACACCCCGCGCAGGATCATCAAACATTCCCGGCGCGACTCCTGCACGCGACAACTTCAGACTGAACCAAGAAACGGGGGCTATGGAACTTGTTGGCCAGACACCACGAGACATCCGTCTTCGTGAGCAATCTCTTCGCTCGTCCCTTCGCGGCAAGCTCGCCAGTTTACCCAAACCACAACAATCCGAATTTGAACTCGAAGCYATGCCCGAAGAACAACCCGAGTWCGCCACGGCCGCGGAGTTGAGCAGTGAAGATGCCGCGATCCGCGATGCACGTGCCGCAGCCTTGGCTCAGGCAAGAGCGCAGGCAGAGTTCCGCCTGCAAACCCGTGTGGTGCAGCGTGGCTTGCCTCGACCAAAGTTTGTTGATGTAGATGCTATGCTTAGACGTGCACAGGCGATTGAAGATGACGTAGAGAGGCAGATTGAGACGGAAATGGCAGTTCTCATTGCGAACGATGCACAGAAGTTTGGAGGCGCCAAGATTCCGAAGAACGCCACGAGACCAATCATAACTTCATTTAAAGAAGAGGATATGCAAAGGGCGCAGATGGAGGTTGTACTTGAGATGGGTCAAGACGCTGATCGGAGACAGTTCGGCGCTGCGTTTGAAAGAGAATGGGAGCGTGCGCATGCTTCTACTGTCCTGCCTGGTTTAGCTGGTTATGCGGAGGACGAGTTGGATGAAGAGCAGCTTTTGACCGAGTCTTTCGATGCAATCCAAACGACCATCGAGCACGTTTCCGACAAGGGTAATGGGTTGGAAAAGAAGCTCGCGAAACTTCAGGGAGGTTATCTGGCGAGATCGAAAACTTTGAGGCAGAAGATTTTGGAAKCGAGCGAGGCATTGGCAAAGACGAAGCTCGATGCCGCGGTAGGTCGGCAAGCGCTTGCGAGTGAAGAGGCGAGCATTGCTGGACGACTCGAAGCTGCCAGGGAGGCAGTTGCATTTGTTGCTAGAAGGGAGCGAGAGGGTCAAGACACTTTCCGAGCTGCGAGGGAAGAGCTTGAGGCATTGCAATGATGAATCTCGCTGGTCTTCAGGAGTTGCATATGTAACATGCAGCGGCAGCTTGCCAATACAGCAATCGACCACTCCATCACGTGCGGGCCAAATCCATCCAACAGAACAGACGGGCATGAGAGCGCTCGTGATGTTGACGGCTATTACGAGGTATCAGTGAGATACACTTTAGGCGTCCGGGTGTTATCCCTCCACAATGCCACATCCATCTCACACAATATTTGTGAAACTATTGATAGAATGAATGTGTCGAGGCGCACCCGTTTTCGCGGTACGCTACACGTGCCACACGTTTGCCGTTCCCAACGGCCAAACGGTCTCGTTCTGGTTCCTGAGGAGTGGCCGGGGCATTGAGCTTTTCGTTGCTGTTGCCGGCTATGGGGATGTTTATTGTTTGTCTGCATCAAATATTGCATACAACACAAACATTTGATCTCCTTCGCCACCAAATCTACATCAACATCAATGCGCAATGGCAAACAAACGCAATACCAAGACGTGATTCCTCGGCCTTACAATCCGGAAATCGTTCCATCGGCCGTTACGGCGCCGTTTGATTCGCCCGCCACCGTCCGCGGCATAGCTTGGCAAAGGAGGCAGAAGCTTTGGACATTGCGTGTACCCCGTCATTGGCGCAGCCTCTTTGTTGTTGAAATACATACAAAGATGGAACTGGCGGCGTCCTGCGAAATACATGCGAGCTGTTCGGCATTCACTTGACACTTTTAAAATTCCCCAGGGTGGTGTGATCGACAAGGATCCAGAGAGATGTCTCGAATGTTTACTGCTGCCGCGCTTATTGTGAGATTGCTTGGCGTTGAGGCTATCAGTCTCCCTACACATTCTTCCACAAGAGATGCTTCACCGCGAGATGCATCACCGAGAGTCATACGGCAGCCGCTGTTCAAACATCACATTCCGGATCCTGTTCAGCGGGATCGAAGGAGATTTTTACACCAGAGACGACAGGATGGTGATGGCACTGTGGAAGTGCCTATTCGGAATGATGTGTTTTTGTACTACATGAACATGTCTATTGGTACACCGCCGCAGGAATTCGAAGTACATTTGGATACTGGCAGCAGTGATCTCTGGTTAAACGTGGCCAGCAGCGACTTTTGCACCACAACGGAAACCTGCGACACTGGAACGTACAACGCCAACAGCTCATCCACATACGAATATGTGAATAGTCGCTTCGAGATTTCATACGTGGATGATTCCAGCTCGGCGGGAGACTACGTTAGAGATACTGTACGATTAACAGATTCGAACATTACATTACCTGGACAACAATTCGGCGTGGGATATGAATCCTCCACATCAGACGCCATCCTTGGAATCGGCTACCCAACAAACGAAGTCCAAGTCTCACGAGGAGGTCAAATATACCCCAACATCCCCGTATCCCTCGTCAACGAAGGCTTCATCAGTTCCCTCACCTACAGCCTCTGGCTCAACAACATCTCAGCCGACGAAGGTTCCATCCTCTTCGGCGGCGTCAACACTGCAAAATACCAAGGAGAACTCACCACCCTCCCCGTCATCCCCACAAATGGAATCTACCGCGAATTCACCATCGCCATGACCGGCGTAGGCCTCAACGGAGACGACGCAGAACGCTTCTCCGGATCCGGCTCATGGAACGTCCATCTCGACTCCGGCGCAAGTCTCACCTACCTCCCGGAATCCATCGCCAATTCCATCTACGCCTACACGGGCGCCCGCTACGACGCGACCGTCGGCGCCGCCCTTCTCGACTGCGACAAACAATCTTCCCCGGACACGATAGATTTCCGCTTTACGGAAGAAGCCGCCACGATTCGAGTTCCCATGAGTGAAATGGTGATTCCCTATGCGCAGCTCGGGGGGGAATTGGTGTGTACGTTGGGAATTTTACCCGCGATTGCGGCGGAGAGGAGGGAGTATTTGATTTTGGGGGATACGTTTTTGAGGAGTGCGTATGTGGTTTATGATATGGAGAGGCATACTGTTGGGATGGCGCAGACTGTTTTTGGGGATGTGGAGGATCATGTTGTGGAGATTGGGGCTGAGGGGGAGAGGCCTACGGGGACTGCTGGGGATGGGGCGGCGCCTGCTGCTAGTAATTTTGTTGCGCCGCCAGGGGGAGGTGGAAGCGGGAGTGGAGGAGGGGGTGGGAGTGGGAGTGGAGGAGAAACTGGTGAGGAGAGTGCTGGATCGAGGGTTGTGGAGAGTTGGAGTCTTGTTGCGGTTGTGGCTGTGAGCGCTGCTATGGTTTGCATATAGTGGCAACTTTATTGAGAATGAAGTTCCTCATTCATGATTGATATGATCCCATGATGCGTGAATGGCCCAATTACTTGAGTGGAATGAACTCGATGAGATAAAAGAGATCCACAGCTAAGTTCACCTGTGAAGAAAATCGGCTGTGTGGTGAAAGTATATCCTGTACGGTGACTTCACCAGAGATCCTTCGTTGGTGCCGGCTGGCAAGTGGTATCTGCTTCTCAAATAACAAAAGCAATGTGATGAGATCATTGGCATTATCAAGTATCGTCAGTTGCAGAGAATGTCCGGTGGCATACCAGAAATATCTCAGAAGGGTTAGGGTTTGGGTAGCTCTGTTCGACTCCGGAATATCCTCGGAATTGAAGGGGGTTCGGAATTCATCCCGGACTTCGACTTCGACTGTAGGTGTCGGCCACAAGGAAATATCTCTCATTCATCACTTACACCTCATCATGTTTCGAGGGTTTCGGTATACAGCGTCTCTTTGCATCGGAGGTTGTCCAGACCCACGGATTCCTTCGAAGCATCAGAGCGCTGGCGCGTTGGCAGCGAACCAATTTCTCGCAAATTCACAGCCAAAGCGGCCGATGCCGATGAACAGTTTGTAGGAACACCATCAATCCGCTGATCTGTCGGGATTCTGTCATGAAATCTACATGACGCATATGCAGTTCCGCTATCCCATCATGCACCCAGCAGAAAGGCGGATACCACTTCTAGGCAGCCGCATATAGAAAACATCGCTGTCGATAACTTCCCAAAGTGGATCGAAGGATTCAAAGTCCTCCAAATTCTACCAATCAAGACACATGGGCACACGAGAAGGATTCCTGAAGGATGTGGCATTGATTGTTTGGGGCGCAGCGGAGCCCCAAAATGCACGAATCACGCGCCGTGTTATTCTGAAGCCTTGAAGGAAAGTTCTTGGGGGGAGATCTTTTGCAACATTGTTGACGTCGGTCTAGTTAGGGGRATGGCCTTAGCATCAAATCCATATGGTATAGCGTTGCGCAAGGTGACACGATCGATCCATCACTGCCACGTTACGGAGCTATATTGGCRGCGTGTCCGCCCGTGGGGAATTCTCTGTTACATCCCACGACACCACCCTCGCGACAAGCATTGAAGAAATGATCCTCTCCGAGTTTGCCAAGCAGACTTGGGTACTGACGAAAAAGGATCTCCTTCTTGTCGCTCGTCGACGATGGTTCAGCACTTTCATCAGAGCTGTTGCGTTTCCTATTGTGCTCACAGTCATCATAGCGAGTGTGAAATCGTGGATTCACAATGATGGTGGCTATGGTATGTAATGGTCTGGGGTGTAGGCGGAAAAGTGTTTGCTGACCTGCGATTTGTGACATAGGCATCGGCACCCCGTCTCCTATCCGCACTTTGGCCGAGGCATTCGATACAGTTGGAGATGCCAGGAGGGACTTTGTGATTATTGACCGAGGACTCCCACAAAGCGATGTCCGATTCGTGATTGATGAGCTCTCCACCCTGGCTCGCAATGGTAACCGCAATCTCAAGATCCTGCCTGATTCCAGCGATATACCAAACATCTGCCCTGCTTCCAGCAAGGGAGTCACGACGTGCTTTGGAGTGGTGGATATCTGGTCTTCGCCAATGCAAGGCCCGGGCGCAATCTGGAATTACACCCTATGGCAGGACGACGTGATTCGTGGAGCGAATATCCACACTGACTCCAACGCAGTGCAGCTCTACACCTATCCTCTCCAGCAGGCTGTCTTTGGGCTCATTTCTCAGAGGAACAATGGCTCAGTGCTTCCCGACACGGTGTTGAACTACCCTTATACCGCGTCCACTCAAGCAGAGCAGGACTTTAGGGATGAGAAGTTCTTTGGTTTGCTTGTGACACAGGCCATTGCATTCGTGCTGTTCATCGGAATATGCGGAATTGCGTACCACCTCACCGGGCATGTGGTGCGCCAGCGAGAGGAAGGCATGCTCCAGCTTATCGACGCCCAGATGCCCAACAAATCCCGCTGGGAATCTCTAGCTGCTCGAACAATCGCCACCCACATCGCCTTCGACATGATCTACATGCCTGCTTGGATAGTGTGCGGCGCCGTCGTGGGCACTCAAGTCTTTCCCCACTCGAATGCCGGCTGGTTCGTTCTGCTCTACATCCTGGCAGGCCTGGCCATGACCAGCTTCTCAATCCTCGCATCATCGCTGTTTCGCRGAATGCAGCTCTCGGCTCTGAGTGCTATCGTTGCGGCCTTGGCCTTCGCTATCGTGGCACAATTCACACAGTCGGGCCAGAAGGCAACATCCACCGCTGCAGCCACCGCTACTGGGCTTCTGTTCCCGCCAAGTACTTTTGTATATTTCTTGGTGACTGGAGCTATCGCTGAGATCTTCGGCCAGCCACTAAAAGTCAATCAAGAGATAGAGGGCATAATCGGTTCTCTGCTTAGCATTCGAGTTTGGAACCTGACACCCGCACACTTTATCGGATTCTTCATCTTCCAAATTGTCCTCTATCCGATCCTAGCTATCGTCACCGAGCGATTCCTATGGGGAAGCTCATTCCGGGGTAGACATGTTCGGTCGACGGAGGAGATGGAAGGAAATGCGCTGCGCATCAGCAACTTTTCCAAACGTTACAACAAAGCTTTCAAGAAGAGTGATCGAACCCTTGCAGTCGAGCAGCTCTCCCTCGATCTTTTCGCAGGAAGTATCACAGTCCTTCTGGGCAGCAACGGAAGCGGCAAAAGTACCACCCTGAACTCCATCGCTGGCCTCGAAAGTATCACCGAAGGACGAATCGACATCGATGGTAGTGGTGGCATCGGACTTTGCCCGCAGAAGAATGTCATGTGGGCTGAAATGACGGTTGAAGAGCATGTATGGTTCTTCCAACAACTCAAAAACCCTTCGTTGGGTCGTCAGGCAAGCCGTGATGAAGTCAAACGACTGGTGGAGGGCTGTGATCTGGCCCACAAGACCCAWGCCAAGTCGAAGACACTCTCTGGTGGACAACAACGCAAGCTACAACTAAGCATGATGTTTGCCGGTGGTAGTAAAGTGTGCTGCATTGATGAAGCCAGCTCTGGTATCGATCCACTGGCGAGACGAAAGATTTGGGATATCCTACTCCGAGAGCGAGGACATCGTACRTTGGGCCGAAAGGCAGGAGTTGTCAACCCAGCTTGTCTTATCGCGTGTGTGAGACGTTTCCTGAGACAAGCTGTCGAAAGCTCTCCTGCCTAATCATTCCACCATTGAAATATCTGCTGACATCTTCTGCCCATTGCTCTAGGCACACTACTATTAACCACACATTTCTTGGACGAGAGCGAGGTCTTAGCTGACCACATTGCTCTACTATCAAAAGGGAAGCTCAGGGCTGAAGGCTCGGTGGCATCTCTGAAAAGCTCCCTTGGGGGCGGATTCCGTGTCACACTCCCTGGCCAGCAACAATCCTCATTCCCAGCGAGCTCTGACATCACAACACACCAGATTGGAGATGATGTCGCGTTTGATGTTCCTGATTCCGCGACTCTCACAACCCTGCTCGGACGATTGGAGCAGAAAAGTCTCAAGGACTACAAGATAGAGGGGCCCAGCATTGAGAAGATCTTCCTCCGACTTGCTGATGAGATGAAGCTTGATGAACGAAATGGTCTCGGCGCTGGAAGCATCGAGAGGTCTATCTCCTCCGAGACGGCCCTTTCTAAAAAGCACACTGCTCACTCAGACTCCCCTGCGATGGAACTGCACACAGGGACAGGCTGTGGGCCATTCACACAGACCTGGGTGCTGTTCCGAAAAAGAGTCACCATCCTCAAGCATAATTTCATGCCTTACGTGGCCTCTCTGTTCGTACCATTAGCCGTTGCTGGTCTAGTCACTCGCTTCCTGGTGAACGTAAGCTCCGACGGACTTGTCTGCGAGAATCCCAACGATGCCTTCAGCACATACAGATTGGTACCATCAAGCTTGCCGACGTACTTCAACAACTACGTGGTCGGACCTCCGAACACGATTACAGACGACATACTGCGGCAACTCGTCCCTTGTCAGGATTTCTACTCTGCTGAGTGTTATAATTATCAGGACAGCGGCTCGGCATCTGAAGCGTCATCTCTGGATGACTTCAACCAACAGATCAACATGAGCTACGCTTCACCGGAAAGCGAAGCGTAGCTCATGTTCATCTCTGGATGACTTCAACCAACAGATCAACATGAGCTACGCTTCGCTTTCCGGTGGATTCTACATTGATAAGTCGGCTCCTCCAGTCCTGGCCTGGCAAGGATCTTCATACCCACCCCCTCTTTGGGCGCTCGCGATGCTTGATATGGCCATCACGAATACCAGCGTGGCTGTGTCTTATGAGAACTTCAACAGCGGTTATGCACCAAAAGATTTCTATCAAAGTCTCTTGGCTGTATTTACCTGTCTCGGCTTCGTGCTATTTCCTGGACTGTTCGCCCTATACCCGACTCGTGAACGTGTTCAAGGCGTCAGGAAGATGCAATACTCCAACGGCATTTTGAGCGKACCTCTCTGGACAGCGTATGCGCTTTTCGACTTCTTCTTCTTACTTGTGATTGCCGTGCTATCGACAGTGATTTGGTTGGTGACGGGATACTCCTGGTATGGATTAGGATACATGTTCCTCGTCTTCCTCCTGTACGGAATGGCCGCAACGGCATACTCATATGTCATCTCGCTCTTTGCACCATCGCAACTGGCTGCAGTTGCAATGACCTGCATCGTCCAGGTGGTCGTTGTAATGCTCTTCTTTGTGGGATGCTTCCTGACAGTGGATATGGCTGACTTGAGTGTCATCTATAGCCAGATGGAGATTCTGGTAAGTATAGCTTGTACGAAATATTGGATGAACTCTTACTGACATATATTTTCTCTGTAGTTCTACACCATAGGCCTCATCTGCCCCGCAGTAAGTTTACTTCGTGCCCTCTTGGTTTGCCTGAACGTCTATGCAATTTCGTGCCGAGGATCAAGTCTTGCATCGAACGGTGGCTCCATGAGCCTCTACGGCGGCCCTATTCTGTACCTCGTGGTGCAATTCTTCCTACTCGTTGGCTTCCTGATCTTCTGGGAATCCGGACGAAGTTTGGAAGCATTCGGCATTCGACGTGGATCTCAAAAGGCTGTCGCTTTCGCAGAAGACACCGAGAAAGACAGCGATGCTGGGTCAGAAGAGAGAGACATCATCTCTTCAGATGTAGCGGAAGATAGGTACCGCTTATCACCATCCAACGGTGGTCTGCGTGTACAGCACATCTCAAAAGCATTTGGCCGGAATCAGGCCGTCGACGACATCAGCTTTGGAGTCTTGCCGGGAGAAAAGGCCGCTCTTCTCGGGCCAAACGGTGCGGGAAAGTCGACAATGATCTCGCTTATCCGTGGTGAGCTCCGTCCGGACAACACAGTAGGCTCTGAGATTCATATTTCTGGTGATTCGCTGGCGAGCTCTCCCGTTGCAGCCWAGCAACACCTTGGAGTCTGTCCACAATTCGATGCGGTGGACTCCATGACGCTCAGTGAGCATTTACATTTCTACGCGCGTGCCCGAGGAGTCACTGGCAAACAGAAGGAGGAAAACATTCGAGAAATCATCCGCAGGCTTGGTCTTGAGGACCACAAGAATAAGTTGGTGAAGAAGCTCTCGGGTGGTACCAAGCGAAAATTGTCACTGGGTATTGCCTTGGTGGGTAACCCGAGCGTTCTCCTCCTCGACGAGGTAAGTTTCAATGATCATCACCTCTCTATAAATCATTACTTATACTGATTATTTCACTTAGCCATCTAGCGGAATGGACGCAGCAGCCAAACGTGCCCTATGGGGAACCTTGAATGCAATCTCAGCCGGCAGATCACTAGTCATCACAACCCATAGCATGGAAGAAGCCGACGCCCTTTGCGATCGAGCCGCAATCATGGCCGGACGAATGCTGGCCCTCGGAACCATCTCCGATCTACACAAACAGCATGGCGACAATCTCTACCTGCAGATTGTCCACCAAAACGCCCCGCGATCTTCGCCAGAAGAAATGAATACGCTTTGGAACTGGATAGAGAATACCTTCTTAATCGCTGAGAAGGAGAGAATTGTAGGCGGACAAGCTCGATTCGCCATTGCTATTAGAAGGGATCCTTCCTCCCCGGCGAATCTGTTGGATGGAAGTAATATGGCGCGGTTGTTCACTGCTATTGAAGCTAGTAAGGAGACTTTGGGGATTCGGGATTATAGTATTGGAAATGCTACGCTGGAACAGGTCTTTTTGAATGTCGTTTCGAGACATGGTGTTGATGAGGAGAACTCTCGTCCTGTTGAGCGGAAGAGTGTGCTGAGGCGTGTGATGGGTCGGTAGTCGGATTTGGGGGGGATGGAAAGCCCAAGTGTATAATGATAGATGGATATTAGAGACAGTATAACGATGACATGAAAGATTTGATACATTCATTTATCAACCCTTTTCATACGCTCATTCACTCAGTTACATTCACCAATTGAGCTTTACTGAGATCCCCACATGCTTACGGAGATCGACCAAGCAGAAGTGCCGCTCAATGGATCGTCTGTCGTTGATGCCTTGTGCCTCAATGTCGTAGCGATATCGACACTTTCCTCTCTCAAATATCAATTGCTACTGTCCCACCCTATATCCATCCTTTGTAGTTATGGTATCATAAGAGCCAGCCATCAGAAACATTCGTAAAGGCCATTAAACGTCATCCAAGTCATACCACGCCCCAAATTCATACTCCACTATACTTTCTCGTCGCAGGGATCAACTCATCCTCCTCAACAGTCTCCTGCGTATCCCAGCTCTTATGCGCCTCATCATAACACGCCGAGACTTCGATACCCGGGGGTTCGGCTTCTTCCTCCCCCAAAAGTTCTCCTCTCTGATTACGGACCAAGAATCCTTGCAAGAATGGACGCAGCGTTGCGAGAGATGCGCAGATACAGCCCAAGGCGACTTCGACAAAACTTGCGATGCTCAGATGAACCATTGCGTCTACTGTGCATTAGTCTAGATCTGTAAGGAACAGGGCCATGGAAAGCTTACAGGTTACGTCCGTGGAGATGGAGAAGTCGCGGATGAACTTGAAGCGGACTATAGTGGCGATACAAGCACTATCAAATCAGGTCAGATGTCAAGTCAACGAGTGTGATAAAAGGGGGGGATTTTACACTGAACCAAGACCCATAGTAATCGCAGCAGACCATTTCGACTTTTGATCCAAAGTCAAATTTCTCAACACGAAAATCGGWGCAATAGCCGTGATGATATCAGTAGCAGCCGAAAAAGCACTCAAGATATAGACGGAATCCACATAAGCGTCGCGACTGACGCAAACACCTTCAATACTGGTATCCCATTGCGCCGCAACGGGAGAGCATTGAAAGGTAAGCCAGAGGGTGAAAGCAATGGTGAGGCCTGTCGTGACGCCCGCAACTCCGTATAATGTCCAATCAAGGGCTTTGGATGCACTGAATCGTAGYAAGAGGAAGGCAATKGACATCTTCACGCCAAAGAGCGTTACGACGTACATTTGCTGCGCGATGAAGAAGGCATGGCCCCAGCGTGGGATGTTGTACTCTGGGTTGGGGATGTTGAGGAAATGTGCACCGCCGCCGTGGGATGTTTGCACTGGGACCATTGCGGCGAAGATGGTTAATGAGGTCTATGATTGATTAGAGCTGGCGGCTGTGGGTTGGTCACTTCCTTGATGCTTACCATTCCGATGGTGATGAAGTAGTCTTCGGGGAAGATGCCCCGAACAATGTATATCCGGGTGTAGATTCGGCAAAAGTAGACAATCCAAGCAATACCTAGTAGAATAAAAGTGCTCAGTAGGAATGAGCCAGCTCTGCTGTCTGTGGGAACGACAGTGGTGTCCATTCTTCCGATGGGCTGGAATGAGTAGAAGATTGGAGGAAAGAAAGGGTGCCGTGTTATGGATGAGTGAAGTTTTGCTTCGTATCCTCACCAACGGAACTGTCGTGACGCTTTCAGCAACGGTCAACCGGGTGAAAGGCGGATAGTGGACCGTAACCGGGTTGATATACTGCACCCCAGAGAACTAGCCTTTCTACACGTCGATCTCCTTGCAGCTGTGCAGCATCCTGCAGATCAAATGACAGCTTTCTTCTCGGCGGTGTAATTCAAAATAGCCATCACTGTGATGTTTTGTAGTGGCAGCCGTACGTCTTCAACGGTGCTCTTGAGACATTGTACGCGGGGAGCCCACTTGCAGCCATCCGCCTCTACAGCTCCAATGCCTCGCGGGGCCGCCACGGAATGGACCTTCGCTCAGACGTCCGGCCAGAGAATATGTTCGGGATAACTGCTCGGTGTCGTAGAGAAGTGGTAAGACCGGCACATCGGATGGTTTGCCGTCCTCAATACGGCGTTGATCATGGCGCAGAGCTGCAGACCCTGCGTCTTTACCAGAATCCGGATCTCGGCTGATGCCTATCATCTCTGTGGCTGCCGATGTGTGTTGACAGGACACTGATGCCAATCCGATGGAAACTGCATGCAGTTATTTGTAGTCAGCACACTTGATTGGTAGTAGAGGTTGCAACTCGTACCCAGCTACCCGGTCTTGTCTTCCGAGATGCTCAGGCCACGCATCAATCGGCAACAGTGTAGCGTCAGAAATGGCCCTAGTTCAAATGTGGTCGTTGCACATCTATGAAACTCCTTCTCTCCTATCAACCAGCTCTACTCCGCCTGCCGCAGGACCTGCCCCATGGATGTCCAACTCCTCTGCTCTCTCATCTGATTCAACAGCAGAGTATTCGCCCTGCAGTCGCACAGGCCCACTCATCCCCAGCAAGCCTCCGCCCACTCCTGTTCGAGCTCGTACCCAAGCTTCTACTTTCTTGAACATGTCCCAGATCCTTTCCTGCCCTCCTTCCCTCGGATCCTCCTTACCTTCCGCCCTGAATTGATACTTCAAGCAGTCTTTCACCGTGACAAGTCCCATCAACCTCCCGCGATGCTCAACTAGAATGACTCTCGGACCAAGTTTCTTGAAAAGCTCCATCACTGTCTCCAGTGGCAGTCGAGGGTGCACAGTAAGTGGAACAGGATCAATGAACTTTGAGAAATCAACACTAGCATGCTGTTGTTGTCCTTCGCCAAAGTAGTTTACCGCAGGGAAGGCCATAGATGGTGTCGTGGCGGATAGGTCGCCGACTCCGGTCCTACGATCGGTAGAAGGTGAGAAGAGGCAGCGTGCATTTCCACCGACCATTTGTTCACGAGCTGCACGATCAAGAGCATAGCGAAGCTCCGTGCGACCAATGTAGCCCAATAGGATACCCGTAGCCTCGTCATCAACGATTGGGAATCCTTGCACTGTCGTGTCGCTGAGAATGCGTTCCACGTCTTTTATCCGCAGGCCATCTGCCGGAAGGACTGTTGGCGCGGTGGTCATAGTCGTGGATACCGGCACGCCGAATGTGTGCTCCTCTTTCCCGTCCAAGAAGGGGAATCCATTGAACCAAATCATCCGGTCTGCGATTCCTCCTTTGCCAAAGCGTTCACTAACCGCTTTGGTGATGCCGACCACGATCATGGTGGGTAGGATGTATGTCAACGCTCCGGTCAGTTCGAACATGATCACTACGACAGAAATTGTGAGGTGCATGATACCACTCAAAGCGGAGGCAGCGCCAAGAAAAGCATAAGTCCCTGGTGTAATGCAAGTTTCGCCTGCTGTACATGCGGCAAAGTAGGTGGCATTCGGAAATGATTCGTGCAGTGCTTGCACAAGAATGCCGACCAGGCGACCGAAGGATGCGCCGATTGCCATGCTGGGAACGAAGATTCCTGCTGGCACTTTGCAGCCGTAGCTAATGATTACCAGAAAGACGCGGATTATGGTGGCAAGTAGAAGGGAGAAGACCATTCTCCATCGATGATCGGCTTGACACAATGCTGTAGCGGCGGCCTCACCTTCACACTCCAGGAAGAGTATCTCCATACTCTCTGTCATGTCTCGGCGGAGGAACTCGTTCGGGTAGCAGATTATTGCGGTGCCCACTGCAAGTAGGACCGATTCGAGAATTGGATATGTCGTGAGGTAGCGCTTCCGGAACGCCTGAGCACGGAGATTCCATTTCATCACGAAGGCGCCATAGCAGCCTCCGAAGATTCCGATGAGAATGTAGAACGGTATCTCGAAGAAGTGCCATGATCTATCGTAGCTGACAGTGAACATGACCAGCTGTCCCGTCCGGAAAGGGTTCATAGCGGCGAGGACCGCAGTAGCCACCAGGGCAGTGAAGTAACTCTTCCAGAGCGTTCGAAGTGGAAAGTAGGAAGACATCTCCTCCAGGCTGAATAGCACGCCTCCAATGGGCGATCCGAACGCAACAGCAACACCGGCCGCTGCACATGCTGATAGAATCTCTCTCGTCTTTTCTGCAGATCGTCTGTACTTTCTGAACATTCGGCCGATCACATTTCCCGTGCACACTGCGTAGTGAACACTTGGTCCCTCCTTACCCACACTCAATCCGGAGGCAATCGCCAAAGGCAAGGCAATAGACTTGATCAACAGCGTCCAACCACCCAGGAAGCCTTTCATCACAAACCCAGCAATGATGCATTTGATCTCACTGATTCCGCTTCCTGCTGCGTACGGTGCGAAGCTCTTTACCAGCCGAGCACTTGCGTATGCGAAAGCCGCTCCGGCGAGTATGTAGATTGCGTAGTCTATCAGAGTCCATGTGCTCCACCGATGCCATTCTGAGCATCCCTTCTCGGAGCCCCAACAGCAGAATGACTCATTGAGGTAGAACGCAGTGGTACAGTAACCGCGTTTGCTGTCGGAGAGCCACTCGGTGATGATGTTCAAAAAGGCAGCATTGATCCCGATCGCAACGCCAATCAACGCAAATACCAGCCAGCCTTGCGCCGCATCATAGGCTGAGAGCAATTTGAGACGCCATGATGTGTATGTGCTATTGCGCGCATGCCGACGAGCTGCTCGACGCTTCTGCTCTCGAGAGGAGTCCTGGATCCAGTCTATGGTTGTAAAGTCCTCGTATCGTTTCAGCGCTGCAATCTCTTCCGCCACCAGCTGATCGGCCGGGGACGAGACATTCCCCGCTTCGAGGGTCGTGGTGGAAAGCGCTGAGGGTCGGCGWTGGGAGGAAGGTGTGAGCGTGTTGTTGCTACTGCGGCGTCGCTCGGGGGACATGGAGGTTTGGACATGAATGGAGCTCGCTCGGCGCTGCATTTCAGCTGATGTGGATTGTGTATGCTGAACGTTCCATTCTATCGGATTTGGCCGGACGCGGGAGTGCTGCCAGCCGAGCCTAGCGTTGGGTAGGTGAATGAATGCTTTGAGGCTGCACCCTTTGTTGGAATGTCGAACGTCCGCGCATGTGAAAGTCGATCGGGTGAAGTTCGGGAAATCTTCTTCTCAWGGCGCGTCCGCCGCGACTGGACTTCACGAGAACATCACCATCGACTAGACCGACATTCAGAACGGCAACCGTCGATCAGCACTCCCAACAATGCGTATGCTGCTGTTGTCTCCGATATGACACGTATCCGCTAACATACTGCAGCGTACAACAACACTCCCATCGCGCCTCGTGCACCCGAGATCACCGGCACCGTTTCCCTTCCGCGTACTTCCTTCCGCCGTCTCTCATACACTCTCCGCTAACACGACCTCCAGTCGCCCGCGTTAAGAAGATCATCGCGACCGATCCCGACACATCTGCATGCAGTGCCAACGCTGCATACGTTATCACCGTTGCAACCGAGATGTTTCTCCAACATCTCGTCGAGCAGGCCTACATGCAAGTTCGCTCCGAGCACTCCCAGAAACCTCGACGCAACATTCAATATCGAGACGTTGCGAATGCAGTGGCACGTGTGGAGAATCTAGAGTTTCTGGGAGACGTGGTACCGAGGACTACGACTGTGAAGAAGTGGAGAGAGGGAAAGAGCAAGAAGGTTGTCGATGTGGAGGAGAAAGGGCTGGCTCAGGGTAAGCTAGGGTTTGAGGGGAGGGGAACCAAGGTCGGGGATGTTGTTGTAGGTGGTCAGAGCGAGGCGCAAGAGGGTGCGGAGAGGGAAGGCGATGTTGTCATGAACGAGGGCTGAGGTGGTGCCTGCTCGCTTCATTTGCGTTATTTGAGGTGTGCATCTTTTTAGCGAGGCGTTCAGGTACTACTTATGGTCGATGACGAATATGGACATGTCCTGTGAAGCGATGAATGACTCCAATGCGGTTTGTCGCATGCCGAAAGCGATCATTCTCCCTGGTGAAGGTTGAGTGTATACGCAAACAGCCGAAAATTAATCTCGAAGGCGGAAGGGCCATCACAGCCGATTCATTCACAGCGCCTTACCTGCTTTATTTCCTTCGTGCCTGCTACAAGAACCCCGACCAAGACAAACGCAGCCCCTTTCTAATGGTATTGACATCCAGCGAACACAGCAGCCATCACCACAGCGAACACAGCAGCCATCACTAAACGCAGAAGAGGATATTGCTCAGTCAAAGCCATGGTTCTCATTTCTGCCCTGCTCTTCGAACAGGCCGATTACTCTGAGATCATCATCGGCTGTGGCGGACGCAAAACATTCTGCCACAAGATGATCATGTGCCCATCGTCGAAATATCTCAAGGACGAGTTCGGCTCCATATGGCTTATGAACTTCGTCGCATCCTACTCAGACGCCGACCGCTCAAGCTCGAGACAGGATAATAAAAGACCTATCGTTGAGCTCAGAGAGCACTGCTCAGACGCTGTGTATGGAATCCTGTGCTACATGTATGTCGGGGACATAAATGATCGACCGTCCAACCTTGCAACCAAATGGAACGCGAKATCACAGTTGCGCTAGCTTTCTCTCCATGGGAACACTCGACCAACAACGCCCGGGCGCCGAGCGTCATGAAGGCAAGGAACTCGGCGGACAGGAGAAATGCGATCTGTGTGATACGAGATGCAAGGCGAGCGAGGAATCTCAAATGAGTTGCAGTATGATCTTTCATCAGACGATCAAGCGTGATTCATCATTGACTGTCTACCTCTTTTTCAACCTGGCAACCAGATTTTGCACGTTCTCCTCCTCACCCTCACCCTCTTTCCTCGCCTTCTTCTTCCTCTTCTCCACCTTCTCCTCCTCCTCACCATCACCACCACCCTGCTTTCTCTTCTTCCTCCCCGCCTCCAACAAAGTCTCCATACCCTTCGTCTTCTTGAACCTCGGATTCGTCGGATCAATAGCAAACTCATGGCTATCAAAGACAGCGCCAAAACGTTCATCCTTGTCATCAATCTCAAAGTCCGCTTGTGCCGTCTCGCCCTTGCCATCATCTTTCTTCCCCTTCTTCTTGCCCTTGCCTTTTCGTCTTGCCTCTTTCTCCGCTTTCTCAATCTCTCTCATGTCGAAATGCTCCGTGACGCCGTCGCCTTCTCCAGCCATCAACAGCTCCAGCTCCGCCCTTCTACCCTCAGCCTCGGCATCAGCAGCGGCCCTCTTTGCCCGCTTCTCCGCCTTGTGAGCTTTGCGTGCAGCAGCAGTTGCGGCCGCCGTAGCTGCAGCTGGATCATTGAAGAAAGGATCTGCGAATGGGTCTTCCTCATCGTCGACCTTCGCCTCATCCGCAGGACCAGCGTCTTCCTCCTCGGCGGATTTAGACTCGCCACCTGCTCTCGCGGCCTTGGCACGCTCCTTTCTCGCCTGCTTCCTCTCCTTTTCTTTGCGGATGTATCTCTCACGAGTGCTAGCTTCATCCTGCGGCTCATTCTCAAACACGCCCTTCTTTGACGTCGCAGATTCTGCACCAGCGTTTGTCAAGCCAGAAGTGAAGGTGATTTGCATCTCACCCAGCTCCTCGTCCTTGCCGCCTTTCTTCTTGCTTCCCTTCTCCTTATCTTCTTCTTCACCAAGTCCCAATGCAGCCCGCATCTTCAGTCGCTGCGCCTCTTTCCTGCCTAACTTTCCTCTTCCGGTTGTAGACTTGGTAGATTTGGTAGAAGCATCACTCTCGTCACTCCCAATGTAGGCCAACATGTCATTCTCGTCCATCTCAGCTCTCGAGAACGCCCTCTTCTGCACTTCCTTCCGAGTAGCATCATCATCGTCCCATGTCAATCTCACTTTGGAGTGTGTGAGAGCTTCCGTGCGAAACTCATTGGGTCTGTAGCCGGCGTTCAATACACTGCATTCATCCTTCGGGACATCCTCTTCGAAACTCGTCTCGTCAGGGATGAATCGGAGATCGAAGAAGTTTGCTGAGCTGAGATATTCTCGTCCATCCATTGCGTCGTAGAGTGCCTTGGCGGTCTGTGGATTTGAGCAAGTGATGACAGCGTAATAGTACTTTAGACGTTCCAGCTGGTATGCACGGAGTGCCGCAGTGTCAAATTCTGATTCCTCGGTCGCCTGGTTCCCCGAAAGAAGGCGATTCTTGGTCTCTTCGTAATCGTCACTTTCTTCCGCACTTTCCTCCTCGTCATCATCGTCGTCCTCCTGGGTGGTCTTCTGCGCGGCTCCAGAAGATGCGAAAATCTCCCTTGGTGGACCTTCCAGCTCCTCTCTCTCCAATCGCTCCCGTCCAAACTCACTAGGATAGATGGTCACATTCTCAATCTTACCACCAGGAGGCGCAAAACTGGCAGCTACAGCCAGTAGATCGGCAGCTCGAATGTTGTCCCAGTCAAGGTTGACGGCGGCGATCCGGCGAGAAACTTCGCCCATGGGTATCTCTTCCGTCTGTTCAATCCCGGCCGTAGCATCCATCAATGCATCTTCTTCGTCGTCGGAATCCTCTTCCTCCTCACTCTCCGAACCAGAAAACCCTTCGCRCATGGGATCGCGTGTGGCGGTCTCCTCTTCATCATCACCGTCTTCCTCCTCGTCCTCATCCTCCACCGAAGATTCCTCATCAGAAGAGTTGACGACCTTTGTAGTCCTCTTGCCTTTCTTGACCTTCTGTTCTTCCTCCTCTTCCACGTCTACATCCTCGTCTTCTTCATTCTGGTCCAGACGGTAAAGTTTCTCTAAATCCCTCGCATTGGCCTCGGGCTTGATCTTCCGTCCGTATCGATCAACGGCTGCCTTTTTGCGGAATTCCTGATCGGTGAAGAGGGTCTTGAATCGTGGATCGACGGCTGTACGAGCTTCCTTCTTGCTCGGGAGACGATAACGTGGGTCGCTCTTCAAGGCCTTGAAGCGATCGTCGGACATCTTGTCTGATTTAGTCAACGTGTCAGGTCGAAGGTAGTCTCCGCAAAATTTCCACCGCGAAAAGTATGGAATATTTGGAGATCTGCTGCAGGGTCTGTCGACGGAGCTCGGTCCGGCTTGCCGAAGCGATTTGGCTCTTTCCATTCGAATCACTTCCGTCAACTTCACCTCTCAACAATCACGATCATATAAGCCAACATGGTTCGCATCAAGCATCGCTATCTGCTGTTGAACATCCTCTACCCAACTCCACCTCCCCAACAGAAGGGAAAAGCAGATGAAAAAGATCTTCCATGGACAGTAACCTTCCGCCGCCCATCTCCCGACCGTCTGAACCCACAACTTCTAGCCCGCATGATCCGCGATGGCGTCGCAGAACTATTCGGAGAATATGGAGCGGGGATGGTGGCGGGTAGTCTGCAGGGTATGTACCACTTCAATCCCAGGAGTAATCGCTCCCTCTTTTGACATTTTCAGTGAAATATCTTTCATCAGCAACCAGTACAGCGATTGTACGCGTTAGCAGAGCACATGACCGTCTTGTTTGGGCGGCTTTGAGCTTTGTAACACACGTTCCTGGGGGTAGACCAGAGAGGTGTGTAGTGCAGGTTGTGAGGGTCAGTGGAACGATCAAGAAGGTCGAGGAGGAGGCCGTGCGGTTGGCTAGGAGGGGCATTGTACGAGCCCAGAAAGGACCAGAGGCTCTAGAGGACGATATGGACCAGATTGATCGGATGGAAGTTATTGACTCGGATGGGAGTGGGGATGAGGGCTGAGGGATTGCCGGTGCTGCTTTGTGAGTTGAGTTGACGCATCATTTGTGGAACCCGATGCTTTTTCTGTGGCGTACTGCTTGTGTTGCCACTACGGACGATCCTGGAGATAGGAAAATCCTCGGAACCATGGGGAGCTACATCTGGAAATGCATAATCTCGCTCGGAAGACCTACTACTGAAACAAGCTCAGGAATCGCAAGCTAGACAATATGGGCAAAGGCAGCGGAGACGGGCTTGCGGTCTTCTGAACAACCAGATCAAGCGTCGAATGTAGGACGTGTGWTCGGCCTCTTGGCCCATCGGACGACGGGACGGTGCACTTCCCGTATAGCAGCATCTTCCTGGGGAAGAAACGGGCGCATGTCACTCGGTAGTAGTGGACGTGGCAGACTTGCAGATGCTCCAACAGACGGCCAAAGTCCTTCTTGTAGATTCTGGCAGAGGCTACAGATGTGTTCCATGAKCAAACTGGATCAAAAGGCATTCTCAGCGATCGAGCGGGCACGCATCTCTTACGATTCCGACGGGGAGCCCGTCATGTATACCCTCGATCACACCAATGGACGATGCAATCGGACGCCCAAGTTAGAGCTGTCGATATGGGAAGTGGCGGGCAGGAGCCTCTGTACGCTAAGTCGTACGTGGAATTACAGCACACATTCACTACTTACCTACCGCTGCCTAATCGAGACCACTCGCGGCCACCCGCGGCTGCGTCCCGGTCCCCACACGGCTTCACGCATCTCATTCCTCTTTGCTGATCCCGCGCGACGTTGTCTGCAAAAGCACATCGATCAACGCCAACAATAAAAAAGAAGCATTACCAACCTGGATCGTGCGGCCCCAACGCGGGTCGTGTGCAGACCTGTGGTTGCGTTCAACTGCTGTTTCTGAATTTGGTATGGCATGTTCAGGTATGACCGTTGATCTTCCACTCACTGGGTGTAGTTTGCGCTCGGTGCTTTCGCATTGCGCTCTGCCATCATGCAAAATTCGCGCGTCAAGAAACGCAAGAGAGGCATGAGTTTTGAGCAATACGAGCGCTACCCCTCTGAGCCTGAGAGACTGGACACTGCCAAATATCGTGAGCGCAGAAACTCGACATCCGACGCAGATGCTGGCTACAATGCTAGTATATCCCTCAACAGCCACCTCCAAGGACCCACCAAAGACCAAGCCCAGTTTGAGCTCGACAATCGTTTCGATGGTGCCGATGGCGGTCGAAGCAGTAGGAATGGGGCCCGCGAGGGTAGACGCGAATCTACTCGCTTGGCGAAACGTGCATTAGATCGCCGGGCGTTGATCCTCGATGAGAAGGTGTCGAGATTTCACTTACCACTCTTGCACCCCGGCAAGAAGTACCAAAATAGAATGGTCTTCAGGAACAATGTGGGACGGTATCTGGAGCGCGGCGACTTCTTCCAAACCCCAGCCGATAGCAAAGGCGCCCCTGACCGCCGAGAGTTGCGCTTCCATCTGATGGTGGGCCGGAACAAAGGCAAACTCATCTGTTTGAAGGGAACTACCAGGGGCAATCGAGGCATGGAAGAAGTTGAGGGGCTGCGGGAGATTTTCGTGCGCTACTACAACAGGAACGATGCGGGTATGCACAAACAGCTGTCTCGTGGTGGCGACGGAATCCTGGAGCCACTTCTGCTTTCGCAAGGTCATCCTAAAGAGAACGCTATGCTCGTGGTATCCGAACCAGACGTAGTCGACCACAACGACTGGATAAGGCCATTGAGCTATCGTTTAGAAGAGCGTCACGCTGATCGTGTATTCCGTATGGCGCACTACTTCGGAGTTTTTATCGATCTTCAACGCCAAGCCGAGGAGGAATTGGAAGCGCGCAAGGTACGAGATCGTGAAGTCGAAGCGGAGCGGAAGCGCCAAGATGTGGACAAGCAGCGTCGCCGATTCAACGACGACCACTTGCAGCATTCCAAGAGCGAATACACCGAGTGCAAACCAGTCTCCGTCCCTGTCTTCGGTTGGAATTCCTTGGTTGGCGTGCAGCCCCGCAAGTTTGTTGATGCGAAGGATCAAGATGCGCCCGCGGTAGTAATATCTTCAACTCCAACACAGGATCTGGGTTCTCCAAGCACGCGCGTATCCACCAAGAGCAGCTTCCAAGATGCAAAGCCACTTCAGACCGAAGCGCACGAAGCACCTACAAGTGTGGAGCAGCATGGTCTCGTTCAAACACAAGTCAAGAAGCTTACGGAGACGCCAGGAAATGCAATTGGTAGTCAGTTAAACTCGCCTGCGCAAGATCGTGGTAGACGAGAGGTCAAGGGCGGGAAAAATGCAGATGCAGAGCAACCCGAAGTCGAGGAGTCCGATGGAAATGAGAACTCCAAGCTCCAGGATATGCAACACGACACCAATGTAGCACCCGTTGTTGCGATCCACAGAACTGGACTCACCACAAGCATCGATCAACTCAAAGCAACCTGAGAACTCATGAATAATGATGCACAACCATGCCAGTGGAAAGTGACGCGATAGATCCGGCTCCGAAGTGAAGGGTCGTTCGGTTCTGAGACAACCAAGACCAATAGCGTGGTCACAACTTTGGAGGACATCAGGCAGTTCAACCGCTGATGGCTAAATACTGTCGTTAAATTCGATCTAAAATGCAGAAAAGCTTTGAGCGCTGGAGAGATCTTATGGTGCCACGATCCATGATTGCGCGTCAGCACTGTAAGTTGCCCTAAGGGTGGCAGCCATGATCAAATTCGCCTCTCCGGAACCAGCTCTGCCCTGTAATTCCATTTCCTCCGCGCCGTCAAACTCGTCGTTGATAGCTCGTAGCAGCAGGGTCCTGTCTATCGAGCTCTGCCACCTCTGCAAATCCGTTATCGCCTCATATCCGCCTTTCAAAATCAATTTCCAGTCAGTGACGGGTTCGTCGCCGTAGTCGGCGAATCCACTCATTCCCGCCGCCCTCATCTCCTGAATACTTGAAGGAGCTGAAACATTCATGTCATTCATATCCTCTTGACCATTGTGCTTGACAACATCCCGACACCATTTCCGTATAGTGTACGGCTTAATCGATCTCAGACGCTCTACTCTATCGAGATAAGCCTCACTTGATGCGTTACCATCTGCGTTGTCGCTCCAGAACGTTTCACCAGAAAACCCCGTATACCCTGCAAAGGAATCCCACCGTATCGTGCCAGAGTTTTGCGTGAATGCTTCTATTTCTGCCATGCCCTCGGCGATGATGGTATTGAAGCTGTTTATTCTTTCCAGCTCAACACTCTTGAAGCTCCTCCCGTCTGTGGTCCTGAATCTCTGTGAACGAGCATCGATGTCTGCGTTCGGATACACAAGCTTACAGTCTAGCAGATGTTTCCTGTGTTCTGCACGTACTTGAGTCAGTGGCTCCTTCGCTGCTCGCTTCAGCTCGACATAACCACGATACCAGCGTGCAAAAGCTCTGGACCGATCGTCGACTGGGGGTAATTCTTCCTCAACCTCCCCCGAGGGTCGACCATCGGAGTCGCGGTGCGAGCGTCTAGTCAGGCTTTGAGGTGTTCCTTCCTCCTGTACAGCGGTTGGTAGAGCGTTCAAGGCATTAGCAAGCTTTGCCATATTCTCTTCGCTCATAGGTTGGACCTGTCAACTCGTCGTTAGCCCCTTTTTTGTCCGGCTTTCATATTTCCCGCGCATTGCTCACCAGGAAGGCGCGGTCACCCAGCGTTTTAGCTGCGATACCAGCCAAGAGCTCGTTTTCAAGCACTCTATACGTCCTTCTAGTAGCTTCCAGTGACTTCGCCATCTTCTTGCGGACTTCGAGCGCATCGGAGTAGGCTGTAGTTCCAGGAACGCTTCCAGGGGTCTTGAGGAGATCCAGATAGGCCCGCTCATATTCTGAGAGTCTTTTCCAGCAAGCTTTAGCCTTTGCTACAGCGATGTCAAGATCAGATACAGTCGCTGTTGGAGATCTTGCGTTGAGCACCTCGTCGAATGCTTCGAATACTCCAGTCACAGCTGTGCGAAGTAGCCGGCGGATGCGAACCAACTTCGTTTTACGTTCGGCATCTCCCTCGAAGCAAGTCAGCTTTCCCGCCTCTGCAGCAGCAATGCGAGCTACTAGCATTGGCTTCAAGAACTCCCCTTCCTCGTACATCTGCGCCCTGGTCTCTGAGTCCACAAGGCTGGACTGAAAGCCATCGAAAAGTTGGTCACTCTTCGCTTGCTCTTCCTCGACTCTATGAAGAAGGTAATGCACGTAAGCGACTGTAAAGAGAGCATCTCAGTGAAGCCATACTTACTGGTTCAAGTAAGTGTTCAACTTTGTGGCGTCGATCAAATGCGTTTGGAAGCAGCCGCTATGCAAAGCATGGCCATTTACACGACTGAGAGATGGAAGAAGAGCCCTGTCCATCCTGTTCGGTTGCTGGCCCTCTCTCGGCAATCTATGCCTTGCTTGCGACGAAGTCTGTCGCGATGGAGCCTTGTGCTTTCTCACGCCCCATAGATAGTTATAACACGATCCTAGTCCCACTCTACGCATTGACTCCCGGACACATCGACAGATCAGGGCCTCCTGAGGCCGGCGGCCTGTACTTCCAGCTGCATCGCCTCCAGCAGCTGTATCCGAGAAGTCTGCCATCTAAATACAGATGGCTGGGCAGCGAGTATCGGTGGAGTACACTTCACGCTGCTGCTTCTGCGAGTACAATTTGATTGCATTTCCTGTCTGGTACTCTTTGTTCTCGCCGGAAACAAACACGAGCCAAAGTTTTGCACAAAATTCGATGCTCTCTGAATCGCTCGTGAGTTTTGACAAAGAGATGCTGGGCACTGCGAAGGTACCCGATCGTCTTGAGTGCTAGCACCACTCACGCGACTGAGTTCGATCGTACATGCTTCAATCGTTCCTGCACAGCGAAAGAGCCCCTTTTTGAGCGGAGCGAGGTCTGAGAACTCCCGTAGCGAAGCGRAGGGCCAGTTCGAAGGCCGAAGCGGAGCGTAAAATACAATCGAACTCAACCACCTTCCTTCTATATAGATGTCGGGGTGTTAGAAATATTTAAGGCGCACGCTTTGATTAGCTCGTTTAGAAAAGATATTATGTGACGCTAGCCTCAGGGTCTCTAGGCCATTAAATAGTGCATCAATACTACTAATCTATAGATTAATCTATCTCCATCTCTAAACCTATTAATCCCTCGAACTCGATACGACGATGCGACGATGCGACGATGAATTCGACAACGCGACGATAAATTCGACACCGCGACGATCAAGACGACAACGCGACAAGATGACAACGCGACAATACGACTACAGATACGATTAGCTCAGATTAAGGKATTAATGAGGTTGTAATTTAACGCTTCGACTCCGATCACTTCGATGAGATATGGATATGGCTCTCAGACGATCATTTTACTAGATAGGAGTCAGGAGAAGACAATTGGCGTCTTTCTTCAGGCGCCCTCGTTGGCACTCAAAGGCCATGCCACTGTCTTCGAAACATTGCCGATGTTACAAGAAACAAGAGATCATTTGATGTATGCTCCCGGCAGTAGATATGACCACTTCAGGAATTTCTCAAAGACTTCGTTACCAGCAGACCTATCAATCTGAGGTTTCTGCAACGAGATCAGCACTCCAACAACGTCTCTCAATAGTCTGATGTCATCTCAGCGAATACCTCCGCGAGCCATATCATTATTCCCGCAATGATGACTGCAACAGCTCCCTGACCCATAACGATACCCACCTACCTGAAAAACGCCCCGGTGCATCAGACCCGTGAGACACTTGACGCAATTGAGACCGCCAGATGCTAAATGCTACGCGAGCGGGTCAGGGTTTGTACAAATGTGAAAGGTGACGTCTCGTCTGTGAATTTCGACCTCCACAAGCCTCAGCATCAAGCACATCAATCATCGGATCCGAAGTGCAATTCAGCCTGAATGCAGAGAGATTCGCTAAAAGAGATCCATTTTGACCAAAGCGGGAAGCGGTACATTCCCCGAAGCAGCATCCAGTGCAGTCTGTCCAAGTGTCGGCCGAAACGAAAAGATGCCTCATGCCTGTGAAGCGTCATCCACACAATTCGGGTGCTGATCTCTGATCCCTCGAAGCCGTCAATCCCCGACCGGCATACCCTTTTCGATGCCCTTGCAACACACAACCCTAATTCGCGACTTTGCACCGCCACACCTCTCCCGACGATGCTCGTCGCGATGACACTTGATGCACAGGGCTGAGATTGAAGGCTGCAAGGTAATTTGACGGGCGTCTTGGTCACGTACGTGTCAGAATCTGCTCTAGTCACATTATTCCCACCAGCAAGGGATGATGAGAGTAAATAGCCATGTCCGTTGAGGATGATGAGCTCAGTGAGCCTTGTGATGATGACGCGTGCAACGTATGTCCGAAGTAATCGTAGTACTCTGTACCACGCCTGGACTGATCACTTGGTCGGTGTTGCTTGGTTCTGTTTCGGTTTCCCCGGAGTCCTTTGACGGGGGAGGTTTGAACACGGCTGGGGGTCGTTGTGGAGACCCCAGATTCGTGTTGTGGTTTGAACGGGAACCGATGAAACTCAGATGAGTTACTTACTTGGTGTACATTTGGAACACCAATCCGTCAGCAACCAAGATTAACTGACAATGTCATGATTATGGAAACCATGCTCTACCCTTCCCCTCATCTTTGCCTTTCTTGTTCGGCATTTTCCCTATCCCAATCGATTGAAAGGGAATAGTCATCTCGGTCCAACACCGTGATCTTTGGTCAGAAGACGCGGGCAACTAATGCATTTTGCAGACTCTGTCTGTGAGCGACAACGAGGCACCGGCCTTGAAAACTCTCAACCGGCTACTGGGATCACAGCACGCGGAGACAAGGTTTAGCCTGCTCCTTTTTGGGATTCGACCATGGAGTCATCTGTCCGGCTCTGCAGTAGTGGCCGCGCCATTTGCCGCGGGGAAGCGTGGCCCGCGAGCAGGATTCCTGGGATGGTGTTCTGCCTGCATTGAATAGGCATCCCTGGCGATAACCGGTTCCGATGTTCAAAGGTATCGATGTACACCGGTCAGGTGCAGGTGTGATGTACAACACATACAGGAAATGATGAATCCTAGCGAGTGATTTGAGAGTCAGTGAGGCTCAGCTCCGGGTGGTTCGCAATTTGCGGTGTAGAAAGCTCGGTCACACCTCTGATCTGAAATGGCAGGGCGGCCAAGTCTCTGTCGCAGGTCAATCTGCTTCACGTGCTACTCGGCGTCAGGCAGGGTTGAAGAAAGCAAGATTGAGGCCGTACACGGATCGCAGAAGCTGCTGATGATGAGTAGAGTTTGTGTATTTCGGTGGCTTCTGGTCKGCGTGCACAGCACCATTACGCGTTGGACCTGCAAATCAAGGCACAAGATTTTCTGATGGTCTACAGTGGGCATTCGAAAGCGAAATGAAGAATTCCGACACAATCCGGAGCAAGCTGGAGCCTTGACGATGTCCCTGCCACGAGACAGCACGCAATGAGCCTTCCACCTGGTTTGGAGGTTCGACATGTCATTGCAAATGGTCACCAACCCGGGAGGGTGTGCGCGCCGACTCTCGCGCTGCTGGTGGCATGACAGAGGGGAGACCTCCTTGCCCTTGCTGCTGCCCTGCTCGGACCGAAGTGTTCGAACGGTGAGCTCTATGCAGTCGGAGAATACAACGCGAACCCCAGAATACAACGCCACCCCCAGAACGACGACCGTTTTTTTCTGATCATCTGCCCACCGGGCCTATACTTCCGCAACACTGTCAAGGACGTGGCTACCGGCACAGGACTCGTTTACGTGCAGGCCGAAACACTATTCAAGCCGCCGAACATCGGGAGAAGCTTGTTCCCTACCGACAGAGTCATGGGCAGGCCGTCATGGCTGGGTGGGTTTTGAAGACGACTGACTCGGACCCTCCGGACAACCACATCGAGACGCATGGTGCGACACGACGAGGATGAGTTGATGCCAACTTCAACGTCCGCTGTGTGACCGAGATTGCAGCCAGACGCAAGTCATGCAAATGTCGTACTTCAGCCCATTTTGACAGATGCCGCCACTAGGTGACGTCAAATTCGAGTAYGCCACGCCATGGTCGAAGTGGTGTACAAGTTGGAACTTGACGAGGACGGAGCAAGAAATGAGACCACGATACAGACATGCCGTTCTGCCTCCTTGCAAACAGGTAGGCGTGTTGTTGGAGACGCAATAGGAAAGAGCARCTTTCGTTGAGAGCTCACCGATATTCGAAAAAGCGATAGCTACCTTTGATGACTTGCGTCTGCTGAGGAGATCGTCTCCCCTCCTTGACGGACGCCAGATGTCCATCTCCAGATCTCCTCATCAGTGTTCGAGTATCGCTCCGTAAGGCTGCGTAAGCTTGTGGGGTAGGAAGTCTCTCGTTATTCTCCAGCAGTATAGCGCACCGATCACGATGTTACCCGACAAAACCGGGATTGACTTGAATATACTGGCTGAAACATTTTAATGCGTCGCATTGCATTGTCTACCGTCACCATTGCTGCGCCGCAGTGCTTCGTTCGATGAGACGCGCGACGCCGTTGGCCACATCGTCGATTGAAGAGTGAGTTGCGGTGGTGGAAAAGATGTACTGTGTCGTCCCCAACACAAAAAGAGCCGTTTCTACCGAATAGGCGCGTAGTGAATGATCCTGAAAGTGCATTCTCCGTACAAGACCCAGCTCCGCGCACGCCCACGCGCAACCCACATTGATCAATGCGTTCGATAACATGGTCAACGGCCAATCACGGCGCTATTTGTGTTGTGTCGCTCGAGGGGGATCTAGGAGGTGACATCGTGTGGCTCCGCAAGAAAACGATGATTCACAGCGCGATCGTTTCGAAGCGAAAAAGAAGACGTGGAAGAGTGGGGTGGAAGGAAATTCTAGCAGACATCGAAGTTCTAGCGTTTCGACGGCGCTCCCGTAGATCCCATGGGCATCCCTTCCCATCCAGTCATGGACCTCGTATCCAGCTGCCAACGTAATCCGACGGGGTGAAAACGGAAGCGAAGAGTGGAGATGCGGTTGTTGGGATTCCAAAATGTAAGGTAGTGTGGAGTTGAGAGTCATCAGAGGATACACGACGACAGTAGTAAAAATTCTTCCGTCTTCTGATCGGATTATGTTGCATGCGAGGAGCGACGTGGAGTCGGTCAAGGGATGTGCGCCGGGCCAGACTTCCCTCGTTACCTCGTAGCTCTCTGGTTCGCAGATCTCTGGGAATGCACGTTAGGAGAGCAGTGCGGAGGCCTATGGCACGCCTCGGTCTTCTGCATATGCACAGCACGCATACGCGTGCATATGTGGGCGTTTCAACCGCCACATTAACATCTGATTGTCATGCGTGTCGAAATGGCGGTCTGTGATATGGTYGAGCAAGCTACAGCTTCTGCTCTGATGAACAGATGACTTTTCGTGGACGGAGCTGCCGCCTGGTGATGTTACTTACTGTGGTCATACGTGCGATTACAGATTCGAATGGGGATGAGATGCAGTGTGAGAGTCGCTGACTTTGAACCTTCTGTCGTTTTGTTTTGCATGTGCAATTAAGTACTCTTTCTACTACCCCTTCAGTACCACCGCCCTGCATCATCCACCAACTGTAGAGTGTGTACTTTGAACCGCCCGTGGTCCCCAGAGTAATGTTACATCCGTAGTAGTACAACAGACCGCACTTTCGCCGAGCGAGATTATCGCTCCAGGCCACCGGTTTGTTCGCCAAAGGCCGTCAAGCATGTGAATATGTGCCCATGCTGGTATCATTGAAATCGCAAAAATGTTCCCGCCCGCAAAAAGTACTCGATGTGTGTAACCGTCATGATTACGGCGCTCTAAAAGAGCTCGTTCGTGGGCAAGCGAGCCTGTCCGCACTTTCAAATCCAAAAGACAATCGCTAAAACGCAGGATAAAATGAGGTAGGTTCGCTCACCAGCCCTTGGCGTGGTATTCACCGAGGCCGGCGTGAAAGTAGTCGTTGTTGAACTTCTTGGCAGCTCCAGGTTTGTGGGAGAGAACTGGGCCCGGCTCTGGATGCTGTCGAAGGTTCTTCACATCCGTGGATGTGTGCCTTCGCTTCATCGCTGCAAGATTGCCAGTGCTCTTGTGCTGGCGCTCCCAAAGAAGGTTCTTCCGCAGAGATTCGGTCAGCTCGGTAGACAGCATGTTACGCCGGGTCGTGCGAGGCGAGAGCGCTAGCTGCTGATGAGTGTTTGATGTGGTCATGATGATGGGTTTTGACCGTGAAGCATCGTTGCCGGGTATTTGAAGGTGGATGCTTGGCTCTGGTGTCGGTGTTGGCATGGGAGAAGTAGCAACAGACGGCCCATTTGGCGTCGTGGCCCTGGACCGACGAAGAGCAGGTGTCGACCGGGATGCAGCATTTGCAAGCGCTCTCGCGCGATCTGGCTCATGCATGAGGGTGGTGAGTAGTGACCGTCGGGATGTGAGGTTCGGCCGCGAGTCGACGCGCTGAAAGAGCTCTCTTTCGTTCACAGACGACGGGCCCGAGTGCTGGTCCTCGGAATCCTCCCAATCGGACGAATCGTCGTCGTCCTCAATCGCACTCTCGGAAACATCCTCGTCTTCGTCGTCGGATCCAAACACTGAACTGTACTCGGTGGCTTTCGCTACGGCAACCTCATCCTTGAAGGCAGTCCTCTTCTTGCTGCCATTACTAGTGAGGCTGCTGGGATGTCTGAGACTCTCGGAGATGTTGCTCCTGAGCATGTGACTCTCCAAGGAGCTCTCGTCCTCGGCAGAAGACGTCCCGATGGTAAACATGGCACCCTTCTTCTTCGGTGGTGGATTCCTGTAGGACGGCGAAGTTTTGAGAATAGGCGTTGGCTGGGCAGCCAAATTGGTTTGTGATCGGTAGGATGACGGTGCTCCGCCAGGTACAAATCCTCGAATGATGCTATGCGTGCTCATCTCTGTCGATGAGCTATCTTGTGAGCCCACCATTTGAGATGTTCCCGACGCTTGCGAATCATGCGAGCCGTGGGTGCCGACTGTCGATGCGGAGGATTCCAACAATGTCGACTGGGAGGTGGAAGGATGTGAACTAAGGCCCTGTGACGCTTGTGACGGTGAAGGGTGTGAAGCTTGTGAGGATGATGAATCTGGCGAGGTCGTGGTCGATGTTTGTTCCGTCAAAGGCCTGGGCAATTCGATGGGCTCCAGTTGTTTTGTCTCTTTGATAGAGATGACAATCTTCTCGAGATCAATCGGGGTGATGTGCTTCTCGTGGCCACGACTTCTACTCGCCTCGACACAGTCGTGCCGCCGGATGGCCGGCCGTGCGCTGACGATGCGAGGGGCGAGTGGAGATGACGTTTCGAATTCCTCCTCGGACGAGGCAGATTCCAGGCTGGACGACAGCTCTGGCACGCGGGATGCGGGCTCCTCTGGCGTCTCCTTTGTTCGAAGCGGTGCACGTGGTGCGGCATTCTTCGTTGGCGGTGCGCAGCAGAATGTTTCGCGATTCCACAGTCGCCAGCTGAGATTTTCCAGGCGCTTTCCATCCTCCATTGCATGGGACGTCTTCGAGAACAGCGACCACTGAGAGGAACGGGTAAGTAATTGCGCGCGAGATGCACCACGCGTGAAACCTACCATGCCAAAGAGGTTCTCTACCGAGCGTGTGTCGATGGTGTGCAGTGCGGGCACCTCGACCCGCAACAACGAGTGTTCGGGACGAAAAGGCATTGCGCCGGGGTTCTACAGTGTCGGAGACGGGGGAGGAGCAGCAGAAGTGTGGAGAGGTGTATATTCGTGGGATCGCTGAACGCAGCCGGGCGCGATCAGATCTTGATCGATTGCGTCAGGTGCGTGGACGGCTTTCGGGAACAAAGCTTCGGCTATTTGCTTTACATAGCAGAAGGGCCAGCAGTGGGAAGCGTGAGGAGGCCAGGTCGTCGATGTTTGAATTAATGTGGGTSTGTAGTGTGCGTGAGGGAGGGAGTAGTGGGAGAGGGACGCAGTATGACCGGCAGGCGAAAGTGGGGACGGCGTCTATACGTAGGTAGGTGGGTAGGTAGGTTGGAAAGCGGATCGCGGTGAAGGAAACACGCCTTAAGTTACGGCGGATGCGAGTTCTGTTTAGTACAGCCGACCACAGACTCAAGTGCCCACTGCCCCTGGTCCTGTCTGCTCGTCTGCGGCCACTTGTCGGACGGCACCGTTCAAGGATCTGGTACCCTCTCAATTCTTGGATCGTTTTAGTCTCTGACTAGCTCGACGGATGAGTGCCGCCCGCTTGGACCAGTCCGACAGGTCGCATAAGTGTGGCTTGCTTCTCACCTGATCGGCCGCACACCGTTCAGCGATCGATCTTTCCCTCTTCCATGGGTATGCCGCTCTCCTGAGATGCTGGCTCTTCCCCGTTCCGCTGCAAGAGAAACAACTTGCAGCGTTTGCTTGCTTGATGGAGCCCAACCCCGACGCTGGTCGTGTTGTGCCCGCCCGCCAGCCACCCGTCGCGCGCGCACGCTTTCATCAACGAAGGATGTGTGAGGACGGTCAATTGACAAACTTTTGCCGGCCACTGGTCGGCTGCTTCCGCCACGGCATCACACCTCGGCAGCTCTGCGACGCGCGTGGGATCCTCGTCGCCGCTGCCCCTCCGATATCATGTGAACGCCCTCTTCACATCGTGGCTAAGGTAGTTAGTCGTTCGGCGCTTGCCAGTTGTCCGCCGGCGCAGTGTCAGGCTCAAACCACTGGACGCCGCACGTCTCCCTGATCATCGATGAGCACCTCCTTCTTCATCGCCGCGACAGAGTGCAATAACACCAACGACTCGCAGGGTCACTTTGTGATACGCATCGGTGCCCCTGATGGAAGATTTCATGCAAGTACCGTATATGACTGCTGACTGCTGTTACTATTCTGGCACGCGGTTTTCGTGCGTTCCGTCCCCCATCGTGGCGAAGCAGAATATGCAGCATCTTCTTGACGTGTCCGGGAGTGGCATTCGAAGACCCGAAAGTCCGTTCGCACTCTATGAGCGGTCCCACCAGAGATTATTGATCGATACGYTCTACATTCAGTCCAACTCCGCCCTTGTTGTTAGCAAGGCTGTTTGGATCTGCGTGCGAGCGTGGGATCTGAAGTGCTCATCGCACTACATCCCCAAACCTTGAAGACGCTGTAGAACTACTCCATCAAGCGCTTCGCAGGATGTATCAGCTGGACAGTATGGTAAGAAGCAATGCTTTCGCTGGCAATCATCTGTCTGGTCAGTCACGACTCACCACGCAACGTGACCATCGGCAGTGGCGACATTGGCATGCTATCCTTGCTTAATGCTACGGACGGCACCTTTGCGGCGAATGAGGTGAGAATTTCTTTTCGCYCATCAACTTGAATCTGCTTCAATCTTCACACTACCCGGCTTGCCCAATGCGGCACACACGTGGGCTTCGACCTAGCTCCTCTCATTTCACGACACCACGCCTTTGACGAGATTGTGCGAGAGCATGAGACCCCACGCTCACGGTGGAATGCATGGCAAAAACGAATCGAATCCATCACCTGCTGCTTTTGAGCACTCGATAGGCCACTCGCAGATCCTCCTGTTGGCCGTGTGGGCTCCCCGCGCCAGCACATCAAAATTGTCTCAAATCTTGAATGCTCAACTCACTCCGCCTTTGCAGGATTGTAGATGATCCCACGCGCTGCCGCCACCAAAGGCAGTGTGAGATATACCAACAAATCACATGTCGGGGTCACCGCGCGTGTGACCATGCTTCAGGCACAGCTGCACGACTAATCGTTCGTCRTACACGCAGCCGTCACGGCATGTTTATTGCCAGTCACCATGTTACATGAGACTCAGAGCGCTACTCTTGGTGGCCGCGTGGTAAGCGACCGGACCCAGGCAATGCAGATGATACTGTCTGACAGCGCAGCAAGTCATCTGTTCACCGCCGCGCCCGGTTGGTGGCTCATTCTTGTCTCTCCACACAAACCACCTATCAACCCCGCAGATCGGTTCCTGAGTGGTCTATTCGCGAGGCATTGATAAGACGAGAAGCGGATGTAATGTTGCTAATGGAAATAGCATCCTTTCCGCTCCGACAAACGCACGAGGAAAATGAATACTTGGGAGTACTTTGWCAATAAGCCAAGTTCACTGCATCGAGAAGTACCTCCAGAGTCCAGAACCTCCACACCGGCAGCTATCCGTCGCTGATCTGTCGGGGCCCTTCGTCGTTTCGACCTATTTGTTTCGGGTACGAGCATCTGAGAGTTATCGATGTGTCGTCACCTCCTTCTTTCTACTATTATCGCCAAGCAGCGAAATCAGCGGAGCGACCCAAACCTGACAAGGGAGTCACCATCGCCGTAAGTTAACCACTCTTAGACTACGAGGACTGATCTCGCGGCATTGGAATGTGACTGCATTGTCATGTCACGAGGCACGGTATGGCCTTGTCCTCCGCATCTCCGCATTCTCCCCACGGCGCGCCCGCCTTTGACGGAAAGGCGCCCGCTGTCCTTCCCCGGTCTCTGCCGTGCATGCGATTCATCTATGTGGCGTGCTATTGTCACACAAAGCCAACGACAAGAGGGTGTGAAGGTCCGCGGCAATGGAAAGACTTGACCCCTTGCCGCAAACGAACATCCCGTCCTTTCGCAGTGTTGGTATCTGCTTTTGGCTGCGGCTGCCAGCGCACAACAGAATCCTGAACAACAATCGCGGGAAAAGGTCATCTGCCACAAGGTCTCGCACCTGATCCCGATTCTGTCCTATTCCCGATGCTGATCCCGCCAAGACTAATTCCCTCCTCGGGTCGGCTTTGGAATAAGCTCCTGCGCATTCAGCCACACTTCAAGAATGCGCCGAACCCGCGGCGTCGGGAAGCTGAGCGATTTAGCCTGAAGATCTGAGAGACGATCTCCACGACAAACGTTCTGGGCTTTTGACGGGGTTGGGTGCGAGCTGAATGCAGTCACTAACAAACAACACCCCTGCGTTTGTTCTCGAGGCGATGCGACCTCGCATGTCCGGCTTGTGATGCGCCAAACATCGAGAAGCATATGTTTCGCCATACGACGGACATGTGCCTGAGAGCGAATCCGGATCTGGGGAAGACACGGACCTGAAAGAACAGAACCGTTTGGGTCAATGTGCTCGGGTGCTCACGTTTCGGATGCATCGCACGTTTTGCCATTTCATCATCTTTCCCACATAAAGAACCAGCATGCGTCGGACATGCAGGGCAAGGGTTATAGCATCTCGGCGCATTCGATTGGATTGCAATTTGTGGTGACAAACGTCATCGGGTAGGCCTGCTGAGATTATACGTGCATCATCTAGCCTCGTATTTGGCAGTAGGTGTTGGACTATATGTGATAGAAGGCATCGTCAGGCCGCCGTCCATGGAGGTGTCGAGGCGAGCTTCGATTTGCGATACGGAGCACTGCACTGGCCGTTCTCTGACAATATTCCAGTATCGCCCGACGGCCCATGTCGAATTCATCTCCCTGGTCGGCATTGATGCGCCGGTGCTTCATTTGCGCCACAACACAGAGCGCAATCATCCTCGCGCGTTGAATGGCAGAATTTCTGACTTCAAAGACTGCTTGTCCCGCTGCCCGATCACATGAAAATTGACAACGCCGGATTGATATCCCGACAAACGATCGCCGTTTCAAACGGGGCGCGTGGCGCGGAACGGTTCCCCAGCGGGTGGAAGGTTCCCGCCCGCTGATTGCAACGTCTGGCATTGCTATCCTCCGCACCAACAAGGTTGGTGATCTCCTTTAAACCGGAAGTTTTCTTTCGTTCCGTGGTCTCTTCGCTGTCCGAGCGTGGAGATTGCGGACAGACGAATCGGAGAGCCTGGCGACCAGTTCATTCTCGACAGTTGACGGATCTGTGGTATACGGTTGAACTCCATCTTCCCCACGGTGGGGAGGATGCGGGAGCCCACACACTGCGCAATACACGCTTGCAGGACTGGAAACCGGCGCTGGAAACAATTTCCGTTTGGCTATTGGACTTCTGGTGAGATGAGATTGGGGTTTGCGCGTTCCGCGATCGATCGATCTCGGGCTGTTTTGTTTCAATGTCTGGTGGGTTGCTGGCTTGGATGATGTTTACCAGCCACTGATGTAAGAAGCGTCCATCGGCCTGGTTACGATTCACAGATGAAACGGTTCGTATGTTGATGCAACTTTCCCTATTTTGCTCAACCTCCATTCATCAGCCACAGCAACGAGACTTTGAGAAGGCTGGGCRTTGGAAACATAGTGAATAAGGAGACTTGCAAGAGCTGGGAACTTGTCGTCATCTGGAGTGCGACCAATGTCCAAATCTGGGGTATGCGGAGAACAGATCTGAGTTCCATGGCGCGACCACAACAAAACACTTGAGACCTGGGGGTTAGTTAACCGTACTTCACTTCTTCGACAACTTCACCTTCCCCAGGTATGGCTAGTGAACCTGCGGGGTCTCCGACTATGATATCAATGGTTTCAAGATGGTAAGCAGCGCGGGCAGAAAGAGGCTGGAAGTGAGAAATTCTGGCCAATGACATGTATTGAGTTCATGATTTTAATTATGCATATCATCGCGCCCAGAGCTACCATGACCATCTCACCATGTCGGCAGACATCACTCGTAGCTGATCCGGGCTCTAGATACCATCTAGACATCAGTCAGTTGGACCTTGGAACACAGTTGCTGGCTCTCGGAACGCTTCGAAAGTCGATCTTGGACCTGATCGCATCAACGATGTTGAGATCCGCCATCCTTCAAGTGTACCGTCCACGGCTTCATCGTCTGCGCTCTTCTCGCCAAAATCCCGAACTCCGTCGTCGTCCTCAGGGATGGAGGCAATCACAATCAGTCCCGTATTCGAGGTAATCAATGAGATCGCCGAAAGTAGCACCTGCTTCGAGGACCCACTGGTTGGATCTGTCGCACGTGCTGCACTCCACATCTAGCTTCAGCGCAATTGCCGGCTGACGCAGCAGCATTTGCGATAGCTCCGGGACACGCAGCTCCTCATCGCCGCTCTCACTATCAATGTAGTACCAGAGCGAGAGGTCGATGTTATGGCCAGGTTGGAGCGACTCGGTGGAGTTGTTCCATCCAGGCCGATCGGAAACGTCGAAGAACATGACCTTGGAATAGCCTCGGAGGTAGGTAGGGCGACGTGTGGGGAAACCAAGCTCATTCCATACAGGCGCCAGTGTTATCGAAGGCTTAAGGAAGAGTGCTTGTTGGCAAGCTAGGGAGTCGGTGATGGTTGCCTTAAAAGTCTTGGAGACACGCTTACTAAGGAGCAACGTCTTGGTATCGAGGCCGAGCAGGATAGCTTCAAGGAGTTCGGTCGTGCCGAGTACCTTGTCGCGCGCTGCGTGCTTAAACTTCCCGGTTGGTCGAGCTATGCCATTTATCATGGCGTCTTTCTTGTAAGTAGTGGTGGTTATAGCGGTGTCCATCGAAGGCTCGGCCTCAAGTGCCTCGAGTGCGAGTTTGCTCTTCGTAGGTGGCTCTATCACAAGTGCTAGGCTACGATGTTAGCAAGTTGGGGACAAGCTTGGAGTTGACTCTGTCTTTACCTCGACAACTTTGCGCGATGTTTGCAGGAAAAGAAGAAGCGCAGGCACTAGAACTGCTGATGTTTATAAATGGTCTTAAGGCGTTCTTGTCACGGGGAGTGACTAGGCAGCACCGCTTGCTGCTGAAGATTTCAGGCCGGATTGGGAATCATTATAGAGTGAACGGACAGAATGAATAGTGGAGTGCACCTGGTGGTCGAACTGTGCCTTGCCTTTCCGGGCGGCAATCCAAATCCACAAGTGTAGCCACGAAGGTAGAGACCCCATGCAGAGGCCAGCACTGCATAGTCGAGCGGTCATGTGGCCTTCCTCCATTCCAAACCAGAGACTTGAGAGCGTCACCTCACCTTGGTCATACTGGCAGAAGAAGAGCATGAAGTATCGAATTCGGGAAAAAGGGGTCAAAACCACAACACCAGCGAAACACGACAGTATGCTTCAAAAGTGATCCTGATTACTCTTCACACCTATAAGAATGATTCCAGAAGGCACAAAGGCTACATCATCATCGTGGCAAAAGTTTGCTCTACCCCAACCCTAACCCTGGACCTTTCATGTGTGTCCTCCTGATCGTCTCGCTCTCAATGCAGGACATTTCGAGACGCTTCCAGGCATCAGCCATGACGTTCAGCACTGTGGAGACTAGGTTCCGAGCGTCTACTCAAGGTAGTCATGATTCCTTCTGAGTGAAATACAGCAACATTGCACATCCTGACCGCGACTACGGCCATCATGGCCAACTGCCACCTTCCGAGGTCTCTTACAACCCTTTTTCCGTATGCGCAATAGGAATAGAGGCACTGTCTCTCAGTCTTTCGTGCGAGGCGTCCGCATTCTTCTCAAAACACGGCCCCTTGTCCTGACTTGTACAAGTCCCATGAGGCTCTCGTTCAAAAGTCGCAGCCTTGTCGCCAGTCATAATGTAGAAAACGTTCGCTGCATTCGCCAGTTCTTGTGGATTTCAGCTTTGCGTTTGCACGAATTGTCGAAAGTGGCTATCTTCGTCTTGCTATTGAAAGCGCGGTTCAGACCTGTCCTTCTTGCATCCTTGCAGAGGTCACCAGGTCTCGCATCAACACCATCGGCCGAGACATCCAGCGTGGTGTAACAAGTGACGTTGGCGTATCTTACGAAATCGAAGGACTCATATCTCACGCGGTAGAGGCCGGGTTGTTGGATCCAAAGTTTGATCTCCTCCTCGACGCCTCATCTCTCCCTGACTGTCGCGTGATGCCAGATGGTTGCCGTTCTTTGCCAGCATTCTCGGGTAACTCTTGAAACTCCTTGCATTTGGTCCACACGTTGCATTCAATATTGTCAATGTCGTTGTCCAGCAGCACATCACATATTCTGTTGGTGCAGTGCAAATAACACCAATGCTGCTCCATGCTCAATTCATCTCGTTCCTTCACCACATTCACCACCTTCGCCTTGCTGACCACCCTGGCCTTTCACGTCCGGTGGCATGCCTTCACCCAGCTTGTTCGACTGTTCCGTATTTTGCCCTGCCTGGAAATGGCGAGTAGTAAGAAAAAATGACCAAGTGTGGCAAACGCAAGTAAGCAACAGCAGGTTCCCGCAAGAAGTAAGTGTCGACGCTCACTCGAACATCTGCCGGACATTCAAATTCACTCGCTTACCTTTCATCCAGCCTCTCCAGTGCTCGAAGCGACCTTCCTCATCCTTTTCCGACCGGCATGGCCAGTCTTCCATCCAGTTTGGACAAGTACCTTCCAGCACTTTCGGGACGCCATGCCAGGCGTATCTGCTCTCGCCACTCATGAGCACCGCATCGCCGGATCGCAGTCGAATCGTGGCCACTCTCGGTGCTTCGTCTTGAGATTCGCCTTCGAGACCAGCTATGAATAGCGCATCGCAACCTAGAGATATACTGACCAGCGGTCGATTGCACTCCTCGCTGACATCTCGATGTAGACTCAAGGTGTCGCCAGGTGAGTAGAGGTTCACGATTGCGGCCTCTGCTTTCATGGGGAAGACATCTTCTATCAGCTGCTTGATATCCGACGGAAATGCTGGAGGCGGGCCAGATGGGTATACTTTCTTGGTCCAGTCGTATTGGCCTCCGAGGGTGGCCCAGCGGAGTTTCTTGTTGAGAAATTGCTCATTTGTGATCGACTTGTGGACGTCTGGGTTGAGCGGTTGAAAAGTGCATCCTGATGTAGAGCGGTCGAAGAAAGAGCTTGGTATTTCTCTCGTGGAAGGAGGGTACGGAACATGGTAATGCATATGCACGTTGGTCTGATGTTTGGGATTGCATAGATCCCTGTGTAGAAGTCTTTCAAGCAATTCAAACTGGACTTCGACCGGGAGTAATGACGGGTAGATATACAGACCTACCTACTTACTTAGACATTCATTTGGGAAAACGTTTTACTAGCTGCGTCGGCATCTTACCAGGAACATCGGGGACTTCGTACATCGCCATGGGCGAGTCTTCAATGTTCGAGTCACTGTTCATGAAGCGCATAAAAGCTTGACGCATCTCTGGAGGGAGATCAAGGCATCGTTTGAGCCAGAGATTGGTCTCGGCGTTACCGTCCTGGAATTGCACCAGATCTGGATCCTCATCAAGCAAGTTTGCACAGGCTTTGTGAAAGTGTTTGTAGACAGCGCGTATCTCATTCGGGGGCTTTGCGCGTGCATCCAGTATGTTGTCCATGGTCTCAAGGCCGATGTTAGAGAAGAGGAGGATTGAGGTGATGAAGGTGAGGTGCAATCAAAGCTGTAGAAATTTGCCAAGACATTTCTAGTGGCGGAAGTCGCGTCATCCTCGAACTTTGGACGCGTCGGCAGCGCTTCCTGGAGCCTTGACCGAGACATGCACCTCACCTTCTTGCAATATGAGAAGATGCCCGATCCTACAGTCTACAAAAGGACGTCCGCAGCGCCGAAGCAAGTCAAATTTCCAGCCCGACGACACAACACCCGCTCTGGGGCATCTCGAGCCGTCCCCCAGAAGCTCAAGAGACAATCCACCTTGACGCAATTGGACTTTGTCAGTACTCCGCACAGTGCAGATCAAGTCATTTCCGTCTCGAGCGACGAAGATGAGGAATACGCAGCGCCGAAGCCAAAGAAGCGGAGGAAAATGGGGAAAAAGTCTCGCGATCAATCCACTCTGACGCAGAATTGGCGGCGAGTAGTTAGAGACTCGGAAGAGGAAAGTGGTGGCGAATTGGGAGAGTGGGAGGAAGAAGCCAGCACCATGGAAAGTCCGCATGCGAGCAAAGCGCAAGACACACAAGGAGCTGCCTCGTACTTCTATGGCCGAGTGCTAGAAGTGTCCTCGGAGATGCAAGAGCCGGTGGAGGATGGGGATTCCGTGGCCAGTCCRGCTTTCATGCAGCACAGAATGCTCGTCGCGTCGTCCAATCCTGGCGACGGGAGCACGAGACCATCGACTGCAGAGTCCAGAGCCAATCCAAGAACGCCAAAGACGGCTCGCAGGACCGAAGTACCCTCGTCGCAAACTCCATCCAGCGCTATTCTGTCTGTTCGGCATTCTCGAACGAATCGAGAGTTTGGTGTCTCACCTCTGAAGGAACGTAGCTGTACTCCAACGCCTCTTAAGAAGTCGCCACGCAGTCAGACCAGTTCTCCCAGCAAACGAATACTCAAACACATGGAATCGGACATACATAAGATGTATGACCCTGCGTTTGATCATGAGCCGGCCGAGCCTTGGAAAGCTGAGACCATCTCCTCGCCGCGACAGAAGCATCCTCCTACTCCAGTTGAACGGCGACTAATGCGAACCACGACCGTGCAGGACTCGCAGGAAGACCTGGCGGTAGATGCGCCAACAGATCCCAAAGTTGAAAGGAGAAGTCTAAAGCGGACATCTACTGTTCTTGATTCAGAGGACGAACCAGATCTGGACGAGATGGACGTTGATAACGACAACGATAACGATGATGGTGAAGATGGGGATGAAGATAACACTGTGCTGCCCGTGGAGCCCGAAATAGCTACCAAGCTCGATCCCCATAAACCGAAGCATCCCGGGATGGACATGGACCGAGTAGAAACACAAATCCCTCAAGCCAGCCAGACACATGTAGAGGACCACCAGACTGATGAAGAGATGTACTTCGATGCAGAGGAAGGAGAGCACAGTCACGTATCCAACTATCCTGCGTCGCCACATCAGCAGACCTTTGACCCTGTCAACGCAGCGTTGGACCGAGATGCAGCTAGATTCGGGCATGGACCGACGCAGCTGGCAACTCAGCATCACTCTTATGCTGGATTCGGGGACCTCGAAGATCAAATAGACTTTCAAAGCTATGAGCATAGAGAAGAGGGCGACGACGCAGAGATGCATCCCGACAATCTAGCGGACGAATATGAAGAGCGCGTGGAAGACAGCCAGCCTGAGTTTGTGGCTGACAGCCCTGTGGCTGGAGTCGACCCCGAGACGCAGTTTGTTGCTGACAGCCCACCGGCTGAGTTGCAATACGATCCATCGCCAGAGCTCGGTATTYGGACACAAGCACCTGTGAATGCTAGAAATGGAGGGTCCGCGCGCGCTCCCGTTGAAGGAGACTACATGCAATCTATGGTGGCAGTTTCCGGTGCAGAGGACATTGAGCTACCAATGCCAACCTCGCCGAGGCTACCCAGACCTTCGCAGGTCAGCACAGTTGTATCGACCCAGCGGACAGCGAGTCGGCCGAGTTCCCGACATGGCAATACGCCAACGTCACCCCAGAAGTCTGCGGCGTGGGAAAACACGTTCTCCAGCTCTCCTTTTCCCATGCCTCCGGAGAGCTGGCGTGGAGCGCAGTCGTACAAAGATTTGGAAACACAGTCGAGTGGCATTCTGGATTTCAGTTTACCACCACCGCCACCATTGCTATCGTCTTCAAAGCAGACGCCTGCAAGCTCGTCGCGGTGAAGCGATGGCCACGGCAGCGCACATCGCACCTGTCGAATGAGATGTGACTGATTTACAGTATAGCGATGGTTACAACAGTCCATGAAAGCGTGCATCGCTAGCTAGTTGAGAACATCATCAGACACACGAGGCAACTACATTGCTTCGCATGACCCGAAGAATCACAGAATAGTTAAGTTAGTAGCCACTCAAAACGCTTTCGGTGCTGCGCTCAGAGGTACGTTCTCACCATTCCAATGTGGTCCGTGCATGTCCCGTTTCGGTGTTTTTTTCTCTTGCTATTGAACAAAGATCCATTGTTGTCGACCCAAATTCTGTCGGCAGACAGATCGCAAGATGGAGGTCTTTCAGTACTCTCCTTCCTTCTTTAACGACAATAAATCAATACGATGGAGCGACTCAGACGAGAATGGAGAAAYCTCATGCTTAAACTCTATGGACCACCTCCTGCCCCCATTGCAGACATCATCCCATTTGGTGATCCGCCTTCGACTACTCCCCAGGCTCCTCCCAAAGATCTCACCGTCGGCAAAGGTCGCAAATCACGCCGACGCCGAAAGTCTTCTCGCAGTATCATCAAGAAAAAAGTCAAACCACTCAAATTATGTCGCGAGATCAAAGACTACGCCATCCGGCTCGAAAAGCTCGTCGCCGGCTACGGCGCTCTGGAGCGTATAGAGCAAGAGAAGCTGGATGCCGGCTACCTGATCGCACAGCACCTAGCGAGTGCAAATAGTGACAGCGAAGATGCACCTCTGGATGATCTTCTCGACCAGCAAGCTTCTCTAGAACTCGCAATGACGGCGAAGTTGAATAAGCTTGTCTCCCACGCAAATTGCTTGATGGATTCCGTGGAAGCGCAAGCGGGTCGCGCTCCGTTACCGCCACCTTTGATCCTGCAATTACAGCGGTACGACGATGCACGAGAGGCGTATGTGGGATGGAGAGTAACCGAGGCGGAGGAGGAGGAGGAAGAGCAGGACTTGAAGAAAATTGAAGACACTTTTTCCCAAGTGAATAGCGCGAAGAAGCTCACGCCGAGGAAAGGGAGAGGATGGAAGCCTTCTCAAAGTAAGTTGTAAACATCCGAGGTCTTCAGGTTTGAACTGTGCTAATGATTTCGTCTAGCTTTGTTGAGAAGCATGGAAGACCGTGAGGCGGGGATTAGGAAGCGGAGACGGGTGATGGAAATTTGTAACATGACTATGACGAGTGAGCTGAGGAGGTTATGTGAGGAGGAAGCACCGGAGACGTTGCAACATCCTGTTTTTAGACCTGTTGATTCGAGGCTTGCGAATTTGAGGCGATAGGGTTCTAGGAAGGACTGATATAGGCAGAATTGTATAGATGGCTTTGGATCAAGGCACGCAGAGATCGTCAATTTTCGCGCAGCTAGCTACAGAGGAATACAACAAGTCAAAGTCACCATTTTGCTTTCCAGCCTATCTCGCGGTTGTCTAGTAAGGGAATCGACCACGGTAGCCGCACTTTGTGTCGCAAGCAGTGAGATCACGATCTCCGTCACTTTCGTCRCTCAGACCACCCACATATCCTCGGCTTTGGTACGGGCTGTACACAATGGCGTCGTCGTTATCGTTAGAGGCCGATTGGTACATTCTCGCTCTAAGCATTACTTCCGCAAGGCAATCGGCGAGAAAGATGGATCGCCGTTGCTTATTCGTTGCTGACTGGGCCGCGCCCGACGACGAGGGCTTCTCGGTGGCCTCATACCGGACGTGAGACTTCGAAAAGCGTCCGGATACCCCTTTCCGAAGGGGATGGATTCCATCCTGACCAAGTCGTTGGGCCCAGCGCCATGTGTCTCCCTTTGCCATTGTAGGTTGGACTTTGGGACTGCACGATCCGGTCGTTGGTCTCACTTGCAACTTTGATCCACCAAGCATCGCAAAGCTTCTCGCAGTACATGTCTCGTAGCTTCGGCATCAAAGCGACGTCTTGAGCGCAGTAGTCGAGTATTTCCTGCGACAAGGGACGCTGGTCAAACACTGCGTAACTACCGCCACGAGCAGGATCGAAGAGCTTTCGACCATTGTCTTTGACTTTCTGCCAGTCACTTTTCTCGGTGTAGGTGATGGTCGGGATAGCGTCGATGCACTTGGCTAAACCGTTGACGCAACGTTTGGATAAGTTGCGTGTGGCCAGCTCCATTAATTGCAGATCTTCGATCCCGGCAACGCGGATTCCAAACAAATTGTAGAGGGCGTCTGAGTCGTTGCGGATGTCGAAGAAGACTTTGATGATCTCCTGTGACTCGAGGACAGTCTTGAGAGTACGGCTGTTGGATCCACTTGTATTGAATGCTTGGTCCTTGAGGGTCGTTACATCGATGAGATACAACTTCTGCTGAGAATGAACCAGTATCGTCATTAAGGATAGCGTGCCATGGCGGGAGAGGTTGTTTCCTTCAAGGTCGACGTAGAGACTAGGAGGTTGACCCTGACAGTTGCCCAAGCCATCAAGGAAGGCGACAAGTGCGGCAGTAGTATCAATGAGTTCGGGACGCATGATTGAAACGATTAGCCAGCTAGAGTGCTTGACGTTGTTCTTCGATCTCAGAATGTCTCAATATATGTCTTGATCGTCGCTTTCGTCTAACGTATCAACGGGGACATCGTTCGGTTGGCAAGTTGATCCCTCGATTGAGCACTGTCGGATAAGCAGACTTCTTTCTACTGGTTCTTCAATAGCGCATTGAATCATACGACACCTGCTTCTTCTCTTTCAACGAATTGGATGTCTTCGGAGGAGCGTTCAAGCAAGTAGCTCGCTGCCTGAGCTGTAAAGTTGAGGCATACCATTCGCGCCAGCCAATGGGAGAGCTTCACAGCTTGAAGCTCGCGATGACGCTCTGCAGTAAGGGACTCCGTCTACTTCGCATTCACCTACATATGGTCGCCCAGTTTCCGCCGTCTGTTTCTCTTTCTCTTTCTCTTTTTTCTGTAGTCGCCCCTTGGAGGGCGAGTTCGTCCACTCATTGAGCGCACTGTTTTGTGTTTTGTCTGTGCCGGCTCAATTTCTTTCTGAACTGCGGCTCTCACGGAAAGCAGGTCCTCCTGGTTCCAGTCCTCATCTGAGAGGCTCCTATTTCAAGTCACACCACTTTGGTAAATACCGGACGTGAAGACCTTCTACATCACTATCAGCAGCAGGATAATCCGACCGTTGACCCTTCGTGGCTGTCCGGGAATCGTGGGCCTTTGCCATCCTGGAACCATCCAGAGCCAAGTACTACTCCTGCTGGACAGGGGAGCACAGTTCTCAGAGATAGTCAGCCACCCAATGCACAGAGTTCTGCGTTTTACAGGCCTCCAGGCCATACTCCACTCGTTACATCACAATCAGAAGAAGTCGGTCCAGCGCCTAACCCTACTCCTCGATACAACCCGCGACTTGATGCTAGGGACTGGCCTCGACAGTGCCAGCTCTGCACCAAAGTATTCGCAAAACCGTACCTCCTCAAGTAAGTTAGCCCAGGCTGTATTGCCAAATACTATGCTAATCGACTCGTAGCAAGCATCTCAAGCAACATACCCGTCCTTACAAATGTCAGCACGCGGACTGCAAGCAGAACTTCCAGTTCCAGGCGGATCTCGATCGTCACCGGCAGGCCGTCCACGAAAAGCAGGCGGACGGCGCATGCTATTGTCCGTTTGCTGGCTGCAAGTACTCCAAAGAAGGCGGGAAAAGTATGAGGGAAGACAATCTGAGGCGGCATGTGCGAACGCAGCATCGGTCATAGGCCTGAGTATCGTAGAAGTTTCAATTCCATGGCGTTTTCGACACATCAGGTCTTCTTTCATATTCCGTGCTGTCTTCCAGTCACCTCGAACATCTCTCAGGAGCTCATATTCTCTTGTAATGACCAATAATCGATGGCAAGTGGTGAGATGAGATCTTGTCGCGTATCGCGCAGCTTCACTGACGCGGTGGAGTTGACGTGATCAGGGAGCATACTCATGCATTCCTTGTTGCCACGTGGACCGGAAGCGCCTGAGCTGCGGCAATACAGATCACGCCGGTCGATCCTCTGCGTCGAAAGATGGGCAAAAAATGCTTGTTGATGTCAATCTTGCCCAAGGAGTAAAAGCCGGGACGCGGGATGAAGACCCACGTTCCCAATCGGGTTAGACTAGAATAGAATCGTTGCCWACTTGCATCATCGAACGCGACATCACTTCACTCGCCTTCGTCCTTCAAAAATGGACAGTCCGTGATCCCTTCACCAGCCTCAGCCTACCGGCTGACCATCATGGCGGCGAAAATGTTCCGCCTGGTGGCTCGGGGTCGTCCCGGTCACTTGCCCAGACGATGTAACATTCCTCTGCAGCAATCACGCACTTTCTTTGGACTGGGAGAAATCGCCGGAGTCTTGGCCAATCCGGCAGAGACAGTTCGACAGATCAAAGAGAGCAAAGAAATGCTTGAAAAGGCAAAGGAAGAGAACAAGTTGGAGCAAGAATCGAAGAGAATCCCGCGGAAGCACACCTTTAGCAAGCTGCCTGGATTTCATGGACGGGAGACTGAACAAGCCATGCTGAGGAAGGTCCTGGCTGGCAATCCACAACTCAATGTGATGTTTGGCGCTACGAGTGTAGGCAAAACTGCTCTTCTCCGGGAAGTGCTTGCCACTGATGATTACTTCGTCATCAAATTCGACTTGAGGATCTCCGGGTTCGCAGACCTACGGAGTTTATATTATGCACTATGCGAACAGTTCCAGACTGTTTTCGACGAGATGAACGACGATGAGATGGAAAAACTATCGATTGCTTTCAAACATCTAATGCTCAACATGGATGAGAAGCCTCTGGAGTACGCCGTTTCTGTTGCTGATATTGCCAATTTGATGGAGACTTTGCAGTCGTGCCTGTTGAGATATCTCAACTATGACCCGCAAGCCAGGGCGGACGAAGCCAAGAAGGCTGCCAATCAGGACGACAACCATGAAGGCGAGGCTCAACAGGACGGCGACCCACCGGCACGCAAGATTCCGCCACCAGAGAACAGTTCCAAGAAGTCCGGACAAACAGAACAAAGTAGAAAAGATACCACTGATGGAAAAGAACCAAGAATAATGAAGAAGCGCCCAGTTGTTGTAGTGTTTGACGAGGCACATAAGCTCCCGGCCTTGATCAACGACCAACTCAGCCTGAAGGTGCTCTTAGACACGTTCTTAGTGCTCACAAAGCAAGATAGGCTGTGCCATGTCATCTTGTCCACCAGTGATCCGTTCTTCCAGCACTTTCTACGCTCCATGAACGTCGGACATCACTCACATATCTTGACAGTCGGCGACTGTACCGAGGAAGAGACTTTCTCATACATTCGTGAGCAAGTTCTGCCCACTGTCCCCGATGAGATGAGAGGCCAGCTCAACGTGAAAGATGTGTACGAAGCGTTTGGAGGCAAACTCAGTCATATCAGCGACTATGTAAGCRTCTGGGTCAATACCGCCGGGGGGACCACACCCTGCCAAAGTGCCATATTCACCCAAGCTTACACACTCCTCCAATTCCACCTGACTCACGAGAGTTTTGATACTTACTCACCGCTTTCGACGGCCACGTCGTGGAGCGCTGACGATAAAACGCAATTCTCACGGAAAGATCTATTGCGGGTTATGCGGTATCTCGTGAAGCCACCTTATTCCCTGCCATACTTTCAGCTTTGCAAGGAGATTGGGACCGCACAAGTTGACGCGATGGTCAAGACGAGAGTTTTGGAGCTTCGATGGACGAAGACGATTTCCCCTGAACAGGGTTGGATTGAGAGGGTGTGGAGTAAGGATGGAGTCGAGCGTCCACTGCTGCTTCCGATGACGAGGATCATGAGGAGAGCAATGGAAGTTTGTCTGAAAGAAGAGGATGAGAGGAGGACTGTCGAAGATGGTGCTAAACAGGATGACGAGAGGCAAGCTCGAGGCAAAGATTGAGTATATTCATCGGTTGAACGAGATGTTTAGATACCATGGATCCCGCGGCAATGCCGATCATTTCCAAGCTGTTGAATGAATAGGATCTGAGCAACGACCGAAGAGCCCGCCGAATATTTCTGGTACATCTGGTGACCTCCGCACATGCAGCATCCGTCGGGAACGCTCTGTTCGATAGACATCTCATCGATAGGAGGCCGYTCGGGTTTCCGTATGATCAGACCTCTGTAGTAATGACCTCGTTAACCGACTTTCATGTCCATGGATCGGGTCTGACCGGGCTAGGTAGTTGGCCCATAACGCTCATGAAATCTTCTCTCTGCCTTGCGACCTCCCCCTCCAACGCTTCCCTATATTCATATTCTCTATCGATATAGACCCCTCTTCCTCCYGAGCATATCGTCGCTGCGGAACTATTGACACTACCCTTGGGCCTACGTGACCTTGGCTGACCGAAACTCCTTTCTTGTGCATGCTTTGTCACTCGGCCTCTGGCAACGGTTCTTGCCCATTTCCTAATGCTTCTCATGCCACGATCATCTGCACCCGGAGTTTCATCACTTGCACTCGTACCTCCACTTGCAATCGGACTCCCACTTGCTGCGAATTCTGTTGAGTCGAAGGGTAGATTGTCCATTCCATTTTTCTCGGCTTCTGCTCGCCACCACTCGTAGTTGAGGCGGCTCGTTCGAAGACGTTCTTCATTCTCCTGCTGCTTTGCCTCCAGCGAAAGTTCTTCCTCCTGGGCATAAAACTCTTCCCATTGTTGTTTCGTGGCCTTTGGACGGGTGAACATGAAATTCACATACATAAGCTGATATTCGGGAATAGTACGTGACGCCGCAACTTCCCAGGACGACAAGGAGTCGCGAGCTCTTTCGATCTCTGCCACGAACACTTCTCTTTCTGCTTCTTCTTGGGGAATTTGGACCGTGATGGGTCGCCCCTGATCGTGCACGGGACGGGTAGTGATGCTGGCATTGGAGCTCTCGCTATCGGAACCACTCGACGACCAACCCCGAGAAGGCAAGACCCCAGTTTCGAATAGAAGAGGTGCCACACGGTCGATCAGTAAGGCTTCTGTCCGTGACGACTCCGCTGCTCGTTGCCGTTCAATCTCTGTCTTCCTAACCTCGAACTCGGTCCTGCATCTTTTCTCATTCTCTAATGCCTCGGCTATAGATGGAGTCCTGGTACACGATCCTTTCCCCCGTGCTGCTCTACTAGCAGCTATGTAAGCATCGCGAGATGCGCGAAAATCTGCTCCCGGCGCTTCGAGATCTTTGAGTCGTGTCGAGCACATTGCATTCCGTCGGAGGAAGGACCAGAGCGTTCCATTGTTGTCGAATCCGACAATCTTGCCGTTCTCACAGTCATCAATCAAGCCATCTAAATCTCTATAGACCTGCGATAGCACACGATCTCGGTGCCGCAGCACTATCGGGACCTTGATCAATGCTGTTGTTAAACGTTCCTGACTCTCGTCCAGCAGTTGCCGAGCATCCTCTCGCTCCTGTGAATACTTGTGCTCACAAGGACCGATGAAGCCGAWGCTAGCAGCAAAGTCAAGCTAAAGGATTAGCAATTGTGTGGCAGTTGGTATGGAACCACTTACAAAGACAGTTAAAACGTCTATATGGCTTTGTGCCTCAGCAACGATGCGTCGCAGATCGATCACTGAGCTCTCAAGCTCTTGGTGTACAATATGTCGCTCTACAGCTTGGATGAGCGCTTCAAAAGTATCGCCGGGTAGTCCTAGTCTTCCTCTTGGCGTACTATGATCTTCGTCTGGTTCTGATTGTGTTGAATCGGATGAAATCTCGCTGACATCGATGCCGAACAATTGTTTCAGCCAGGTGGGAACCACAAACATGCTGTCCTCCACGGTCTTACAGAGTTGTCTGCGTTAGAACCCGATATTGGATAGTTAAAAGCGACTGAGAATCCAATGCCGCCGCAAACGGCAATCTAGACGGCCATCCTTTGTTCAAGCCGCCCTTTGTTCCCAAAAGCCCCTTTAATCGCTCTTCCTGGGCTCGTGGCTTCCGGAATGTAGCTCGGAAATGACGTGTAGACGTCCTCAGTCCAAGATAAGAGAGCCGTCAAGATCACCATGGATCTTTGAGCCTAAAAGAGTCACTGGTCAGCTTCCCATCTTCTGTTTGCCCGATTTCCTGCTGTTCGTTTCGTCCTTGAACCTGCTCTCCCGCTTCTCCGGCACAGCTGCAAGTCGCGAAGTAAAGTCAGTCTACGTAGAGTTGTAGAATGTTAAAAGGTTTCGCTTGCACGCGCAGCATTGAGCCGTTTACATGGACAGAGAGCTCAGCGATTGCTGTGCCTCATCCAAGGCCGGTTACGTGGTGTCATTTCGTACCCCAACCACCAAATGAGTGTAGCAGATTGACTTTAGAAGACCACTCGCTACGAGCAATGAAAACTCGCGAATTGAATTCACAAGATTCGTCAAAATGTGAGGATTTCCCAGGGCATGATCTTTGGATGAGAACTTAGCCGCAAGCTAGATGTCGACACTGCGTGAATCTCATGCGCRTGACCTCGTTCTGAAACTCCACTTAAGCTCTACCAGCGGCCAGAAGGCACGGAATTGTCTCAAAACTCCCTTCTTCGCCCATCTTGGGATCCCTCCAAAAACCTGGCAAACACTTCCCCGTGGACTGCGCAACCTAGCCTCACACTGCCCTTACCGACGCTTACGCTTCTTTCCTGCTTGCACTCCATTGTCCGGCCTGCTGTTGCGCGCTTGGCGCGCAGGGTACATTCCTGGGGTTTGGGAGCTAGTCAGGCTCTGCAACGATTCCTGTGTGGTTCTGAGACCCAGATGATTCATGTCGCTCGCAAAACCAGTGTCCGTAGATCTAGATGCCCTGTGCGGGCCGCGGGTGTGAGGTCTACCTCCACTCGGGCCATGATGCGCTTTTCCGTAAGGCCTGTCGTTGGTTGGTCTCACTTCCGCTGGACGCGAAGCACGATGAGAAGCAACTGCGTCAGGGACTGGAGGAGCAGACAGTGTCGCACGGTATTGAGGCAGAGAAGGCTCATGTGCGTTTTCCGCAATGATGGTCTGTTCATCCGATCGGGTGGGGATCAACGATCTTCCTTCGAGAGCCTGAATAGAATGATGTGGCTCGGCTGACAAGACTTTCGCTGACTTTATAGATGACTTCGTGGCATCGAGTACGGAGCCACGGTAGTGAGTCATGAATCTGCGTTCGATGCTCCTCATATCCTCTTCCGACATGTCACACTCGGCCTTCGCAAGCATAGCCGCGGTTCTTGAACGTCTCTCCTCGATACGTACGGTGTGTGCCACGTTCTGCATGATGTCCAGCGTTGCGCTGCTCCGTGGAAGCAGCTCTCCTGCCACTGGGATCATTGGATTGTGATAAGGGATGTTCTTGGGTATGATGCACAGGTAGGAGCGTTTTTGAGGACATCCGCCGACACCCTTAGCGAACAGCACATCATGGCGGTTTGGTTCGAGTTTTGATCCATGCTTGTTCAAATCTAGAACTTCGACCCAGTTCTTCTGCTCGTCTTCAGCCACGACCTCCGAGGGGCCAAGGCTGTTGAAAGTATGCATAGGTTGCACATCGTAAGAATCTGCATAACGAGCGCTGACCCTTCCATACAGGAGTTTATTGGTCCAGTTTCCGTTCGGGGTACTGTTCGAAGAATTGAGAAAAGGGTTTTCCGCCGCAGGACCTTTGCTTGGGTAGCAGTCCTCAAAGAGAACGAACTCGCTGTTCGCGACCACATCCCTATTCTCTTCGCTAGCAGCGCAAAGACCAATCACGTGGTTCCTCTGAACTTCATCCATATTGTGCTTGACTACTTTGCTCAAAGAATGTAATTTGTCCTGGATGGGACGAGCGAGACGCTTCAAGCGTGACGTTACCTCTGCTTTGCCATGCGGAGAAGTGAACAGGCTATCTGGCGATCCATTGGCTCCGAAGGCTGTTGCAAGGCGCCAACCAATCGCTTCCATATGCTGTGCAGTAGCTTCCATCGAGACTGGCGCTTTGCTGATGCCGTTTTTGTGTCGTTCAATGTACTGTGAGGGAGGGGCTTCTCCCTGTGTGGTTTCAAGTGCTCTGTGCTGAGCTACTGAGATGCCTCTGAGGGCCGTTTGATAGGCATGCTGTGCTATACGTGGATCCAATTCGGGATGGTAGTGAGCCTGGGGACGCTCTCTCTTTCGCTCTCCCAATTCTGGTGGAGACTGGTAAATCGGCCGGCTCCAGTGCGGGTGCTGCGCGTGCAAATGAGAACAACCGAAATCGACCACCTGTTGGCTCCTATACGGAGGCGCCGAGCCGAGATATGTTCGTACTTTTTGTGGAACCTGCTGTCCAGACGTTTCTGGATGGTGAGCATCACTCACGGCAATGCTACTAGCAGTGCTGGGTTGGGCGAGAGGCTCGTTCATTGGCAACGCAGCCGATTGTCGGCCGTCTTGAGACTCCATGACTCCGTAAACGGGCGCGCAGGTTTGCCGCTGGTGGTCGTGTCCGACGCACAATCCCGAGCGCGCGCAACAAGTGCGAGGCAGAGAGCTCGGTGTCTGCTGCTCGTAGGAGTCTGGAGAGGCCGGAAAATGCTCTGCCAACATGATATGGTTAGGAAACATAACATCTCTCGAGCTTCAATTTTGCGCGCACCATCTATCGATAGACGCCACCAATGCTACGCTAGTGGATAAGCGATGTTCCCTCAGCTCGTAGCGCAAGCCGTTGTGGTCGAGTGCGGCAATCCGCGCGGTGCTGAAGTTTGTTGTTCCGTCCGAATGTTGAACATCTTGGGATTCGGGTAGCAGGAAGTCGTAGTACAAGCTGGTTGTACAGTAAAGTCTAATCCCCGGAAACGCCAAGACAAATCGAAGTGAATGAACTCCCCTTAGCGGCCCCACACGCAACCTCTGAACATAGCCACGTCACAATGGGCAAACTTCGAGCATGGGTCTGAGATCTGACCGCTGCTCTCGCTCCCACTTGTACGAAGCGCTGTGCAGTGTGCAAAAGGTTTGCGATTGATGCGAGGCACACGCTTTGGGCGTAGCTACCCATGAGGTAGTTTGAAACTCGCATTCGCACCGGTTATGTCCCAAGTGACTCGCACAACACGTGAAGGCGGTTGTTTCAGTGCGGCACGATGGATCACAACAGACACTGCGAGGAAGTGTAGTTCCAAAGCCGTTCACATCTCCTCAAAACATTAGCCAAGGATAGCAACGTCAAAGCTGAAAGTGTGCAGGAGCTCACTCCTCTTTGGCTTTACATCGTTGAAGTCACGCATCCTTTGCCTTTGCCAATTTTCTGTGTTCCAACCCATAGCCTACCAACATCATCCCACACACTCCACCAAAGATATACCTCTGCTCCCCACCTCCTGCAAATTCCGGACTGCAATACAATCAGCCCTAGTTTCACCCTTTTAACAAAAATCAAACCTACTCTTGCCAGGCAGTTCCCGGATACAGAATTGCACTCAATCCTGCCGCACAATAGAAACTGCCAACCACCGCAGCATACAGCATATTTTCTTTCTGTCGTGCAACAGACACTGCAGGGCGGAAAAGAAAGAATAAAGAAGTGGAAGCCAGAAGTACTCCCAAAGTCATAGTCTGGCCGTTGTGGAACTTGGCATGCGGGGGCCAGCGAGGGTTCTTGACGTGGGTCTCGTTGTAGTCTGCTATGAAGGCGCCAATAGAGTAGACCAAGTTTCCCACAAGGATGAGGATGCGGCCGGGAGTGAAGGAATGKGTCATGGTGATATGGAAAGAGAAAAGATGATGAACTTGTAGGGATATGGGATGGTAAGGGACTGAGAGTTGGATGGGATGCGGAAGTGATGACGCTTGTTCCGAGGTGTCACAAAAGGATGAAATCCTGCAAAGAGGCTGTCATGGCAAACGCCGCGCTCCGTACCTGACATGTGAGAGAAGAATGGGCGTGGTATTCAGCAGCTCAGACGACCGAGCGGCTCTTATTTTCCTGGTTGATGTGCTCTTGTTGTCGCTATTGCTCTGAGATGACGTTGGAAGAGAGGGAGATCTTCTCGGTAAAACTTTCATCCTCCCCGACGATCTCCCGAGCGCGTTTCGCGACAACACCTCCACCAAAACACCATCATCAACCAGAATCTGCACCAAAATGACGACGCCCGAGTATAGAGCGCTGGAACAGCTCCGAACACGACTTCAACAGCTTTCTGCGTCAATCCATCTCTTCCGCCACGAACTGGAGGCATCGCAGCCGCTACCGCCGTGGTAAACTTGCCCAACGTCCTGACATGTTCAACACATAGCTCATACACTCTCTAGGCCTGCCTGTCAGACAGCCAGTAGCAACCTCGCCGGCACACTGCAAAATACTGCACAAGTTCTAGCCTCAAATCGCTCTCTTTTCAGCTCTGCTCATGCATACCCAAACGCCTCTTTCCCCGGCCTCACTCAAGAGGCATTACTACAGCAATTACTGCGGAAGAAAATGGATCCCAAAGCTGAGGATTGGATGGACCGAGAATTGGACAAGCAGCCGGACAATGTTGAGGATCGTGGGGAATTGTGGCAGTGGGCTGGTGGGGTTGTCAAGGAAATGCGCACGGACTTGGAGGGAGGTCTATGGGAAGATTACTTTACGACCGAGGAGCACAAATCAGGCGTCAAAGAGGTTCGAACGGGGATACGGCGGACGTTGTGGGGCGATAATGATGATGGTGACGAGGACGCCGAGGACGATGATGGAGAAGGCGGCGAGGACGAGGATGGTGACAAGACTATGAAAGAGGATGGCGCGGTGGGATCAGGACGGACGGTCGAATCCGCAGTGAAGAAAGCGATTGTACCGCCCATTCCGTTAGAGAGCCTGCTGCGATTCTCCGTRGGTGGCTTGTCACTCCCGACGAGAGCGAAAGGCCGAGATGTGGCAGGTTGACGCGCCTGTCGCTTGTTTTACCATCGAGATTTCTTCAATGAGGATGAGTATTCCACTTGTCGATCGATAATGGACTCTGCGGATCAGGAGGGCATCAGCGGCTCTTGCGAGAAGCACTGTCTCGGGACAACAGCTCGGTTCAGTCGAGGGATCCTCACATCGGCAACTCTGTGACGTTTCTCATCGCGAAACAAGATCACGTAGTGCCTCCTCATCTGGCTGCAAGTAAATCAAGATCTCGGCATTTCTAGGTCTCCACCTTCCAAGGACTTTCCCATCATGTAGTCAGCTCACGGCTCCAACCACAACGAACCTCGCGAGAAAGTCACTGCTAGGCGGATTCAGTTGGAGGTTGGAGTCCGCATGGCGGCACTTCCAATGAGGTAATCTCCAAGGTTCGTCTGTCACATGAAGATTGTCTCATGCCGCCTTTCACGGGCTGCTGCCTAGTTGCTTCTTATTGTGGAAATTTCTTCCTATTGTGCAAATTTCTCATCTGCTGCGTGATTATCGCCCTCACTTACCTTAAGTCTCCATCCTTCTTCTCACAAGCCACTCACCACACACCACACACCTGCACAACTTTCTTCTCTAACAGGTCAACTAACCATACCAGATCACAGGCAACCAGCTCTGATTCGAGATCAGAACCTCATCGGTGAATGGTTCCAATCCATCGCGATATGACCACCGCCGCAATGACTGGAATGTCGCGCGATACGGCGGCTCATTCTGGAAATCAGCACTCAACCCCAATCAATCAGATCTTTCCCTACCTCATCGCCAATGGAGAAGATCAAGTCGCCGAATTGATCCGCCTCTACTGTGAGATCTGGCGGCACTCTTCTCTCGAGAACTTCTCCTGCGAGCTGAAGCTTCATGCTCACACTTCCACCGTCTCGATCCGCTCCTCCACTAACAATCTCCTCGGCTGGGGGCGATACTACTTCGACATCGGCTGGGAGGAATGCTACTTCGACATGGCCAGCCCAGAGCGGAAATATCCCGAGTACCTCCAGGTTCGCCTGACTCCTCCGCCACACCCCAACTCCCGCCCTGGAGTACAAGTCGCATACAGCGGCCACTGGCTCTCCATCCCCGGCTTCCTCGAACACTACCCTCGGGCCTGTGCTCGCCGCGCCTGGACTCTACGTCAGACGCCTACCTCCCTCTACAGCAGTCAGTTTACGTGGTGGCAGGCCCTCTCTAACCTTCCGACATTCAATCCTCAGCGCAAAGTCGTCCGGCTCATGAGACTGCCTGCTGAGATTCGAGAAAATATCTACAGATTCGTGTTCCCGGCTCCATTCCGTCCATTCCCAGGAGCGAAGTGTCGACGTCTCGGCGGAATTAGCCGGATAGCTTTCATGGCAGCACAGCCAAATGCCTCTTTACTGAAGCTCAATCACAAGGTTCACCAGGAGGTCACTCGGGTGCTGTTCCGCGACACGATCTGGGATATTCCCCATTTGAAATTGCTGCGTCGGATATTGGTTTCCGAGGCACTCTGCGCGCGAGTCCAGAGACTACATTTGGCGCTCAGCCATGGTGAGTATCTGAGAATCTTCGCCGTGAAGAGCGAGTTCAACATTGCGAGCCTCAGACCGTTGAGAACCATGAGATTGAGGGAGCTGCTTCTGGAGTTTCAGGCTCCGTCGARTTGGACGACTTTCGAGGGCGGCATCATGCGGAAGGTAGTGGGATGTCAGAAAGTCATGGTGGATTGGCTCTTCGAGGCGATGGAGTTTTGGGTCGTCGGGCATGAAGGGGTCAGGATTGTGGGATGGGTGAAAGACGGCCAGAAGAAGCTCATTGAGGAGGTGTGCAAGAAGGGGCTGAAGGAGTTTAGGAAGTGGAAGGAGATTTCTGGGAAGGAGGATGCAGAATTGGGAGAGTGGGRTGAGTGGAGAGAGGGTATGTGGATGGAGGAGGACGGCGGAGTGAAGCTCATTGAGAACGTCGAGAATGGTGATACCAACAAGAACGTGGCGGAGAGTTGTGGCGAGGAGGCTATGGAGGAGCGGACACTGGTGGATCACGAAGGTCCCGACCCACCAGAGTGCTTCTGCAAAGGCAGTTGTGAGGCAGAGGGATGGAGTGCGGCAAGTGCGTGGAGTGCGGCATGATGGAGGAGAAACTGTCTTGGGCTGATTGGGGAATGACGGGCATCTTGGGCATCGCGTCTTGAGCTTTCGTTGAAGTGCTGGACACGGCCAAAAAGCAGGCGAGAGATGCAAAAAGAGAGACGTGTATCAGACTCACGATGGTCTCTTCCGATCCAGTCGATTCAGCTTATCTGAAGAAAAGCTCTTCGAGTTGTTATGATATGAAGCCTTGAGATGATCGAGGCATACCCATTAAGGAAATTGAGATGCTAGGAGACACCTATATGCCCGTACTTTTACTACGGCTTCCTTCATGGCTTACTCGAGAATCATTGTCGTGTCTCCTGCTGTCAGCCAGCTGCGTGCATTCTTCGCTCATGTCGCTGGCCGATTGTTGATGATATAGCGTCCCTTCGCATCGAGAGTTGTTCAGACCCGCCGAGTCCTCTCGAGCATCCTAAGGTAGCGTATCAATTCTCGCCAAAGTACAGCGAAAGCTGACCTTTGGGCATCAAGAACAACTCTTGCGACGGGAGGATACGCTCGCTGTAAAGCCTTCATTCGGTCCTGCTGAGTAAGAGCGGAACGGCAATGAGTGAAGGATCCGATCGACATCAGGAAGCATGCAGCACTTCTGGGGGATGCGTAAGAACAATGTTGACACCCGCACAGTGTTCATTGTTGAACGCACGCAATCCTCACGGCAAACCGTCAAATTCGGCAGAGCCATGTCGCTTGAAYCCCGTCCACATTCCAAAGCGAGACAAGTGCGGGTGCGAAGCACACAGAGGGTACCTAGGAATTGTCTCCAGAGCTTCGCCAGGTCAGGCGGAGGCGGTGATCAAATGCGAAGACCAGAGCGCACATTGACAATGCCCTGTGCAAGATGAGAGGAACGTGCAGGCCGCAACATGACAAATAATGAGGGATTGACAGGCAATGCAGATTAATGTCATGGAATCATTTGGAGAGCTGGGCAAGATTTCCTGCAAGCCCCTGCTTTGTTCAAACAAGCTCTTTCTCTGCAATTGCACGCTCCTCTTTGCGGCAAGAACAGACGTCCGACTTCCTCTCTTCCACCTTCACCTCCAACACTCTTCTCTCTTCTTCCTCCACACTTCCGCCCTCAACACATCATCTCCGCCGCCCGATGCTCACTCCCATCTAGCCGCCTTCCACCCCCGACCGACAGCTCGCTCCGCTCCCGTCGCCGACTTGTGCGTGTTTACCCCACTTTCCCGCCAGTTCGCGGTTGAAATTCAGCTATCAACACCGATATACACAATATCGTTGCGTCCTCCTTTGCTAATTGACGTGGCATTTTGCAGTCACACAACACCGCACCATCCCTCCCCTCACCAGCAAACACCTCACTTCCTTCCGCCGCCGCCAACATGTCCGCTGAAGCCACCTCACCAATCGTCGACTCTGGCATTGACAACTTGGCCGACAAGATGGGCTCTCTTAACGCCGAGGACCGCCCACGGACCGAAGAGGAATACGCGCAGGCTCAGCTCACTCTCCGTGCCATTGTCACCTCCAAGGAAGCTGGCGTCATCATTGGCAAGGCTGGCCAGAATGTCGCGGATCTGCGCGACAAGACTGGTGTTCGCGCCGGCGTCAGCAAGGTCGTACCTGGCGTGCACGATCGCGTGCTCACCGYCACGGGCGCGTTGAACGGCATTGCCGACGCGTACGGACTCGTGGCCGACAGCCTGGTCAAAGGTGCACCACAGATGGGCATGGGCGGAGTCGTTGGCAATCCCAACACTCACCGTGAGCTATTCCCTTTCATGCTTGACACAAATCACACCCACTAATCCTCAACTCTACAGCGATCCGCCTGTTGATTTCTCACAACCAGATGGGCACCATCATTGGCCGCCAAGGACTCAAGATCAAGCAGATCCAGGACGCCTCTGGAGTGCGCATGGTTRCACAGAAAGAGATGCTTCCGCAATCCACCGAGCGCATTGTTGAGGTCCAGGGTACCCCCGAGGGCATTCAAAAGGCTGCCTGGGAGATTGGCAAGTGCCTCATCGATGATGAGCAGCGCGGATACGGGACCGTCCTGTACAGCCCTGTGGTCCGCGTTCAGACCGGGGCTCCTCCTCCCATCAACGGCGCTGGTGCTCCTGCCGGCTTCGGTGGTGTTCCACAGCAGAGAAGCTTTAACCGCACCGGCAACGGAGCTGATTTCACTGGCGCAGCACCCGCCCCATCCTACCAACCTCGTCGCAACGGAGCTCCCGACAGTGGACCTCCTCCTGCCGTCGAGGAAGGCGAAGACATACAGACACAGAACATTAGCATTCCTGCTGACATGGTCGGCTGTATCATCGGACGTGGTGGCAGCAAGATCAGCGAGATCCGCAAGAGCTCCGGCGCGCGCATCTCCATCGCCAAGGCTCCCCACGACGAGACTGGCGAGCGCATGTTCACCATCACGGGTGGCCCCAGCGCCAACGAAAAGGCGCTCTACTTGCTCTACGAGAATCTCGAAGCAGAGAAGATGCGTCGCAGCCAGATCCCGGAGACGACCCAGGCATAGGGCGCCAGTCTTTGTGGGGATCCACCACTTCACCAAGCCATGGTGCCATCGCTTGTTGGCCATTGAGTTGCTTAGCTGTCCATTTGCTGCTGAGCAAGCGAACGACTGTCTGTTCTGGAGTTCTGGAAGCGACTTGTTCTCATTACCTTCACCAAAGAGTGCGCTTTCATCATGTTTTAATGACCATCATGACCCTTATGCTTCGACGGCTGCCTGCATCATCCAACTCGAACGCTTAATGACGTCTTCTTTGCGGTGGCATATCTCCTTCGCCACCACCATCATCACCGCCTTTCCCTGCCGACGCCATCCACCGAACACATTTACGAACGAAAAGAAGATACCCGCTAATGCTCATGTCCGTGCTCATCCCCAAGGGGAGTGAGTGGGAGACGGAGGAGTTTTGAGGCTTTGATACGAAATGAAATGGGGTTGCGATTATTCTGCATTGCGAATTGATCCCGATAACCCGATGTATGTCATACTCTTTACATGTTTCTACCACAATGAGTGGTAGGGGTATTGGTCAAGTGGAGTAGGAGGAAATGCATGGTAGGAATTGATCAGTTTGAGTCATTTCCCCGTCTCTGGCCCGCTTGTGTGATGTGATGTGAGGTTGTGTTGGCGAGTGAATCAACTGTGTTTAAGGAGTCGTTTCCAAGGTGTTATTGACCTGATATGATATCGTCACCGTTCAAACCGTGTTCCAAGCGTACGCATATTGATTCATGCGCCGCGATGACCCAGACTCCAACAAGATACACCATTCCATTCCCAAGCCTGATCCGAAAGCATCATCCTAAACGCCTTGTCCGTCCAAACACCACTTGACCTCACTGTCGTTCCCTATCCCATTGGAGTTCGGGTTCAATTGACACTGCAAATCAAACCTTCCTCCAAGATATACTTTCCCTCCTTATATTTCTCCGTACTCTCATACGCGCGATCGTATTTCCAACCCACGACTTCCTTACATTGCCGGCAACAGATGTCGCGGACGACGTGCCGACCTGTCGTCATATTGCGTTCTGTAGGGTCCGAGGCGAGGGTGTTGACTACTGTGCTGAAGAGGTAGGCTTTGCCGTGTTGGCCGCGGAAGTTCTGTGAGGAGCATGGGGGTGTCAGTAAGGGCGAAAGCGAAGGCGAAAGGAAGGGGTTGGGGAGAGCGTACGCGGCTGACAATCTCATCGTGGTCTGCTAGATGAGTTTTGCAGTTTTTGCAGCCGTAGATTTTGGGCACATCGAGGTAGATGTTGTAGGCGAGACCCATTGTGAGCTGTGCGTTGGCCGGGTGGTTCTATGCTGGAAGCTCTCGTTGGTACGTGGTCTGAGGTTGTTTCTCTGGATATTCGTTCCAGGGTTGTTTCTGCTTTGGTCTTTGGTTGGTCTTCAGCTATGTCGTTCAGCTCTCGGCACGATGGGAAGGCGGGWAGAGGTCACGAGGCACAAGAGTCAGGTAAGCTCGGGGGAAAGATAAGGTGAGAACGTGAGGAGGATTAAGCTTCGTGGGGAACAGAGTTATAAAGAAAATGGAGCGTGAACGATGAGGTGAGGTCCGTCTTTGAGTTGCACTGGTACGCGATGTCACGATACCAGCAATGAAACTGCAGACGGCATCATTGACGTGTGAAGACGACATCGGGCGACGCGGACGAGAAGCGCGGTGAGCGAGAGCGGGGATCTTTACGGAGCTGAGTCCGGTAGGTGGGGCCGTGATGTGTATGTAAGCGGAGATTTCCTCGTTCCTCCTTTGCGAAGGCAATTTCAGGTATCAACAATGGAAGTGTGCATGAGGACGCCGCGTGTCATATGTACTCACCTCAGGCCTGTCATCAAACGAACGTCCTTTCACCATTTCCTTTCCTCCGCCTTCTCTTTTGTCATCCTTCATTCAATACCCCAACATCAAGAAGACCACCAGATCACAATCCCATTTTCATCTCTTTGCAAGCTATTCTCTCCGAACTGCTGACCATGCCCGATTCCACAGCACTGGCTCTCCCACTCCGCTCAAAGTACATCTCATCCACCTCAAACCTCCCATATACATCACTTTCATCTCTAAAGTTGATCTCTCTAATTTTCTCGTTCGTGCTCATCCGAACACAAAGTTCGCCCAAGCTCGACGAATACACGCTTCGGGCTTTCTGGGATCGAACTGCTACATCTTTCGTTTTCTTACCATGGCAAATTCCTCCACGACAGCACGAATATTGGACAGCTGGCACAATACGCAGGCTGTGGATCATACGAACAAAGTGACATGGTGGACCAGAATGCCCAGCTGAATGTCGCAGTCAGTTGGCAGAGACTACAGGCTCGATTGCGTGCTGCCCGGTAACTAGTCGAGTTGAACTCTGGTCGCAAGGACTCTAATGAGAGTACAGAAAGTGTCGGTGGGACGAGGGCTACCCGCCAAGTGAGACACGGAGAATGTATATTCCAGCCAGTGAGAGGCCAGAGGATGCATCGGGAAGTCTTCTCAAGGCGAGACGTCTTTCGCGCATTCGCACGCATGAATTCGTGCGGAAGCCAGTACTAACATGAAGCAGCCGAAGTACGTTTCTGGCGCCTGGGATGTGGCGTCAGATCGTCGCACCTCGATGAGTTGGGCAGTAAGGTTGATGTCTACATCTGGGATAATGGGACTGTACTTTCCTTAGTATTGGTACCAGAACGGTGTACTGAGGCAGTCGGCTAGTTCAGCCGCCTATGTAGCCTCTTCGCCTTTCGAAAACCGAGCTTTCCAAGCCAGCGGGAGATATGCTGGTAGCCACAGAAATACAAATCACGCAAAACAGAGAGTGTCCGCGACCCTACGACGACATTTCTGCACTCTGAGCCTTACTGAAGTGTCTCGTCGTTCCTGTGTGAAAGAGGATGCGTGTAGAAAACAGGCAGTATACAAGGCAGCGGTCGCAAGACTGAAGGAACAACTTTAATCCGAGCGCTTGCAGCAGGTGCTGTGCTCGTCCGAAGATGACACTAGCGTTTCATGAYACTAAAGTACTTAGAAGTCATCCCGAGCGTCCTTGATCATTCCTATCACTATTTCTCACTTTTCGCAATCATCTGGATACGACGCACGCTCTTCCGGAGCTGTTGTCACAATCTCCTGTCCTTTCAGTAGAGTGCGAAAGAAGAGACGATGTATCTGCCAGGTGGGGCCTTCGAGCGATATTTACATTATTTCCAGCTTTTCGGGTTTCCCGGAGACTACGGCTGACTTTGTGTATAGTTAGTTCTATTGCACTTGTGGCGCTAGAGTTCCACAAGAGACCAGCCCGTCATGTTGGATGTGCAGAAGGAGATCTTTGCATGAAGTTGAGACTCGCGGGAGGATGATTCTTTGACTCGTGGCAAGAAGTGCCTGATGTTCGACGATGTATGCTCCTCCAGTATGTTTTCACTGTCTTTGCTAACCTGTTGGCCAGGATCCATGGTATCCTTTTTTTTTGTAGGCGACCGCAGCACAGATCGTTGTAATAAGCCGTATCCGAAGCTACTTGCAACGGAACGGGATGGAAGACGAAGACCAAAACTCGTCAGAGCCGGGCATGATCGAGTGCGAGAGGGCGTCCCGCTCTGGTAACCATACTTGATCCTTCGTTCGTGATTGGTGGAACTTTACGAGATACGATAGACCCACTCCTGCGATCCTTCATTGCGACCCTCCATTGCGTGCTGCGCGACTACATATATTGTAGCATCTCGCCCCTTTGTTCAGTACTCGCTATATACATACTGCTGAGCTTTGGTCCACTTTGAGTCTCTGCGGAGATTTCCCTCGAATCTCGATCCTGATCTTCGGTCTGCTAGCATGGCACAACATTCAGAGCTTCAATACGACATAATCATCGTTGGTGGTGGAACTTCGGGATGTGTATTAGCGAATCGTCTGTCAGAGGACCCAACTGTCTTAATACTCTTGTTGGAGGCTGGCAGAGAACACAGTGACGATCCACGTATCTATACCCCTGGACTAACAGGCAGCGTCTTCGACGACCCCGAATTTGACTGGCAGTATGTCGCAGAGCCAGCTCCTGCAATGAATGGTAGAAGCATCAAGCATCCCCGTGGACGGGTCATAGGTGGAACTAGTGCTATCAACTCATTCGCATTAATCTACCCTTCAGCCGCTGGAATTGATGCTTGGGCAGGTCTCGGGAACAATGGGTGGGACTGGAGTACACTTGGTCCGTATTTTCTCAAGTTTCAGACCATCGTACCGCCACAGAAGGAGGTCAAAGAACAGGTGCACATCGTCCATAGCGATGAAAACATTGCCAAGTCTAGAGGGCCGATCCAGGCCTCTTTCCCGCTGCGAGTAAATAAGTTGCAGAAGGCATGGGTTGATACATTCCGAACTTTGGACCTGGAGGCAACCTGCGATCCAATTGATGGACATGCTGTTGGTGGGCACACGTCGACTTGCCATATCACTGGTGATAGGCATGAGCGAAGCCATGCGGGAGTTGCATATCTGGATCCTGTTCGTGAGCRGTCGAACTTAACTGTCATCACCAATGCGATGGTCAACAAATTATTATTCGACAAAACCAGTACAGGTCCAAGAGTTCGTGGTGTTCTATACTCCAAAGATGGCGCTCTCCATGAAGTTATGGCCAGGAAAGAAGTTGTTCTTGCAGCCGGCACATTCAACACACCACAGATCTTGGAGCTGTCTGGTATTGGTGATCCTAAGCTGCTTAAGCAACATGGCATCAACCTCGTCCACGCCAACTCGGCAGTTGGAGAGAACCTCCAGGATCATATCCGGCCGGGAGTTTCGTTCGAGCTCGTCGATGGCTTTCCTCCGCCGCTGACGGCAACGCCCGTTGAAGAGGCCCGCAGACTTTATGAGGAAGAACGGTCGGGACCATGGGCAGAACAAGCCGCGTTTGCCTTTTCTTACACACCGCTTGTGCCCTTCCTTGACCCGGAGGGAAACACAGAATTGCAGCATTTGCTGAATGACCACCTGCAAGACGATTCAGGTGTGTCGCCATTCATTCGCGATCGCAACGCTTTCATCCGCAAGGTCATCGAGTCTCCCGACGAAGCAAGCACTGTGACCTTTCTCAGCCGGAAGCGAGTCTATGAGGCGGATCAGGGAAACTTTCTTACGCTATTCTCCATGCTTTCCCATCCCCTTTCGGCTGGAAATGCCCGCATTGTCTCTGCAGACCCCATAACGAAGCCCAAGATCGATTTTGACTACTATGGACACCCGCTTGATCTTGAAATCCACGCTCGGCATATTCAAGCCCTCGACAAGATTGCAAGAACAGAGCCACTAGCTTCGTGTCTCAAACCTGGCGGAAGGAGACTACCCGAGGAGTTCCCCTTGGAAACCATCGAGAGCGCTAAAGGACTGGCTCGAGCTCACGCTGTGACGAACTATCACCCCTGTGGTACATGCTCTCTCGGTACTGTCGTGGACAGTCGACTGAATGTCAAAGGCGTTCTTGGTCTGAGGGTTGTCGATGCGAGTATCATGCCGATTATACCCAGAGGGAACATCATAGCCACAATCTATGCTGTTGCCGAACGCGCTGCTGATATCATAAGCGAGGACTTGAGTATTCGTAGATCGACATAGGGTATTGGCTTAGTGCTCGAATCTTATATGTGGTGGTTAGAGTTGTTGAGGTAAGAAGTCAGGGCACTGCCCTCCTCGAAGAGAAGCAAGGAATACAGCGGCCGCTTGGTCTTTTCAACCCGGTGGAGTAGAACGCTACTAGGTATTTTGACCTCTTGTCGCAACACTTGATCGGCTGTAGAGAAGGAATCGAACTTCGTGAGCTAGCTGGAGATGAGCTGGCGAGCGGTAATGGCGGGCTGATAAAGACATTGTTGATTCTCCTTTGCCCTCGGCTCAGATGGTGACCGTCCACCTCATTGTATGATGGTGGTTCTTGTTCTAGCCAGAAGCCTTGAGACTATCTTCAACGGGTSAATGGAAGAGTAACCGGGTCACCACGAAGACGAAGTGAGAAACGGGATCCGGCGAGTTGAATGTGCTTCCAAACGGACCACATGTATTCAAGCGTCATCGAGGCCAATGTCTCTGATCGAGAAAGGCAGACGGCAGGTTAAAACCCCCTTCATTCTCCCTTAGTTGAGCCAGGACTCGATGCGCGCCCCTGCATCCCAAGATTGATCGTACGGACCGGAAGTGCTACGCATCGAATCTGGAGGCGATCGGAGACAATGAATGAACCATCAACTGTGCCACAGGCACAAGACATCTGGTCCTTGAAAGCCCATACGGTGCTCGATGCATCGTTTAGTTAATATCCTTGCCGGTCAGCGCACTCTCAGTGTCTGCCGTCGCGGAACGACCGATACCATTATCCCCGTCTCCTGGTAGAAGGCGACTTGCCCTTTTCAACACCGCTAGACTTGGCCTTTCCTGCTCCACCCGCGTTCTGCTCAACCGCCTTGTTTCCACTCTTCTTGGCCTTCTTAGCCTTCTTGGACTTGCCACTTGAGCTGTTCCAGTACCAGACCATCTGTACAGCTAGCACAAGATTGAGCGCGAATCCGACCAGGTATCCGTACAGAATCAGTTTGTCATCCACCTCCTGCAATGTCGTGAAGATCCTCGCCAGTGAGCCCGCCAGGAAGTTGAAGACCTAGGTAGCATAGTCAGTATATAGCTCGAGTCCCGCATGGACAGAACTCACAGCAAAAGCGCTCAATTGTCCCGTACTGCCCTGGCTGTAGATTGTTGCGATCTGAGGTAGCTTGCTCGCAACACCCAATACGCCCGCGGCGCCCTGAGCGAGCTTCAATTTATTCATATCCACCAATCCTTCGTTGAACAAACTCCAACCCATAGCCGCTAATCCCGCGACGAATGCGATGCCTGCTGCGCCCTTGCCCGAGTACTTCAATACCAGCACCGCGATGGCCACATTTTGCACAGCAATCAATGCCGTCTCGCCGTATGTTGAGAATGGCCATCCATTGCGAATGTTGTAGATCAGTGTCACGAGGTAGCTGGCTGTTTCAAGCGCGTATGATAGGAAGGAAATTCCCGCCGAGGATTGAGAGTTGAGGAGTTTGAGGAGCTGGGGGATTTTGACGATGGACGAGGCGCCGATGATGCCTACTCCGAGGGTTTTGGACACGGCGAGTTTGAGGCATGCCGTGTCGGAGAGGGAAATGTTTTCCACGAGTGAGGTGTAGCACACGGGTCCTAGGAGCTGGGTTGCCAGGTGCGGGAGTGGAGCGGGCAGGTTCTGGGTTATGGGCGTGAGGAGCGGACGGAGGGTGCTTTCGAGGGCGTCCATGTTGCAATATTATGTTGTTTGGTATAAAGATACTTTGATTAATGTACTGGTAGCGAAGTACAGTCGAGACGTCAAGAAGGGGTTGTACGATGCCTTCAGCTCCTACAAAGTTGAAAGCTGGCGTCTTGGCAACGCCCATGTTCATGGTTCCGCATGTGATTGTGAGATTCATGAGATAGAGATGCTTGAATGCGAGGTCTGTCATAAAGCTCTCTCAATTCCCTCATTCCGTAGCACATGATCTCAATATGGCTGCATTGCTAAGACGCAGTGACGCCTGTCTTCATTGCCATGCAGTGTGACCTCCAACCACTCCGTCTAAAGCTCATCATTTGGCTCCGGTGCGCCCTTGCCATTGATCTTGACCAGCTCAGTCTCGAAGATGAGCACCGCGTTCGCTGGGATTGGGCCAACGCCCCTTGCTCCGTAACCATACTCAGGCTGGATTGTCAACGTTCTCTTGTCGCCAATGCACATGCCAGTCAGACCCTCATCCCAGCCTTTGATCACCTGTCCAGTTCCGAGTGCGAAGGAGAGAGGAGTGCCACGGTTGTACTGTTTTGAAGAGTCAGAAGCAGATCCTCCATGGCGAGGTAATATAGTTGCGACGTACAGAAGCATCAAACTCGGCACCAGTTTCCTCCAATGTGCCGCGGTAGTGCATGTCAATCTTGTCGCCTGCAAAGGATTATCAGCACTTTCAGTCGCAGTGTGTACACGAGTGGCCCTTCTAACCTTTCTTCGTCTTCTGATCCTCGGAGCATGACGATGAGTGGGTTACGTCAATGTTGAGAGGCTTGTCCAGGGCCGAAACACCGATGGTGAGCAAGAGGCCAAGGGCCGTAGTGATAGCTGCAGACTTCATGATGATTGCTGTCTTCCTGTGGTTTGCCTTGTTGTTATTCGGATCACAAACGTGGCTTTTGGAGTTTCGTCACCGCCCAAAGAGCTGCAGGCTTGGACCCTGATTTCCGAGTTTGATCTAAACCTAATGTAGGTAATCCTATCTGAGCGCCGGCTGCCGGCTGCCGGAGTTGGGTCCTGGACCACATGTCGAAGTTGTCGAGTCGAAATGTCAGTGCGTGCTGTGCAACAACGGCGCTATGAATCTGGGCGGTCATATTGACTTTGGTACGTATTTTTCACATCTCTCGAAGATGATACCCGTGAACAAGACCCAGCCAACGGGGACTCCCAACGATACCGACAGCGAGCGTGCCATCTCCAAATTTCTCAATCTTGAAGAACAGCATTGAGCTTCAGACACTGCAACGGAGGAGAAGGTATCGGTGATTCGAGGAATTGCTGTCGCGATGATCTTGAGATTTCAATGGATACTTAGTAGTGTTGTTTCGGAAAGCCCAAAGCATGACGATACTGACTGTGTTATCGAGGGCCACGCAAAAGTAGGTTAGGCATAATGCAATTGTGGTGAGATAGAGCTTGATGCCTCGAGGATATTGTAGATTTTCCGCATCTTGATCGACTAGATTCTCTTCTGAGACGGCGCGAGAGTCCTAGGGCATCTTGCGTACCAGTCGCCTGGCTACCCTATGCGTAGGAGTAGTTGTCAACTCGACATGATTGTTGATTGTTGAATAGTCAACAATAATACAAGGTTTTTACCGATTGGCTGAACCACTGAGTGATCGCTCCATCAACTGTCTTCAAAAGTCTGGGTTGTACTTCTCCAACGCCTTCTTTCCGTCTTCCACCTTCTCCCATTCCGATCTCAACATCCGTTGATTCAAACGCTCCCAAACATGTAGCGTGTTCGTGCATTCACATAACGCAAACACACTACATCAATCACCCGAGCTGTATCGCCGGTATGGCAACATCCAAGGAGTCCCGAGCTGAAAAGGGCGACGTACGGAGCGCGCGTCCCTTCGAATCGCGTGTCCAACCTGACACTCCCAGGCCCGAGTTGGAGGGGACTGCGGGTACTAACGTGTCACCAGGAGATGCCATATCACCAGGCGATGCCATGAAGAGCCAGAACGAACGTGGCGGACGCCAGAAGCGTCTTCGTGACGACGAGGAATCGGATCACACAGACTTCCGCCAAAAGAAGCAGAAGGCCAAGCTGCCTAAAGGCTTGCGCAACATCGCGAGCGCTTGTTTCTCCAACGCATGCCTGCAACTTGTCAATGCAGTCTTCACGCCAGCTCAGGTCGCACAGCTTGCAGGCGACAGTGAGATTGAAAACTTTGGACTCGACGTACACGCTCTGAGAGGACTCGAAGGCAAAAATCTTGACAGGACGCTTGATGCTCTAAAAGGAGCGATCAAGAAGTCGTCTCCTGTGAGAATTGCGCCTTACGTAGGCAAGCTTCTCGAGGACCTGCGCAGCGACGAAGGTAGTACAGCGGATCCTGTGCTACTCCAGCGGGCGTTCGCATTCGGAAAGACATGCTACACGCATGAACATGAATTGTTTAGCGGTGACAGCCAAGAGGATGCGAGCGAGTACTTGCGACTGCTCATTTCGTCAGTAGGCGAAGAGCAAGGCTTCGTGGATGAAGCTTTCCGGTACCACACGGCGGAAGCGACTGTCTGCATGGCGCCGAGCTGCGAGTACCGCAACGAGCACTCCACCAACAGCAGCACCATCTTGGAGGCTCAAATTCCTCCTGCGTCGACGGCTTCTCTCGAAAGACATGCGCCAAGACAGCGGAGTCGTACTTCCCCAGTCGCCACTCTTGATTCAGTGTTAGAAGCTCATTTTGATAACGCAATGTGCGAGGGATCAACGTGCGGGAAGTGTAACGCGAAAGACTCTCTCGCTGCCCAACTCCGGATGACGGAATACCCTGATCACCTCCTCGTCTCAATCAATCGGACGAGATTCGAGTCAGCAGCATCATCTGCCATCAAAGATACCACCAAAATTAAGCTGAACTTCGGAGACATCCGCCTGGGCAAAGAGGGCGTGTGTTATCGACTTATTGGTCTTGTCAAGCACTTCGGCAAGCGTGCCGATGATGGACACTATAGTGCCTATGTAAAGATCAGCGACGGTAACTGGGCYTCGCTGGATGATGATGCGGTCAAGATGGTGCCTAAGAGGGCTCTTGAGGATGGCGTGAAGGGGTACTCATCGATCCTTTTGCTACAACGCTGAGATCGGTGAACGTTCACTGAAGCACGATGGGGACAGCTATACGGTTGAAAAGCAGGTCTAGCCGCGAGAAGCGATTTTGTTCGAGAAGCAGACACGATGAAGATGGTACCATAAGAAGATTGTCACGGTCGCTGGAATTGAGTGCAGTACATGGAGTTGTGTTTTTGCTAGTGCGCTATTACAAATGGGGACTAGAACCTAGAGTAGTCGACTTCAATCTTGCCAACAACACGCCAATCTCCGGCCTTCCCTCGTCGTCCAATGTTTGATATTGCGTCTTTATCGCAGTGCCTTAATCTGCCGTAGCGATGATACCATTTGCTGAAACAGCCCGATCTTGCAACCAGCGACAGCCCTCACTTCAACAGCACTTTCCCGATGCCAGGCGAGGAAGGCGTAGTCAGATGAACGCGCAGCGGCGTCACTTTCAACATCCGCATGACTTGGAGCAACTTTATTGCCATCAGTTCCACCAGCAACATCAACTTCATATGAGGTACTCAGCATGTCTCAGACAGCGTCATCACAGATAACATGGATCCTCCATCCGACAGCCATGTTCCTGGCAGGGTTTTTCACGGCATATGGCGTGTATAAGCTATGCGTCGCCTCGAATGGCCCACAGTCGACCGGTCTGCACAGGAGTAATGCCGTTTATCAAAGGCGCCGAAGACAGTCTGGCGCGCAGGTCAGCGCCGCTGAAGGCGCTATCGTCTCAATGAGCTCCCAGAACTCGACTCTGGATGAAGCTTTAGTGCCGGTGGAACTCACTGCAGATGCTTTCGAAGCTGTTGATCCAGGTGAGACTGAAGGCGACATGGAAATGTTAGCGAACGGTGCACCGGATCATGGTATTCGTGGACTTCTGTACTACATTGCCGAAGAGGATGCGGCGCGCAACGCCTACATACATCGTGGGATTTGCTGTGAAGGCTGTGGTCAGTGTCCTATTAAAGGGGTACGATATCACTGCCTTAACTGCCCAGACTTTGACCTCTGTGCGGCCTGCGAGGCACATGCCGTCCATCCGAAAAACCATGTTTTCGCCAAGATCAAGATCCCCCTCTCGCTTCTCTCCCAGCCTCCAAAACCACTCAAGCTCTGGTATGGAGGGGATCCGCAAAAGATTCACGAGCCACTGGATGCGGGCTTACGGAAGCAGCTCTGCAGAGACTCGGGCTTCTCTGAACCGGAGCTAGATGCCCTTTACGATCAGTTCACTTGCATTGCGAATGTGCCCTGGGAGCATGATCCCACGCGCGTTGGCGCAGCTATCGATCGGCGCGCTTTCAACAAGACTATGAGCTCGGACCGATGGGCGGACCGCTTCGCGCCTAACGTGCTCCTGGATCGCATGTTTGCCTTTTACGATACTGACGGCAACTTGCTGATTGGGTTCAAGGAATTCCTGGATGGTATGCAGTATTTGCGTGGAAGTAATAGATTCGCGTCTTTGGAGCGCGCACTCCGGGGATTCGACATCGATGGGGACGGACTTTTGGGGCGAAACGACTTTCTAAGGATCCTGCGCGGCAAATTTGAGATTCAAAAACGGCTCATAATTGACGCGACGGAAGGCCTTGAGATTCATCGAACACAGGGCGCTATGAATGTGCTACGCTCCAGTCAACCGATCAGCTCGGTTTTCAATGGTGACGATATCCCGCCCTTTGAAGCAAGGATACCTTATGGAAAGCTGGTGGACGCGAATGGCGAGGTAGAAAATATGGGTAATGAGAAGACGATACTGGACGACGACGATCCGTTCTTGCCGGATGATCTCAGACAGCAAACCGAATTGCTTCGAGCCATGGACAGACTCGGACTGGAGGATGCCAAGGGATTTCAGGAAATTTACGAAACAGAGCCCTACATACAAGATCTGCTCTGGCATAAGAAGGAAGATGGGCTCAATTCACTTCTGGACCCGTTGTTTCGCAGAAGAGCAGAAGTGGAGAGACGCGCCGTCGCAAGTCGGGGTGCCCGCCAGCGATGGCGAACTGCGATTGAACAATACAAGATCGAGCTGGAAAAGAGCGGCAATATCATTGACGATGCCAACATTATAGATCGAAGCGACAGTCTGCTAGTTCGTGGAATTGTACCTACTGATCACAAGAGTCTGGAGCAAATGGAGCTGGAGACCGCTCACGCTCCTTTGAGTAGGTTGCTGGAAGTCAGCGGCTACGGTATCCGTGAGGAATCAAGTAACAGTGCTGGGGCTGCTACAGAGCCTTCCTCGCAAGTCATCKACATGGAGGGTGAGCCGAGGGCACCGCGCAACCGCTCGCTCCTTCGGGATGTGCGGTCGATTGTCGACGATAACCCAGAATTGCTTCGTTCTGAGGGTGCTTACTCCACACCACGGCCAACACCTGCTGATTTCAAAGGCATGGCAGAAGAGCAACCGCCGACTGTTGAGGTTCTACGGTTGTGGGCGCGGTTGGATGTTGTAGACCGCGAGATCGAAGAACGGGGCGGGCCAGAAAAGCTGAGTCTGTTCGAGGTAGAGCGCATTGTCGTTGACGACAATTTGCAACAAGTCAGAGGCTTAATCAAGTCCTGGCTGGAATGGGGTGCCTTTTGAACAGCGGGTCAGAGGGCATGTCATAGTACTGTATGGGGCATCATTCTCAACGACGCTGAATTGTACAATATCCTACCACGTTGATCTGCCCTTTTGCTGAATTGACCTTTATCGACCTCCCTCTGCTGTCTCCTGTGTCTATTACTCAAAGTCGATGTCGGTGTCGTCTGAGGGAGGAAGTCAATCGAAGAACAGCATTCGGCTGCAATCACACGATTTATCACGCCTCCCGCAATCGCACGTGAAAGAGCGCAAAAGACCACCCATGCCTCGCTATTGGTCCATTTGCACTGATTCCTAATTCAGAATAGATCTGGCTTGACCCGTGGTAAAGCGACGCGTGGTAAACTTTAAATACCCCCACGACTTTGGAACTTTACAGCCTACCGCGCCGGAAGGTCTGTCCGCTAATTTTCTGCAGCTGCGGTCCGTTGCGTTGTCTCATTGGAAAGCAGGTCTCTTCGACCAATTGCAGGATCAAACCGAGCGGAAAAATTTGTGCGAGTCATACAGTATACAGCGGGCCAAGCGGTTCTCACGCCGGTTGGTCATGCATTTCATGCAAGGTACGCTGCTGCAAACGAGCACAAGAGCACACGAGCAGAACCAGTGCGTAGGACTGGGTCGTCGGTAAAAGACTTTCCTCAGGTAGATGAGCTTCGTCAGGCTTTGGTGTCACATGGCGTTCTGTCTTACACATGCACTATATAACAACTCACTACGGCTGTCTTTTTGAGCGACATCGCTTTGTTACGCAATGCAATTGTTGACCGTCACGGTTGTAGTTCATCAATTTCTCCAGCCCTCGTTGGAGACTTTTGCGGCCGAGCCCGCGCGTTAGATCAGTCATTTTTCAAGTCGTCACATCCGTGTCCGCGCATTAGATCAGTCATTTTCAAGTCCCGCCGTGCCGATACGGATCAAGGTACCCCAGTAGCTGTCAGACATATGCGGGAAACACTCCGAGTAGTGCTTCGCACTGACGTTGTGGCGATGCTCAAGGTATGCTGCGACTTTGTGAGACTGGATGCAAAACTTGCCCTCTTCTGGACTCGCTGACTACTCTACCCTCACAAGGCTCTCGATAAGGTATTGGGCAATATCCACGACGTATCGTGTATAGCGAGGCGCCTGGAGAGTGAAGCCTTTGAGAGAAAGGATCGGAAATCTTCGACCAATCTGCGGTGCCGGCGTTGGGTGGAGATCGCCTGTCCGGGGAGATGCAACGTCTCGCTGCATCGGAGGTTGTTGCTGATAATCAACGCTCCACGTTCTTCACAGGTGGGCGAGACGCGATTCGCTGCCACCGCTCCAATGCCAGGATGCTCGAGAGAATTCTGTCGGTCTACAGATCCTGAACTACCTCCGATGCAAAGACACGCTGCAGATCGTGCTCTATTAGGGTCTTCTGGCAGTTGCACTTCGTCTGATTCATCCAGCCCAATCCGATGAGGATTAAATGTGGGACTGGAGCCTCGTTCCCACACCGGCTGTGCGACACTATGGCGTTGTCGCCTAGGATTCGATGTATCCAGAGGGAAATTTCTCATCGTCACTTCTAGATCGACAATTTGTTCGAGACTAGTCACTAACAAGCGCTCGAGGGCAGACACGTCTGGCGGGACGTATGCAGTAGTGGCATGCCAGCCACAGAACACAGAACGATTGATCTTCGCGAAGTTGGTAGATTGAGGTCTACTATCAGATACGTCCTTTCTCTTTCCGTTCTGCGAACCTTTCGTCTTGAACTAGGACTTCCATTTCAGAAATGCCTGGAAACCTACCATCGTCTTCGCCAGCTGAGATTGCGTCCTGGCCAGGTGAGGACTGAAGAGGTGATCCTGTTTGCGAACTTGGCTGATACATGATGTAGCACCTAATTACGATGACCCGATCCGGCGAACCTGGATGCCTGCATACGCAGGAACCCTCCAGGGCCTGACGACTGTGTTGCTTGGGACGAGGCTCTGGCTAAGGTCTCGTAACAGAGCTGGGGGTTTGGGTCTCGACGACGTGAGTCCCTAAAGGCATGATTGTTAGTTATTCCCGCTCATGATGACAGGCTCTGCTCGTACCGGCATACCTCGCCGCTACGATGTTCACGGTCGTTGTCATGCTCAGCACCGAGAAATACAGTGGAGATCGCCATACCTGGGATGTCCCGTTCACGAACTTCGTTCCAATTGCGCTCTTGGGCTGGCTGGCTCAAGTCTCCTATCTGATCAGCACATGTTGCACCAAGGTTTCGGTCTTGCTTTTTTATCGAAGATTGACTAAAGAYACATACAACAAGATATGGAAGGTCTGTTCGGAGCGCTCTGAGAATGAGACAAACGCTGAATGCCGTGTAGTATGCAACAATCACCGCGATTGTTCTAACGATCGCCTACTGCATCGCGTTCGTTCTGTCCCTCGTCTTCAACTGCACGCCGACCAGCGCGTATTGGAAAAGTTACAATCCTTCATACCAGGGGAACTACCACTGTATACATGTGGCTTATCTCAACCCGCTCTCGGGCGCTTTGAGCGTCGTCAGTGACTTGTACAGTGTCGTCCTACCCATGGGCGCATTCTGGCAACTCGAAGTCACCAAGCGCCAGAGACGGGCACTCAATGCAGTGTTCAGCATCGGGCTGCTGACCGTCGGTGCAGGTATCGCCAGGACGTATTAGTAAGTGAATGACACTTACGAGAATCTTCATGATAGACTGACCGACTTTCGTACAGCTTAACACAACTTGCAAGTCACTGGGATCTCATCTGGTTCGGCTTTGATGTTTATGTTTGGGCCCAACTGGAAATCCAGCTTGCATTGATCTGTGCCAGTGTGCCCTCCCTCAGGGTACTTTTCCGGCAATACCTTGGCGGGTCCATGACGAGGGCGTTTGGAGATAAGCGGTCGACTACGGAAGGAACCACACTTCGAGACTCGAGACAGACACTCGACTCGCGAAATACTGTCGCACGGTTCAAGCGGCTTGCTGAAGATGAGGAGGGGCTTCCAGTTGCTGGAAAAACAGAGCGTACCATGGAACATGCGCGTGAGACTCGGGCAGAATCGCAGTCCTTTTACGGAAAGCCTGTCAAGACAGCAACAGAGTACGAGCAGGTCGCTTTGGAAGACTTGCGGAGGCTGAGGACATCGCAACAGTACACCGGATGGCGGCATAGTACTCCCAGCAGCTAGTTGGTGTCGGATTGGATTATATGACAATCTTTGAATGTCGGCTTGAATCTCCCACGTTGGGGCCCAAAAGTAACGCCAGTGCAACCGTAGTCGTATGTAACGTCTTATCGCATTGGAGTCTCGACCCGCCGAAAAGAAGGCATCCAGCTCGCCGTGGCTTTTGAGCACGCAAACGTCTCCGAAGTCTTCCGGTCTGATAACCTGGAATTTGTCCTGTGGATGCCGGTCCATCGGTCAAAGGCGCCGTATTCGAGCAACAGTGCTGTGAACTGGTGAAGAGTACCTAAGTTCCTCTCGGCATAAGACTTGTGGAGGCTTGAGAAGCCTCGAATCGGCTACTTGGGTACCTGCATAGGTGAGTACTAGGTACACTACGTGTTGCCGAACATCGCGAACACAGCGCACCAATCTGACTCAAAAACCTGTTCACGGAAAGAAGGCCACCGTACCACTCGATAGAATGTGGACCACCTCGATCGGCAAGAGTGAACGTGTTGYAGATATCCAGGATCCAAACTTTGTACGAGGCTGATGAGTTGGCTCAGACATGAGGTGGGATGGATTTCGCAAACGGGTGGTTCGACTGTGGGGTTTAGGACCATGCGGCCGACGGCTCCTTTTAGTTCTAGCTCTAGTGCTCCTCATAGTGTTTGCCTGATCATGATTGGCGAGGTGTCATCGCGTTCTAAAACATGGATAGTACTTGGGTGGGCGCAGGAAGAATCGATCACTTGACGAGATGGAGTTCATAGAATGCATCGATTAAGTTTCGTGACCTGAACTCTGCCGTACCAGTTTGCTGCTCGTTGCTGGCACATCGGTCTGCTCAAAAGCTTGCAAAGTTATGTTGTACTGGGAAGTGGGGTCCAGTCCGGTAAAAAGCAGCGATTGGGAGGGAAGAACGAATTCCTCAGTCGACTGCGTTTGGAAAAGCATTGTAGCAAAGACTGCCAGTGGCGGCAAAGGCGCGTCACATTCTCCGCTACTGCTAGCTGTTGAAACCCTGAGCTGGAAGAAGTGGTATGTCGCCAACATCAACTCACGTCTCAACATACCTGGGGCTTGCCCGGAAGCGACTCCAGCACCCTGCAATTCGGGATGCAGGTTACCTGGTGACGCCCGGCCGCCAGTGCGATGCTGTACGACAGTCATCCTCCGCATCATAGACTGACGGATGGAGTTGCAACTTGTGCCTCGAAAGCTGCGAACGAGGCCTGCGTTCCGCGTTGGAAAGCTGGCTTGGCAACCGATGTTGGATTGGCCWAATTAACCAGGCATGCCGTCGTTTTCGATGTCCCTGGAGTCGTGAAGTTCTCCGCTCGGCTCCGCGTTGTCGTTGCACGGCTCCTGTACGGTGGACTTTTAGCGACTTCCCTGCAACAACGCGATCTAATATAGCTTAACGCCACTAAGTGGAGTAATTTCACATCTCGCTTATTAATTCAATTGCCCGTACAATTACATGTAGTAAACGTCGTTATTTGCTTATGTGTGTGTAATATTACCGTCCCGTTATTACTTAGTTACCGGTCCTAATATGTTACGGGTTTCGGTTACCTATATCTTACTTTAATACTGCTATTATATATATGCTTCTACTAGTAACTTATTATACGCGTAAGAGTAATATTTATATGCTATAAGACTCTTCCCTCTACCCTTCTACCGTCTCCCCTAGTCCTCCTAATAACTACTACATTTAATACTCTAATTAGCACTCTTACTACCTATCCTCCCCTTTTTACTCTATTCTACCTCTCCGTATAATAACCGAGAAGGAAGTTCGCCGCTTCGGTATAAGCGACGTCGACCTATTAGATATATACTACTCGTCGGACGATAATAGTAATCTATGCCTTATAGTTAACGACGGTAATGTAAGTAAAGATAATCGCCTTACCTAGACGAGACTAACTAGTATAATCTAGCTTAAGACTAGTAGCCTCTATATTACTAAGGAATAGGCGGAGATAATCGATACGGAGAGTAGCTACGCCCCGAAAATTAAGAAGACCTAGGACCCGGCGAAGTAGATAATACTTAGAGACCGTAAGAAYACTATAGACTCGATAATTATCTAGAGCCGGTTAGTATAATTACTTCTAATTAAGATCCGAGCATCCTTACTAATAGATTCGTAGCGGTAATATTATTAACTAGAAATATACCGCCTACTAAGGCCGGCCGATCCTAAATAAGAACGAGCGAAAAGAGGGTAGAGGCCCTTA